TCCCGAAACTGATCATCTTCTACTCTGAACTTAGATATCGAGAAGAGCCTTGGCGTAGCCACCCCTCCAATGCTAGCGGAACATCCAAATAGTACCCTTTACAAGGCCGCCAGAGTATTAATTCAAACACATGCTCGCCGATTACCCCTCCTCGACTATGACACAGAAACAGGTCATGAAGTCATCGTTTCGGTGCTAACACAGTATAGACTTCTCAAATTTATCTCTATAAATGTAACATAACGCCCTCCGCCTCACGTAAGATTTTCACTCACATTACCTTTCTAGTGCACGAGAGAAATCCAGCAACTTCATCTCTCGCTCCGGAAACTCAAGATCGGTACCTATGTTTCATCAAATCCACCGCCCCCAGACCCGGAAAACCCGGAAACTCAGAATCCGTATTATCCCATCGCAACCGCTACGCTCGACACCCCTGTATTTGACGTCGTCCATATGTTCTCTGAGCGTGCTATATCTGCAGTCCCTATCATTGACCAGGACGGCGTTGTCGTGAATCTGTACGAAACCGTAGATGTCATTGTACGTCATGTCCTATTATGTGGATACCAAGTCTTACCCCTTTTGCAGACTCTTGTGCGTCTAGGAGCATATCAATCCCTTGACCTTACGATATCGGAGGCCCTTAACCAACGTTCTCCGGACTTCCCGGGAGTTGTCATTTGTACAGCTAGCGACTCGCTGGGAACACTACTGGAGCTAATCAAGAAGCGTAGAGTCCACAGGCTTGTCGTCGTAGAAGGAGATGTGAGACCTTATTTTGACTACACGCTCACAATACCAACCATAAATTTACAGGAGGAGGAGAAGAAAGGCGGAAAGAAAGGGCGCCTCCTTGGCATAATCACATTGAGCGATGTTCTTCGGTACGTTATCGGTGAGGTGGGCATCGGCGAGTCAGTCGAGGAGATTGCAACCCTGTCCACTGCCTCAGGCACACTACTCTCTCCAGATGTTATTTCATGATCATGGCGCAGTGTCAGTAGAATGAAGGGTTCGTCCAGTGTTTGGAGCTTTCGTTATTTTATGTGCCTTCAAATTCTCAGTTAGCTGGATCTGACTAGCAATTGTATGTTTTGCATGATCTGTACCAGTAGATGTCATAGGTTATACGATAATGTTGCCGTCTTTGTGGGAGTGACTGGTGAGCCCCTCTATGTGGCAAGCCGTCGATAGAGGTAGCTGTGAATAGTAACAAATGGCATGTGGACGGTTTGTGGTGTGCAAACTTGTGGCATGCGACCGCCTCATTGCACACAAGGCATTATACCACCAACCACCATGACAGCCATCCAAGCCGTCTACGTACGCGGGCACGAAGAACGCCCCGATCCTAAGCCTCATATTGTTTACCGCATCGAAATCCAAGCCCATGTCCGCTCATGGCAAATGTGGAGACGCTACTCCGAGTTCGTGGAGTTACACACAGAACTCACAAAGTCTACAGATTCTTCACCCCCAGCACCTCTACCACCCAAAAACTCCCTCGCCATCCTTCGCGGACCTTTCAGAGACAGTAGTGGCATGACCGAGGAGCGCCGGGCTGGCCTCGAGACATACTTGCGCGCCATCATCAGCGCAAAAGATGACAAATGGCGAGAATGCTATGCCTTCCGCGACTTCCTCGGTGTGCCAGTCGGCCGCCTAGGCACCATGGCCGAAGGCAGCACATCCTCCAAACAGTTCTCTTCTTCCTCCTGGCTCGACGAGCACCTCGAGCTGCAGGCTAAGATTCGCGATATCCGCGCAGACATAAACAAGCGGGATGCGCTCTCTGATCGGGGAGACGTCAGTGCGTCGCATACTGCGAATGTTCAAGCGAAGAAGAAGCTCGCAGAGACCCTTTCTCGAGTGCGTACGCTCAAGCAGGGCCTGCAGGAACTCGGCATGGCAGCTATGGCGCAGGGAGAGCTGCAGCGCCGTACAGACATGGTCGCACGCTTGCAGGACGACTGTGAGAAGCTGGGAAAGATGGTCACTGTTACTCGACAGGCCTCTCGTCCTGCAGCAGCCCCTGCCTCACGGGACTTCACGAATGTTGCTGTCGCTCCCGAAACGGATCGGGCTGCACTGCTGAACCTTAGCAAACCGGTCACGCGAGTGTTTGGGGCCAAGAAACCTCAAGAGACAGAGATAACGAGACCGCTTGACGATCAGGGTCTTGTGCAGTTGCAGAATACTCAGATGGAGCGGCAAGATGGTCAACTTGCTACGCTCACGCAAATACTACAACGACAGAGGCACCTTGGGGAAGCTATCGGTGCTGAGCTTGCGGTGCACAACGAGTTGTTGGATGAACTCAATAACGACGTTGAACATGTTGGGGCTAAACTCAGCGGCGCAAAGAAGCAGCTCAACCGTCTGGGATGAGCGAGATCAGGACGGTTTTTCAATGTTGAGTAGGGATGTTCGAAGTGCTATACATATACCAATAGTTGACATCTAGAACACATTGAATTAATGTAAATGATGATAATGATGATGCCTCGATGCTCCATGTAAACATAATATAGGTCTAGCTAGTCTCGATCCTTCTTCTCCAAATACTTACCGACTCCCTATGATAACTTGGTAAATCACATTTTTCAACAACATAAAGTAACCATACCTCAAAACATGCAATCATGATTCCGCAAGCTGGGGCAATCTTGGCTGTACGAGGAAGAATACCAGCAAACAAGGCAGCGGTGCCTTCGGTGCGAACGATGTGAGCCAACAGTGGTATTGTAGCTGTAGTCCGTGATGACATGGTTCCAGTCATGAGGAGCGCTTGCCGTCGGGTTTTCAGAACGTCGAAAGGTGAAGTTAATAATGACGCGGTTGTCCCACTGATAGCACCGCATGCAAAGGCAACGTATGCCCCCTTCTTTCCTCGCCTCTCGAAAAATCTTTTCCAGGCCTCGTAGCCCGCCCAATATATGCCACTAAAGGGCACATCACGCCACAAGGTAGGGCCAAGACCACGCCAAAGGAAGGGTATGCCTTGTTTCTGGACGATTATACGCACGGAAGCGAGGACAGATGGAAGTGTATGTGGTTTGTCGGGGGATATTGGAGTTGATTGCAGGTTGGTTCTTATGAGCTCTAGTGGTGAGAGTAGGGAAGTCAGAGAAGCACGAGCAATAATGCCAGCTACCAGAGGGACGAATGTGGGGGAAGGAATAAGGGGAGGGAGTACGTTTCGTAGGAGATGGTCATAAGTGAGCATGTATATCGATGAAGAAGGGACGCCCATGAGTCTGTCACACAATGAGAACTGCGGCTAAGAAATGGATTGAGTTAGCTTACAGTGTCGTGCCAGCACCTTTCCATAATCCTTTCATACCTTCTGCTCGCCATACATGGCGGACAGCATCAAGGAACCCATTCACACGTTCTGTGCGGTAGATGCCATGATCGAAAATGCAGACGACTTCTTCTGTGGCTAGCGGGCGTGCATACGAAGACATGTTGCGTACGCAAGGTATATGTGCTGGCTGACAGCATTTATTAAGTGGTGCTGGTGAAAAAAGAGGCACCTTAGGTTGAGTCTGAAGACGGGTCTTCACGACGTCGAAAGGAGTCACTGAACATGATAAATATATGATAAATTCCAATGAATTGAGAAATGACTGAAACGTACTTGTAAGTGCAGTCATCGTTGACCCCGTCGCCGCAGCTACGAGTTTAGCATGGAACGGATCCATTCCACTCGTTGACGGAAGAGGCTCGGAAGAGGAACAGAAATTGACGGCTTCACGGAATACCGGCAATGACCGGGAAATTAATTTTGTGCGGGCGAGTAAATAAACTTGTTGATCACACACAACAACCGACCCCCGGAAGCCTTCGCCAACTCAAGAAACTGATTTCAAGCTTCATTCGATCTTTTGATCAATATCCATTCAATCTTAGCAGACTTTGATAGTCTTCAAACTCAAAAGCAACAGGATTGCAAGCCTCGCTCACTTTACCTTCGATCATGACTGCTCTACCCGCCTCCTTTCAGCATGCTAACAAGGCTGCTATCGCCGCGGCTCTTGCTGAGAACTCAGCATCATTAGGAGCAGACGTAGAACCTGGTGAAATCCAAGAGGTGGATATGCAAGCACAGGCAGACGACATTCGCACCGTCTTCAGTCACCCTACCAACTTTAATGTAAAGGTGAGCAACCGAATTGACTTGTCGCTCTACGTTATTCAATTTTCTCCTATACAGCATCCTCTATACTCACCCTGGACCCTTTGGTTCGATTCTCCTGCTACTAAAGGCCGTAACCTCCCCCAAACTCCCATTTCTTCCTTCCCCCAAACTCCCGTTCCTCAGACCCCCAGTGCTGCGGCTGCACAGGGATGGATGGAGGATATCAAAAGAGTCGTCAGCTTCGACAGCGTTGAAGAGTTTTGGGGGTAAGTACTTTTCTCCTATCTCGCAGACTAAAAGCTCACCAAGGCATAGTCTCTACAATCATATTGTACCTCCCTCACAGCTCCCTCAAAAAGCAAATTACTACCTCTTCAAGGTTTGTGTGTCGTATCATCGTATCCTTGTTGACATAACGGCGCTTCCAGGAGGGTATCATACCTGCATGGGAGGACGAAGCAAACAAGAATGGAGGCAAGTGGAGTATACAGCTACCGAAAGAGAAGAATCGCAGTCAGGTTGATAAAATGTGGCTTTACACTGTAGGTCTCTCTTTCATCTCGTTCTCTTCTTAATTTAATGGCTCCATAAAGATGCTTGCTGCTATTGGTGAAACTTTCGATCCTCATCTCACAAGCGGAGAGTCCACTGAGCCCAATTCGCAATCGCTTATCACCGGTGTGATCGTATCTACCCGACCGCAGTTCTACCGTTTATCAATTTGGACGCGGCTTGCGCCATCTGGAGATGAGGACAAGTTACGTGACCGGATCGAAACAATTGGACGGCACTTCAAGATTAATGTACTAGGCTATCCCGAGACTCAAAGACTGGCCGGGCCTCTCGCCACCGAGGTGGAGTTCCTTTCGCACAAGGATTCTGAGAAGAAGGGGAAAGCGGCGAAGAAGCTTGTCATTTGAGTGGGTGTATAAGTTTGCTATTATATCGGTTGAGCAGTTATAAATAGATTTGCTGGATATGCGTGACTCATTTGTATGGAATATTCTCATTTCAAGCTGCTGCGACGCAATATTTCTTCGTACCTGAAGCTGTGCAGTGCTGTGCAGCCATGGCGGTGTGACGCTGCGCGTGACGCAATCAATGTGGCTGCGTAATATGATTGTCTCCTGTATAAAGACCCTATGACAACAGCTCCATACGCCATTAAAATCTCCTCTCTCTAACCAGGATGTCTGTATCAGGTTTTTTGTCATCGTTTGCGGACAAAGCACAAAGTGCCATCAGTCAGACCCCTCTCTCCGGCTATATCCCCGGCACCACCGATCAACCATCTGCCAATCAATCAGCAGGTCAGGGCGGCCATCGTTCAGTGGCTTTGGAGGCATTGCAGCATCAATTTCGCTCCATCGGTCAACAATATACCAGTACCACACCGGTGCAAAGAATTATCACCTCTGAAAAAGGTGTTGCAATCGATTGCGATGCTCTCGCTAGGGATGCAAAGGTGCAAAGCAAGGAATTGTACACATGGGGTCAGACACAAGCAGAAGATCTCAGGGATGGTAGGCCATCTCTTCTACAATAACGCAATCTGAGCTGATGATAACGTTCTAGTAACGGATAGATTGGCTTACTTGAACTTTGTTCAGGGATCTCTTGCATCATCGGTTGCGATGAAGCTCGACGGTGCACGGGCGCCGTTTAAAGCTCTTCGCGATGCCGAAGCTGTTCTTACTCCAAAGCGCAACTTCCGTGCTGGATTGCGCAACCAGATTTCTCGTATCGAGCATAATCAGGAGAAGGGCATGGAACGGAAGCTTTCTGAATTAAAACAGACGCTGTCCAAGGCTGAACACGTCGACGAGCCCCTCGAAAAGGAACTTGAGATCTTGAAGCGGAAGGCGGTTCGCGAGAGCGAATCGCAGAAGTGGGACGCTATACGCGAGGTAAATCACTTTGCGCTGCTATGGTGAAAGGTATTCTGACGCGATCCTTTTGCAGTTTGGGGAAAAATTAGTTCTATTGTCGCAGGCTTCTAAGCCTATCATTGCCGCCTTGCCACCAATTCCGCCTTCGCCTTCTAACCCTTACACAGGAGCCCAGGGTACAGGCGCTGCTCGTGCTGCGCTTCAGCAAGCACTTGATAACTATACCCCTGGGAGTACATACTTTGCCACACAGCCCGGCGCAGACCTTTCACGGGCTGACACCCAATCATTTGGGGAGAGTCACGCCTCTGAACTTCACAGTCTCGCATCCCATGATAGTCATCCGGGTGTACCCATCACACCTCCACCTCAAGAAGCAGAAAAGTCCGGAGATGCTCCAATTGACCCGAGCACACTCAATCTATCTCCTGCTCCGATTCCGGAAGATCACTCGGTTTCTTCCATCGTAATTCCGGAAGCTGCACCTCCTACGGTGGCTGAAACTGGAGTTCCCATACCTGCGAGTGCGAGTGGTCCAGGCCCCGCTAGCGGTTCTCTTCGTGACGTACGCCGTGCCTCGGATGCTGCGGGACCACGAAGTGGCGGTCTCCCTGGCAACTCACCATTTGATGATCTATATGGACAGCCACACGAGACCGCAGCAGAAGAGAAGAGTCGGCTTGAGCGTGAAGAGCGAGAGCGGGTATCCTCAACGGGGACACCCGGTACTTCTGAACATGAGTCTGCCGAGGAAGAGAAGAAAAGACTTGAGAGAGAAGAGAGGGAACGAGTTCTTGCTAACGCTGACACTAGCAGCGGAAATGCACGCAACAATGATGGTGAAGAGCTTCCCCCATACCAGGACATTGAATAAGTAGGGGATTTATTTCGTATCTCCAAGTTGTATATAGTTTGTATGTGATTCGTTCTTGACAACGCGGGAAACCAATCAGCAAGCATAACCTTAACCCTAATAAATCCTCAGGCATACTACGCACGGTCCCCCTTCCAAGTTGATTTACTCCAACACTACGTTGAAAATGGACACCACGGAACTCGAGACATATCAAGTACAACTCTCTCAGGTTGAGCTCGCGCTGCAAACCGATACTGAAAATGCCGGACTCCTCTCGCTCCGTTCGGAGCTCCAAGAACTTATCTCTCTCACCCAACAATCGCTCGCGCAAGCAGCTTCCTCATCACGCGCAGATTCCGTGCGTAAAACAGCCAACTCGACACCTTCACACACATGGACTGCAGGGAGCGACTGTCTTGCGAAATACTCTGGTGATGGGGGCTGGTATCCTGCACGGATTACCAGCGTCGGTGGGTCAGCAGAGAACCCCGTATACAGCATCATGTTCAAAGGGTACAATACGACGGAACTGATCAAAGGATCAGAAATCAAGCCACTACCCGCGAATCACCAAGAGAAAGCCACGGCGCCTAGTAAAAGAAAGCTAACGAAAGCTGAGGACGAGGAGAGAGATCGGAAGAAGAAGCGTAATGAGAAGAAACTGGAGGTTAAAGCTGCCAAAGCCAAGGAGCAACTGGCCAAGCAAGCGACGTGGCAGAAGTTTGCTAAGAAGTCTGAGAAGAAGGGCGTTCATATTGCCGGTGTGGCGGGGACTAGTATCTTCAAGACGCCCGACAACCCATTAGGCCGTGGTGCGTTTTTGAGGACTAGACTTGATTTTATTATTGCTGATGAGATGGGTAGTGGGTGTTACGGGGAGCGGGAAAGGGATGACGGAAGTTGCGATGCGAGGCAAGCATAAATTTGCGGCGACGGACGAAGGGAATGCGTAGATGGTAAGTATGCCTCGGAAGCGAGGGGGTATCGTGCTAATTGAGCGTCATATGTGATGCCTTTCTCCTCCTTGATCAGGATCTCATCACCGCTTTTCTTCTTTCACGCCTTTATTTATCAGAGACTTCGTTGCTGTCGGCACTTGCGAAGCCGAGGTGTAATCGTACGTTTGTTAAATGCGTTTATTTTGTTCATCGGACTCACAGTCGTGATACGTGAAACGGTGGACGACCAGTATAGGCTATGCAAACATCAATCGGTGGGCCATTAATAATATTGTTTTTTTTTATTTTTTACAAGTCGGAGTAGATTGCGTTTTTTTGATTTTGAACGATCTGGGTGAGCTGTACTTCTTTACCGCCTTGGACTTTTAAATTGAACCATGTTTGCTTCTCGTGACACCGTCGCTGGCATGTACCTGACCACCTGCGTCGAAGGCGTGATACAGCGCTTAACCATATGGGCAAACCTGTCAATGTAGAGTAAGATTTACTTTTAGAAATGTCGAGTCCAAACTCGTTTACGACGTAAAAGCGGGTCCCCTGATGAATGAAATCTGTTCCGAGTCTGTCGTCGTCTTCCACGGAAATAAGGCCAGTCAATCACGCTTCTTGATCACATGTAGGTTGACCCAGGCGTGGGGTGAGTCCGAGGGACCATTCTTGGATTGCGCCTCGACAGGTCCTTCTTGCGATTAATTGTTGACGGGGGAGTGCCTGCCCTTGGAATGATTGGCATATACGTGTAAATGGAAAACGCATTCCTCCTCGACTTGAATACTGCGTGCAATGAATCTAATGATCCACATGGGTGACGAAGCCCCCTGCCCAGGCCTGTCCATGACGAAGCATGCGCTACCCGACAGATTGATTAAAAATCGCTTGGAGCCCAAGCGTGCTTCAGGTACAATACCAATAATCAATTAATCAGAACGTCATCGTATCAGTCCCTCACATTTCCTCGACGGTCTCTAAATAAAAACACCCACAGCTGAATCATCTGACAAAGGAAATACAAAAGAAGAGGGAGGACAGTCAGAATTTTATGAGCGGGAACCAAATCCATCCTAGGCTGAACGGTAAACTCTTTTCTACTCTGAGTTGACCCGACGTTGGTCAACACCGCTCAACGATATCCCGGTTCCTAAATATTCTCTGCTACTACTACTACTAGCACCGATATTGGCCGACTCAGATGCGTAGCTGCTAGCCGTCTGGTCCATGACGTCAACAGAATGTCGTCTCATCGGAAATCCTGCTCCATGCGCTGCCATCACCTCGGCAGACAGATCCAAAAACTGCGGCAGAGTCGTCCTAAGCGCTCCACAAAGAATGGAAGAAAAGATAAACTCACCACCTGCTCCTCTTCCAGCGTATTTTCATGAAGCCCGCGATTGGTGTTTTGCATGTGCACGAGCAATGTCCTGATGCTGCGAGAGCTCAAACCCCGATAGGTAGAAACACGCTCAAGATCAAGCGGAAGCGTATTGACCAGACGCAGTTGTTCGTGCAAATACAAAACATAATGTTCCAGACATTCCAGATAGTGCCGCTTTTTCTCGTGCGATGAAATAGTATCACTGGAAAATATGGTCAAGATGCGAATTGGTCGAAACGAAATAACTTACGGATCGGTAGGAATGAACCCTATCTCTTCGGCAACGGCACGTTGTCGTGCCTTGCGTTGACTCTCTGTCTTACTCGTGTTAGGTACAGCCGAGGCAGGATGCTCATTGCTGCGTTCGCTGCTCTGAGACTGCTCGCGCTGTGTCGGGTGGGGCAAGGACGAGGAGCTTGAGATCGGAACAGATGACGTTGAAAGGTCTGTAAGAAGTTCCGAGGGGGTTGGGAAAAGAAGTTGGGGCGCATTTGCATAATAATCGAGGATGTCGGTGTTGATGGTCGTGGACGGCAGGGGGGCTTGATTTAAAGAAGGGGGGTATTGGTCATAGTACGTTTGCTCCACGTACGGTGGAGTGAGTTGACGAGAGGAGGTTGGTGGGTCGTATGGGGGAGCATGTAAATGCATCTGTGCCTGCGTCTCTGAGTAGTCGTATGATGGATATGAATAATTCAATGCGATTGATGTATCCTCAGGTAAAGCATAAACGGAATGTCGCCTGGTATAGTCCGAAGCTGGAGCAAGGTGCAAGCCAGTAACATCGGTGAATTGATATTGGGGATCAAAGTCAGGAGAAGGCTGTTGGTGAATGGGATACATGTTTGATGGGATGAAAAGTGGGTGAAGGAGGAGACTAAATACCTGTGGATGAATAATGCGGGATGACAATTGATTAGATTCTGTAGATCGTCATTACATACAAAGGCTAATTCAGTTGTTTTGAGATGGTCGGCTCGAATCGATCCTCGGGTATTCGCGGAGTTGAATTTAGATTGTCGCGGTCAATAATATTCATTGAATTTCCTCCACCTCATGTGCGCCGCGGGCCCGGATCGTGGCGTCAGAAGCACTCCCGGATAAACTGCGGTCAAAGCTAGTACGACGGAGAAGTCAGTCCCAAGATTTGGCGATCTTAATTTAAACCAACTCGGGTCTCTTACTCAGTATATATATCTTATTCATTATTATTTTTTCCTTCATCCCAATCAATTCTACAATGCCTTCATATCATCCCCCTTACCATTATTCAACCCACCAACGAACATCCCCATATCTCTTTCCACACGAGCCTTCCTTCATAAAGTCTAGACTATCCGAGAGCCCCGTATCTACAGACAAATCTTCCGATACTTCCTCAGTCGAACATCCATCCCGTGATAATTCACACAGAGCATCTCGTTTCACCATCGCCCACCCATACGCACGCCTTTACGCAAAGAAGGACGGCTCCAAGCGACGAAAAATATGGAATCACGTCCTCGAGAAGCAACTCTTCTCTCCTCAGGAGTTGTCCGTCCTTCTTTTCACTCTAATTCACCCATCCCATTAATTTCGTTTGCAGATCAACTATGGGCGCACCTCACAGGCGTACCATCTACATAGCCTCTCTCGAGGCGCACATCGATCGGTTACACAACCAGCTGCTCGGGATCGGCCTTTACCCAATCCCTTTCCAACGCCTCGAACCATACCGGGGCCTCAATTCAAAGACGGCCAAGGTAACAAATCAATTCTATATTTTTGCATTTTAATCCGCCTCATTGTTTTTATTTTTTATTCATAAAGAGTATGGTAGCGGGTTTACAACACGACGCTACGCACACAAAACTCAAGTTGCTAGAGCTAGAACGTTCGGTGCATTTTTTTTTCACGTCCACTCTCCTCCATAGTCGTATATTAAACAAGTCCGGCAGAATAATAATCTTCACAAGCTGCTCGGCACGCAAGCAATCTCGACGTCCTCCATTTCTCTCGAAGCAGACGTACGCCGTCATTCTATGGATTCATCCGGAATGGGCCTAAGCGCGAGGACCGCCATTAATTCCACTATCCCGATGATCATGGATCCCCTTGCATATTCGGCAAGATCATAAGTCCCCTATTTTGCTCCATTCCAGGGCTCCATGCGCTCGGAACCTGTCATTTGCATCTTATGTATTTCTTTAATCGCTTTGTTATATCGTACATAACCGAAGAAACGGCATTTCCTATTACTTTATGGTACTGCTTACGAGGCCTCCAGTATATAATACACCTCCTCATTTGCAAGGTTGAATAAACGTGTACAGTAGATATATGACTCCCAAATGTGACTACCTCGGGAAATGCCCATTCTCTTTCGTAATCGGGAGGCTGGCGCGAAGTAGTTGTCGGCAATTAACTGCTGAGAATCGAGCCTGTTCTCGGAAGGTGTCTATCACGGTCCCGGTGCTGCATTCATTTGAGCTTGATATCATTTCCCCCCTCCAAATAATCTGTGAAAAGTTCCAAGATTTGTGGCTCACATGCGCACTCGCCGTTCGACACATGCCCGGTACCCCACTTTTGGCTTGCCGAGGGTCACTGCGTGCCGCAAACGTTTCTATGGACGTACAAAGCGCACTCATCATTATCATTAATCATTCCCCGAGTTCCGGCTAACGCGAAGATCACTAACAAGTCCTTAAAACAGTATAGCCGCCCTCATGGCACTACTGTCCTAGGGTGAGTGTGATTTTTTGCCATTATCAGCGACGACGATCCGGAATTTCGAAAATGAAAGACCCTGATGAAAATGTGATATTATGATGGGAATCCGAACAGGATTGGATCTTGCGTTTAAACTCGTAATTCAACATATGGTCTTCAACCCCAAAAAAACAAAAACAAAAACAAAAACAAAAAAAATATGATTTTTTTAAGTTACTCCCATACTCCGCTTTTGTCAAGTTTGACCCGTGTGTCCTGCTTTGCTTTGCTTCCTTGCGGCCGTCCGGCTCTCTGCGCACCACGTTTGATGTGGTACTTTTTTTGCTGGCGCGAACGTTTTGCAAGGTCAGATGCGACTTTGTCCCGAAAAGCAGCGTCCTGCAGGCTCAGAGAAGCAGCCATTTTGGCCAAGGTGGAAGGCGAAGGCGAGCGCGATCGTGGGGGTGATCTTGACAGCTGAGACATGCGGCTGTTGGGCCGGGAGATTGGCTCAGGGGAGCCGAGTGTGTCGGTGCTTGGCCCGGGTTGCGAACACGATGGCACTTCAGTGCTTAGAGGTGTTTGCAGGTCGTCATGCTCTTGCATACCCGATTCACTGTGCTCGTCACCGGTTTCAACCTGGCCGTTGTCTTCGTGGCCGTCCGGAGTATCATCACCTTCGCTTTCTTCATTTTCTTCCTCCTCTTCCTCTTCTTCAGAGCTGTCTTGATCTGCGTCATCCTGAAGTTCATTTGCTCGAACAACTTCCATATACTACAGTGTTATTCAGGAGAGCTTAAAAAGTGTTAGGTGCAAGGGTTCTCACCTCCTCTAAAGTCTTTTGGTCCTTCTTCACAAAACCGCTGGCTGCAACCATGACATCCAATCGGAAATCATCATGTTCGCCATTTGATTCGGCTTTGACAGTCTTGAACCTGGGGTACAATGCACTTTCGTACTTGAAACGTCGGCGGAAGAAAGTACGTATACATTCCACATCACGATTGAAGTACCTTGATGAACATCATCAGGTTGTATCCGATAAAATCGATTATTGCGATTGCGCACCATTCAGCATTTTCATGCGACGTGCTGACCATCTGCGGAAAATCGATGACTACCGGTTCGCCACTCTCTCGTCGAATCAGAATATTGAATTCGTTATAATCGCCATGAATAAGCCCCGCGCGTGCAAATCGTACAATGATGTCCATTAACGTCGAGTATAACTTTCCCGGCGACGGAACGTCAGCGATCTGTCGTCTGGATCTACTATGAGAAACGAGGAGAGTGTCAGATGCAAGCGTGTACTTACAACGGATATGCATCGATCGCTTCCATAAGAATGCAATGCCTGGCCTGATCAACAGGCCGGGGGACCGGGAAATCATGTTCGTGAAGGATCTGTAGTCATTCCGTCATTAGCACGCTTTCAGTATATTGCATCGCAGGTCCTGCAGAAACCGAACTAGCTGACTTTCATAAAAGCCCACTCTTTCTGCGCCGCTAATCGTGACATATACATCCACGACGCTGACTTGCGTTTTCCCATATAATCTCTTTTTTCCTTGATGGCACGAAATGAAATACGGCCTAGCCTAATTCCATGAGTATAAAGTTCATGGAACCTGGCCTCGTCATCAGCTCACCTGTGTAGTTTGAGAACTAATTGATTACCCTCCGCGTCTGCAACTAGGTATACATCTGTTCCATTTGATCAGTCGCTCCACAGGTGAATATATTGAGGATCGCCAAGGCAAGCACGCACCAGCCTCTTTGCCGACGCCAATCTGATTTCCAACAGAGTACAACGAATCTCGCTTGGATAATGCACGCATAGCCAGATAATCATACCCGCCATACGTCAGCCTATATCCATCATCTGTCACCAAAAGTCAGGCTTACAAGGAAGAACGAACGAAGGGACATGTACCAACACTTTGAGTTTTGCACTTTGGCGACTAAATTGCGTTTCGCCAAACTCCCGATCAGCTTGTTGACGCCTCCATTTCGAAGGCCGGAGATTTGTACGATGAGTGGAGTTGGGACGACTTCATGGTTCTTCGATCCAATTTCTACCTGCGTTCGAGAGTTTTGAGATACGGCCATCATCAAGCTGACCAGGACCCCCTTACTTACTGAAGTTAGTACCCGAAATTCATCCGAGGTGATGTATCGCAGATCTGTTGCGTCGAGCTTCATACTTTGCTTGATCTTCTGCTAGCCGCGAGTATGGCACAAAGAGAAGTAAGACTCGAGCTGCACTGCGATAATCGAGCTGGGTAGAACGAAACTTGCAATCAAAAATCTCCGCAAACTACATAACATTGCCAAATTGGAAACCATAATAGTTATGTAATTGCTTATACCTTTCAATCAAGTAAATTATTGTTGGTTCTGAGCTCGCGCGTCACGGTGAAGACTACTCGTGGTATGTTTTTGGGATGTTGAGGCGATACTGTTTCGCTAAAATCGTCACAGATCGCGACCGTTGAATCACTCAATGATCTCGCATAGAATGCGATCCAGTGCAGTAAATAGAGCCAACAAGGTTTTCCGTGTCCTTGTTTGACAGAAAACCTCACTCGAACCATAGCTTAGGCGACTTCGACACAGCTGGAAGCATGCATTTCGACATCTAGAGAGTTGAATGGCACCAGGTATGTCCTGCCGTCCTGTAAATTGCGACACGTTTGTTCACACAACCCATCCGATTAGATTGCATTTCACCGTGAAGACTTCTTCAGAGCTGTCTGACGTTGAAAGCGAGCGAATATGGAACATTTTTGAGTCCAATATGCACCTGTTGTGAGATCACGCGATGTTTGATCTTGCATTTCATGATTTACCCCGCTCAGTTATACGACCTCTTCATTTGGCTGGGATCCTCGTTCGAAGAAGGAAGAGATGTTTCACCCACACGCTCGGCTCGTCTTATGTGAGCGATGCGATGATGCGCCCTCAGGTAGGGAATCAATTCCATCAGAATCTCGGATAGTTGCATATACTATCTTCCGGTTCGAACGTGAAGCTAAGCAAGACGTAGTGTATTGGTGGGTACAATGCTACAAGTTCGGAGACTCCTAGCTCATCGATCGAGGAAAGTTATGAACTCCAAGTGACCGAAGAATCTCGAAGATTTGGGGTTGGAAAGCTTTTGATGAGTTCTCTGTTCGACATTGGCTCAAGATGGAGGATGAAGAATGTTATGTTAACCGTCTTTAAAGGTAAGCCTCTGATACACGACCTGTACTTGTCCTATCCTCATAAACAGTAGCCAATAGTGCTGCGTCTGCTTTCTACAAATCTTTGGGGTGTGTCCACCTCATCTGCATCCCTTGCACTTCGTTGACCAATGAATTTAGCTTTGATCTCGACCCTAGTTCACCAGGATATGCAGAGGATGACTGGCAAGACGAGGAATCAGACTGCGACTATGTCATCTTGTCCAAATCTATACCGTGATTATTGATAATATCATCCTTAATTACAGGTACTACTAATCTAATAGATCTAAGGACGGGACTTGGTTGTGCGGAAACAGTTCGCGTGACCCTCTTACCTCAAGCCATCGTGTCATGCACTTCACTGCTACAATTCCCATTGCGGGCACGCCGTGTTAGGTGTGAATACCTCTTTCACTCTACCCGCCACATGTGGCGTGCATGCCACTATCAGATAGGTGACTAAGTCCTGTGGCGCACCGTATGTTTGTGCTTCTGGTGATAGGTCCACCCTCTATCGCAGCTAGCGCCGACCTTCCGAATTCTATCTCTATCTTTGCTTTTGGTGGTAGAACGGTTTACGGCCAGCACATGCGACAACTTTCGACGGCTTGCGACTTCTTATCCTCTTATACAACTCATCCCAACGTCTGAAGGTGAGCGAATGGTCCGACATCTCTCGTATATGTATAGACTCAAGTTCGTGCAATATGGTCGCTAGTCCCGTTTGGTTAGCAGTCTTGTGACATTCTGAGTGGCGTCATGGCATCACATCTTGCAAGGGTGCCACCGAAGTTGTCTTGGTAGAGCTATTTCTGCCCAGATGCTTTACGCTAAGGGTTCACATGGCTGTCAATAATCGAATAGGGTGTTCTTTGTCATCCCAAAGCAGAACATTCATTCTTCTTGGCTCCACCTGATGCGATATCCGATCACTTTCCTCTTGTAAGTACCCAAAGCAAGACTTACCGACGACATGGTCCAGAAGATCTATGCCGAATAGGTTCAGTCGACTTTGCTAGGACATTTTTTGCGACATCTGCTACGAGGTCGTAGACAAGTCGGGGGATCTGTGGTGTGGTTCTCGGAAAACATCAGACTATGTTGGTGATGTCCAGAATTCAAAGACCGCAATGTACCGTGGCTTTGCGCCAAGTTGGCGGGCCCCATCAATTCTCAAGCCCCGTTATAACCCCTTTGCTGATAAGTACTAGCCTGCTCTCGACTCTTTGCAGATTGAAAAAGATCATTCCCATTCGTCGCTCCCAACATCTTAAATCGCATGATGCACTCATGAACCTTTGAACCCTGCTTCCGCTCTCTCGCCGCATCATGAAGAACCCTGACATATAATCAGCATAAATATGCGGAGGAACCATTCGTGGTGTGTACCTTGCGGCCCCCTGTGCAGTTCACATATGGTCTCACTTAATCGATGTAATGGATTTGACATCCTGCATCAGATCCATTGTTTGGCTCGGTTGAGCCGAGCGAGATATATACTTCAAGTTGGCCTAGACTGCGATGCACCCCTCCTTTGGGCACCCGTTGGGCAGCAAGTCTCATCCAACGATGGTCACTCCCCGTCTGAGACGCATTGTGCCGATCCAGCCAATAGATCTGACATCTGGTGGTGCTTTGCGATAGCGCCAGGCTTGCCCATCAATGTACTTAAATGAGGCCGGCGTAGTCCAGGGTCATCTCCTCTTGTCTCTTGCAATTCAATCAGGAAACACCGAAACGAGATACACATTTAATTACATAGCCTCTGTCAACCAGTAAAGACTTTTGTTTCTTTTACTAACCTCCCAGGGCCGCTGAAATTTTCAGTATTGTGGATTATATTGCTGCTTTCTAAACGTCGTAAGCTTGAGGCCTGGGCAAATATTGCATGAAGACAGAAAACACAGACGGATTCAGAGTGTGTCGTGTTTGCATCTATTTAGACCAATCCACTTCGAAATTACCCGAGGGACACTGGAGAGTCGGTCAACTTCAAGTCAATATTCCTCATGCTACCGACTTCATCTTTGCGTGCGCTTCAAGTGAGAGTACCGCGCCGCATAGCAGGCAGGCGATTTGCTTCCCATGGCCCACCACAATTTAACGAGCCTAGTGGTTTGCTTTTTGGCGAAAAGGTGATGCTTGTAACGTTTGTTCAGGACCTCTGGGAAGCTGACGGGATGAGTGCTTTAGCCCCTTGCACCAGGACAAAAGCGAGTGAAAGAGGAGTGGGAGAACATCTGGTATGTAGGGATGTTCGGGTCTATGGCAATGGCTGCAGTGTTATTGTACTACAAGCCTGACACAAGGTGGGCGACGCATTTCTTCCGCTGAGCCAGCTCGTTCATCAGTCGACTTGGTCTATACAGTATACAAACATGGGCCTTAAGGGAAGCTAAGGAACGTATGGAAGCTCGCGGAGAGAAATACAAATACGAGCCATCATCATGAATTCTATCAACTACCTTACCACCTCATTCTGACAATCCATACCAGTTCTCAAGATAGAATGCATTGATTTCTAAACATCTATATGATAATATAAGTAATAACAAAGGTATGGCAGTTGAGGCCAGGTCTTGTATTGTCAGTCAAACTTGGAAGGTGGATAGTCGTTTATCTAGTATTACGATTCACGCCTCCCAAGTCGCTTTGTAACTCTCCAGCGTGAGCAGTTTATCCATCTGTTACAATAAGCTGCTGTTAGAATCCCTAGATAGACGTATGAATCACTCACTTCCTCGGGTGCAGAAAGTCTGATTTTGCACAGCCAACCTACAAGCATGATGTTGATGCTGCTGTAACTTGATCAAATATGAAAAAGCTTACCTTTTTCTTCAGGAGAGCGGTTTAAGAGTCCAGGTTCAGAATTCAGGCCCTCGTTCACCTCAGTGACTATGCCAGATACTGGTGCATACTGTATCAACGGACATTCATGAGTTATGAGTTACAAAACAATGGATGTCTCTTAACTATATCCGAAGCCGCCTTGACGCTCTCAACTGCACCAATCTGGTCTACAAATAGGTATTAGCGCGTCGTTCACCTATTCACAGAAAATGGGTACCCACCGCCTTTTGAGACCTTCGAGCCTACGGCAGGAAGCTCCACAAACACAACATCTCCAAGACTCTCCTGCGCATGATCTGTTATAGACACAGCACCCAATCCAGTCTCGTCGTCAAAAGCAACGACTTCGTGTTCTTCGGTATACTTTTTTGCTGGTTGAGACTGTCAGATAAGATTCACTTGGCGGATGGTGAGTTTTACTCACTAACAATAGTCCGACAACTGGGCATGCGCATAATAATGGAGGGACTTGTCCTCGCAGCCGTCAAGGACATCGTTCGCGCACGAGCAGCTTGTCTGATTGCAGAGAACATAATTAAGTTACTGAAGCCTAGCGAGCGTAAGATAGTAGATGCAAGTGGGGGTGTGAGGTGTGACAAACAATATTGGCATTGAACCTTCAAGCTTCAAACAGCCGACGTTGGCGGACAGCTGTCAGCCGTAGGGAAAATCACCAATAGCGGCTACAAGGCGGCTTCGTAAATAAACGACACACACATGTAGTGCAAGTGCAGAATGAACTCTGACTCAGAGTCTACTTTTTTGAACATGATGCTGAGGGGAGATGCAACAACACTACAAGTGAAGAGATGTAAGGATTACGACAGAATAGTATATAATAATCTAGTATTTTCATGCATACTCCAGGATCTTCGTGACGATACCAGTACCGACTGCATTGTGATTGTTCAGCTGGGACCTAGCGGAACTATAAACTCAGAACTTACTTGTCTTGCCACCTTCACGAAGAGTGAAGCGGGAACCAGCCTCGGCAGCAACATCGTGGACCAGCTCACAAACCATCTCGACATTGTCTCCGGGCATTACCTACAAAAGGTGTAAGCAACACACCAGAAAACGGCATAGTGCATACCATTTTCTCCTCGGCGTCAGGAGTACCCTCGGCGAAAGTCAGAGCAACGGTGATATCAGCAGTCCGGAGGAAAAGCTGAGGACGATAGTTGCTCATGAATGGGGTGTAGCGACCACCTTCATCCTTCGTGAGAACGTAAATTTGAGCCTGGAACTTCTTAACGGCCTTCATCGAGCCTGGGGCAATGATAACCTGGCCACGGCGGACTTGTTCCCGCTTGACACCACGTAGCAGGCAACCCATGTTGTCACCGGCTTCACCCTGAAAAAAGGATTAAAATAAACATGACGCGGATCACAAGATACAGTGCTTCGTACTCGGTCAAGTTCCTTGTGGAACATTTCTGTGAATTCATGAGAAATCCAAAATTTAATGATGCATTGGTATTGGTCGTACCGATACCAGTCAATGTGGTTTTGAAAGTGTTGCCAAGGCCAACGACCTCGACCTCAGCACCCTTAGTTGCAATACCACGCTCAACCTGTACAACTGGTGAGCCCAGAGAATACACGTTCCTAACGCGAAGCTCACCCGTCCAGTAGCAACAGTGCCACGGCCAGAAATCGAGAACACATCTTTGAGTAAAGTGTCAAAGCCTGTCCCTGAAAACAAATCTTGATATTACCTTCAATAGGCATCAAGAAAGGCTTCTCAAGGTCACCTATGAGATTGTTTTTTTAACTTTCCTGATCAAGAACCACACAAAAAACTGACGAGGGGGAACATCAAGCCACTCGTCACAGGCCTGGACAAGACTAAGAATCTTGTCCTTCCCTACGCTGTCGTCCCGACCTTCCAAAGCGGCCAATGCTGAACCCATGATGATGGGAGTGTTTTCACCGTCAAAGTTGTAAGTTGATAGCAGATCGCGCATCTCCATGTCAACAAGCTCGAGCATCTCCGGGTCTTCAATCATGTCAACCTTATTGATAAAGACAACCAGCTTCTTGATGCCGACTTGGCGAGCAAGAAGTAAATGTTCACGGGTCTGAGGCATTTGACCATCCGTTGCCGACACGACAATAATGGCTCCGTCCATTTGTGCGGCACCAGTAATCATGTTCTTGATGTCTGTGAGGGGTAGCTGCGTAAAACTGGAGACGTATGTGGGTAAGGAAGGACGAACAGTCAGCGTGGCCAGGACAGTCAATGTGTCCGTAGTGGCGCCCATCAGATTCATACTCGACATGCGCAGAGTTGATAGTGATACCACGAGCCTTCTCCTCAGGCGCCTTGTCGATCTGCGAGTAGTCCGTGAACTTCGCTGCGCCTTTATCAGAGAGAACTTTGGTGATAGCTGCTGTCAACGTCGTTTTGCCATGATCAACGTGACCTAAGAATAAAACCGAGTTAAAGCGCGTCAGAATGCAAAAAAAAAAAACTTGGCCTTACCAATAGTGCCGATGTTCATGTGGGGCTTGTCGCGGGAGAATTTGCCAGCGGCTTCCGCATAACCGCGTCGGTTGCCTGTTAGAATGCCTCAGACACGAACAAATTTGCTCCGAAAAGCATGATCATACCCCAGCTTGCAGCCGAAGGCAAAGAAGGGCCATACGTCGGCTTCCATGTTGAGCACCGGCAACGAGCATACAGTGAAGAAGCCCTCAAAGCTTAACAACCAGGACCCATTAGACATGTGAGGAAAAAGAGGAAAAGCACGAGATACCTCTTGAAGAGCCAGCAAGTTTGTTCGCTATTCCCCGCTGAGCTGCCAACCTAAACATACTTGTGTGCAAAAGAACGCTGGTGGCCCAACGTCTTGCGGGAAAATTGGAGACGATCGGAGAATGAATTCGGAGCGCAAGGAGTAGACTTTCCTAATCGGTATGGTATTTTCTAAGACTTGTACTACATAGACCATGGCAGACGACAGACGAGAGCTCGTCCGTAATGCAGTTTCGTTCCTCTCAGACTCTACGGTGTGCAAATCATAAGTTCCTTGAAGTGTACAACACTCATTGCGTGGATCAGGCCCAACAAGCGCCGCTTGCTCAGCGTGTGCAATTCCTTGAAGCAAAAGGCCTCAGTGGACCAGAGATTGATGAGGCAATGAAGCAGGCGGCAAGCCAGGCTACGCGCTCGCAACAGCCTCAGAATAATTTCCAATCACCATATCTCACATATGGATCAGCTCCCTATCCCAGCTATCCTTCTCAGCAATGGGACTGGCGCGATTATTTCGTTCGTCGTTTCACTCTCCTTTTTGTGGCGCAAGTTGTAACACATTCACTGTAGATAACTGCTGTGATATCGGGGTCAGTGGTGTATGGTGCCATTTCGCTGTTCAAGGTGAACGGTTTGAATCACTCCGTATTTCTTTCTTTTACCTTAGCTCCAGAAATATCTTCAACCACACCTCATTCCTCCCGCAGCGACAGCATACGAACAAGACCGCGATGGACTGACAGCACAGTTTGATGCTGCAGAGGCCCTCTTGAAAGAAATTCAGGCAGAAACCGAAGCCGTCAAGTCTGCGGTGTATGAACAAAATGAACGGGTGAACAAAGTCACCAAAGACGTTGAGTCGGCAGTAGTCGAAATGCGGGAAGGCGAGTCAAAGACGCGGGACGAGATGCGTGAAATTCGTGATGAAGTGGAGAATATCCGAGATATGCTACCTAAGGTAGAGCCGGTGATGTCGGTCATTTTTGCATCTCTCATTTTTCAACACAGATGATCGAGAAGAACAAGGAAACTCAGAAGGAATCCCTTTCTGAGCTGCAACAAGAACTCAAATCTCTCAAGGCTCTGCTGCTTAGTCGCGGGTCTGCTCCAATGACAAGCTCCCCTTCTACACCAATACCCTCGTTGGCCGGTAGACCATCGATACCTTCATGGCAATTAGCTAGCCCAGCACCAGTGCCATCTACTGCAGAGTCACTACCGAGCTCAACTTCACTGAATGGGTCGTTTACATCTCTCACCCAGTTGAATGGAAAAGCCAAGGAAGCAGAGATACTATCAAACGAATCTACATCATAAAATCATGTATTACATTTGTTCGTTCTATAGCAAGTTGTACTTTCAAACTGAACATGTGCTGGTGGAGCAATTTGGACAAGTACATTTCACCCCAACGACGTTTCCTTTGGCACGTGGGAGACTTGTTCGATCATTAATTGTCCAGGACCAAGTGCAACGACCACCACTGCCTACGCAGTTTGGTTCGAGTACTTCTGGTATCCCTGATGTTTTCACAGTTTCGGCAGGCAGTAGAAAGCTTTGCGCAGCCGCAGCCGCAGCCCCGTCGGTTCCAAGACCCCAACGGCGATGATAACCGTTTCACAAGCGGCCCACCTGACGCGCAGTCTACGCGACAGTCGCAATCTGCAAATCAACTCGCGGACGCTACGCTGAGTAACATGCGCAGGTCATTTGCATCACAGCGCCCTGGGAGTCCGCTGTCGCGATCTTCTAGTCCTGTCTCTTCATCTATCTCGAAGAGTAACAGTACTCCCGATCCTGGACTACGCAAATTTACTCTCGAAGAACGCCTACGCGCGTCATTCTCAGTCGGGGATGCATCTAATACTACATCGCCTGCTATTTCTTCGAGAGCTTCGCCAGTGTCGAGTTCAGTTGTGGTCACGCAACATCCACTCTCCCCCACGTCGATTCCTCTGCCAGCCTCACCTGTAATACTTCCAACAACAGCTTCTCCACCTCAAGTGTCTGACACCCAGCCAAGCGACCATCCGTCAGATCCTTCGCCATTTTCCCTCGCTGCAAATCACTCCCAAGATACTAGTGAAGAAGGCCCTCATGTTAGCTCAACAACAGAGGTTCCTCAAGCTCTAGTTCAGGTTCCACTGCCACCGAGCACAGAGGAGGCACCTGCCACAGAATACTCTGTTAGCCTCCCAAAACCCGTATCAGTTTCTACCGGGATAGAAGAACATCATCAGCTACCTAATGATCTTCCTATTGATACAGACACGGCACTTTCGTCAGAAGTCCACAGCTCAGATTCTGGAGACATTAATGGCAACGCCGATGTTCTCATTCACACAGCCCTATCTGCTTCCCATGTAACAGAAGTTCACAGCTCGGGTTCTGGAAATATCGATGGCAACGCCGATGTTCCTATTCATATAGACGCATCTGTTTCGCATGTATCAGAAGTTCAAGACTCGCATTCTGGAGAAACCGATGGAACTGCCGATATTGCCATTCATACAGACGCATCTGCTTCTAATGTACCAGAAGTTCAAGACTCGCGTTCGGGAGACGTCGATGGCAACGCCGATATTTCTATTCATACAGACCCATCTGCTTCACATACGTCAGAAGTTCAAGACTCGCATTCTGAATACATTAATGGCCACGCCGATGTTCCCATCCAAATAGAAGAATCTGCGTCAGACAGCAATGGCGATGGTGAAAAGATAGAACATGCTCCAGAAATCGCTGCTACTGTGCCTTCATCAAAATGCAGCGAAGCCGACGTAGAAGCTCTTCAAGAACGTCTAAGACTTGTTGAACAACGGTTTTCAGGTACTTCCTTGGTCGGACTATATGTTGTGCACATGCTTACTCTTCCAAGATGTGTCAACGTCTTTCAAAAAACTTCAGGCAGAACGGTCGGCTGTGGATGATGTCATTCTGGAATTGACTCCTTTGGAGGATGCTGATGATGCAACCGTGCTACGTGACTACCTGTCTAATATGAACATGAAGACTGAGGTGGGTGACGTGCCAGAATGTTTGCCCAGTTCTAGTCTCTTATCCATTCAAGTAGCTTACACAGGATGAACTGCAGCGTCTCAACGGAAAACTGACACGTAATGAAATGTTCGTATTGCTATAAAAGAATACTGACTTTCTTAAAAACAGGTCAAGAGGAACGTATCGAGGAGCTCAGAGATACTCACAGGCTTGAAACTAGGTCTCAGTTGGACCAGATCCACAAGCTTCGTCAACAGCTCAGCGAAGCAGAAGCCCTCGTTGCAGCCTCTCAAGTTTCAGCTTCTCTTACGGAAGAAGAAACAGCGAAACGGAATGCCGAGATTGAAAGACTTTCAGTCGAGGTTGCCAAAGCAAAAGAAGTGGCAAAAGAAGAAGAAGAGAAACGTGTTAAGGCAATCAGCCTCCTGAAGACTGTGAGACAGAAGCTTGTCAAAGCCGAGAAGGACAGAGATGATGCGCTGAAGGAAATCGGAGAATCTAAAGAAAAGGACAGGCAAGAACGAGAAAAAGAGAGGGTTGAACGAGCAAGGTTACAGTCGGAAATCGATGCAGTCAATGCAGAGCGAGAGAAAGCGGTAACAGGCTTAAGGACCCAGTTCGACAAAGAGGTAGCTGTTGTCAGGGACCGCAGTGAAAAGGAGCTTTCTGCCACCCGCGCACAATTCGAAGTCGAAATTGCAGCGCTAAAGGTCCGTCTAGATGGCCGTAACTTTTCCAATGATCTAAGAAATTGCAATACAGATGTCGCATTCAACGGAATTGACTCTTAAGAGGTCGCAGATCGCTACGTTGGAGGCATCTGTCAACAATCTTTCTAGGGAGAACAGGTCATTCTTTGAGCAACTCCAGATTCGGCAGGCCGAGTTAGAATCCTCTCAGCACCACGTCGGGACCCTCCAGAGTCAACATACTGAACTGCAGTTTCAGCTTAGGGAAGCACAGGATCGCCTTACTCTTCTCGCCGAGGAAATCTCGGATCTTCGAGGGGAACAGGAAACGCGACCGCATGGGCCAGGCGCTCCCCAGGAAGACGTCTCACAGCTCATTTCCACGATGGAAGCCAAGTACGAGGCCAGATTGGCAGAAATCAAGAGGAACTTGGTCCTCGCAGAAAAGGAGCGTACAGAGAGCGAAGCAGACTGGAGTCGCAAGCTCTGCGATAAGAGTAGAGAAACGGATGAACTGAAGATGACTCTGCAGTCTTCCGCAAAGTTACGGGAAGAGAAAGAGAGCACTACAGGGGTGCTGAAAACTGAGATCGAGAAGCTAACAGCTGAGGTGCAAAATCACCAGCGTCATGCGTTGGAACTTCAGCTACAGGTTGACCGTATGAACGATACTGAGGTACGGCTCGTGTAATATGCGCCAGAATGCTTTTTATGACAGGTACCATATAGGCATCGTTCCAGCTTCGCATCTCAGATGCTCAAGCAGAAGCCGAAGGTTACAAGAGCCAGCTTGAAAACCTGAAGGCTCATGAAGTACAGTTACGTGGTCACATCAAGGTGATGACTATCCAAGTTCCTTACTGCTCCATGGTCTCATAGCACTCGCAGACGCTCCGAGAAGAACTCCGCAAGGTGCAAAACTCAGCTGCTCTGCTTGAGCGTCAGCGCAATCCAGGAGTGGGTTATTGGACCTCACGGACCGAGAACACTGATTCTCGCGCGTCAATGTCATCTGGTTCTGATCTTCCATCGCGAGTTGCATCTCCTGGACCAACATCGCCCACCCCGTCCAAAGGCGATGAAGACATCAACCTGGAGTACCTTCGAAACGTGATATTACAGTTTTTGGAGCATAAGGAGATGAGAGTGAGTACAGAAGACCACTGAAAATGTTCATACTAAATCCATTGTTTCAGCCCAATCTCGTTCGCGTTTTGTCCATCATCTTGCGTTTTACACCACAAGAGACCCGGAGGCTGATAGCAAAAGTTTAGTGAAGGGATTATGATGAAGCTTTGAAAGATAGATAGATATCCTTATATTATTATACGTTACCGAGACGTATCAGGATGCGTTGGGACTTGTCAGATTCGCAGCCTCCTGTGGTGGTAACACCGTGCGACAACGCATTGACAACGCTCGAGCTCGCTGTTTACGACAGCGAGCTTGGATACTTTGACTAATTCTTCATCCTTTCTCTAGTTCTTTTGGTGAGACATCAATCGCTCGTCGTTTCGTGTTTACTTGGGAGTCATGGTGTCCGAGTCTGTAGGCACGCTAATACTATCCGCGATACTGAAACACAAGCGTTCAGTATCACTGCATTTTGGCGTAATAGTTGAGCGGACGACAGTCTCAACTACTTACACCTTGTCTGCATTTTGGTGACATCTGAACGATTGAGGTGAGTACCGTCATTGCGGCTAAACGTATAGCATAATTGACGTACTATCATAGTCATGAAGGAACTAGTTAACGTTGGTTCCTCCCGCCTTGCTTGTTGTCTTGGATCAAGAGCTCTCAGACAACGGAACCTCTGTAGGGTCATCATGCGTTCTACACAAGTATTTGGGTTTTTTTCTGAGGTTTATCGGGTTCGCCTATTGGCGTTGAGACAGCATCCTGCGAGTCCTTTGTTACCAATTGCTGTTTCCAGGCTTGTCGAACAATTGTGCATGCACGTGCAGTTCATTGTCCATGCATTGTCGGTAGGTGTTGCGCGTGCCAGTGCATACTTGTGACGCTGACTCTGTTTCTAATCTAGTCATTTTCAAGGTCTTAAAGGTTTCTCCAGCGTCATTTCTCCAATCAGATCCTTCCTCAACCTTTCTGTGAGGCTGAATTAGTAGCCGCTCATCGTGTTGCGCATGCAGGACTCTGAGTCGCAACGCCTCGAGACTTTGGCGCGAGATGTAGACCGCCATCGTGAAAGCCACCGACTGCAAGCTCATCATCGTTTTGATGTTGTTGACTTCCCTGTGATTCGCACTTTGTATTTTTCTTTTTTCTAGTTTTTGTTCGTCTACCTGTATCTAACGCAAGAGAGTCCATATCCTAAGATTGGGACGAACGCACCGAATTGAATAGGGTTAGAGGTCAGTAGAGGTATAGACATCAGAATGAGTGAGTACACAGGAACTTGGGGCCGTTGCGAATTTGAGTAAACAACTGGTCGCACGGTGTTACCAAGACAGGAAATTGCGCTAAAGCGCCCATAATACACAGCCACAAATATTTCCTCAGACACTGCTCGATTTATTAGTAGGCTATTGTCCATGCACATAAATCCTTACGCTGCTTGATTTTTATATTGTCGCAGAATTCCACTGAACAGGTCGTGGAACATCAGCACAAATCAAGCAAGGGCGGCCACAGTAGTTCTTGCCTGTAGCATGTCGCTCGCTGAGTTGACGAGGAACTCGTTTCAATGCGGGGTATCTCCGCAACAGGTGAGTAGTTTCTATCATGTAGTACATGCTATAATGGTGTACTGGAGCTTCTCAGTGGTTAGGATTATGCAAACTGCTTGTACAGCAACAGGATGTCGATGTCGGCTTTAGCACCGCTATTAGCAGTATGTGGCCTGCACACCGAGGATATAGACCCTAAATTGAATACGTGATCAACAGATACTATCCTTGAACTTTATCGTTTGTACCCCGCAGACCCTACCCTTCGCGAATACCTTCAGCTTGCTCTGAGTGACAGATCATTACTTTCGAATGCGGTCTTCGTTTCCACATTTATACGCGCTGCTCGGGATCCGGAACTTCAGAATGGGTCTACTCTGGATATGCTTTGCCGTCTAGCTCTTAATACACATTACACATCAGGATCATCGCCCGCAGGATCCATCATCCTCTTGACGGACTCTCAAGTTTCTGTGCTTTCCAAAGTACAAGATGCACTAGCTCTTTTGCGGATTGCCCACTCTCTTCCCCCTTCTAACTTCCATCATCTTACTGTATCAGCTTCTGAACTCGCGACCCTGCTGCTGTCTTGTGTCACTGACATGTCGCAGTTAACAGCTGCTCAAGCTATGATTTATCTCGGGGATGCGAATGATGTGCTGCAGTCATTGCGCCTTCCGCAGGAACTCCGGCAGATACTCGAGGGCTTCGTGTTATCTTTGAGCTTGCTCATGGGAGATGACGCAAAAGCCGTCAGAGATGCACAGATGCTGCACACTATGCAGCTGACTATGGGAAAAAATGACGTGCTTGGCGTCAATGTTGAAACTGACACCGTCACGTGTGGTCTGTTATTGCAAAGTCTTGTACGTATTTCGAGGCTATAACTCGAGCACCACTTATCCTTTGTAGGTGGCATGCCGTACCTGTGATTTTGGAGCAGGAAGTGATTTAGAAGCTGTTGCAGTAATGACAGGCACATTGCGGTGGACGTCATGGGCCCCAAATGTTTTTTGTACACAGCTACTTGTGGCTGCTCTGACTTGCGTCGCTCAAAGCTCTGCTAAAGATGGTCATGAATCTTCCTTTTCTCTGTGGAGAGCATTTGTAGTTGGCCGTGTAAGTTTTAGCGCAAGCCCACGGCGAGTATCAGTACAGCTTACCACCAACTCATGGTCCATAGCTTCCGCGGCTTCTATTTGCCCTCGAAAAAACTCTTGAAGCTCATGGAACAACGGAGGCGGATTGGGTAAGCATTTTTTTTTTTGGCAAAGTCGGGAAGGCTTAGCATGAACTACGACTCCATCAGCGAGCTGCAATGCATGCTGCATTGTTATCATTATCTCAAAGGTCTGATTTACTGACGCAATGTGATACTGTAGCCCGACAAGGCAAAGGACACGATTCCGGTCAGGACAATAACACATTGTATGTTTGATCGTTGTTCCGCATCCTTTGTGCTAATATCTCATTCTGAAGGCATAAATCGCTCATTGGCGAATTCATTCAACAACTTCTAGCCGTTGGGATTATTGACTATACATTCGCGGTCTCGATGGACCCCATGATGGTAAACGACCCCAGGACACGTTTACAGTCAGAAGCTTTTGATCATGGCTGTTCCATAGAAGTAAATCGTCACACCATACCTTCCTTGCTAATGATGACGAGACCTGCAGACTTATCTGGATTCAAAGCTCACTCTAGATTCAAGTCCAGAAGACACTTTGTCATTGCTGGAGAAGATTCGCCAAGAACCTGGCAGCCACCATTGTTTTGCTGCTGTGGTTCAGAAAGTAATTGCGAGGCCATTCATGATCGATTTCATCTGTTAATCAGGCACCTTTCAGCGATTTACGTCACACTCTACGTCTCTGGATCTTGAGCATTTGAGTCACCTAACGCGGACATTGTACCACCATGACTTCGCCTTAGAGATACTATCACTGCATCTCAAGATTTCATACTTGATTTGTAATGCACTGGAGATAATCTCGGAGTACGATTGCGAAACAGTTGGTATGTTCGCCACCGAAGTTCACGACATTCGTGCTGACAACGACTCATAGGTGATCCACAGACTGCAGTGAGCCATTTGGGCGATATAGTTCTATTTGCAGAGATGGTCTTGGCAAAATTCCGGGTATGTTTTCTGTCATCGGAATACGATTGTTCCTTGACATTCTTTGTCAAGATCTCATCGCCAATCATCAAAGACGGAAAGATGTACCGCACAGAACTTCTCCGATGCACTTCGAGGGTTTATCAGCTGGATGAATTAAGCCTAGAACACAAATCCGCATTTGCCACTTGGTACAAAGCAATTTTTGACAGCAATAGCGAAGGGATCGACGACGCCTTACTCCGGTAATGTGTTTCCGCCTTTACGATGGAACTTATGTCTCATTTCCGTGTAGTACAACAAAACCCCAAATTCTCCTGCAAATCTCCGCCACATTATTCTCGCAGGCGGCCCTGGCTCGCCAGGAAAACCGACTTGACAACGACACGCTGCAAACCGGTATGTCATATTTCCTTGGGCCGTTGCTTCGGTGGACACTCGTTGGCGTAATTCATGCCATGTTATTTGAAATTGGGCACAGAGCGTAAGTGTAACACCAGTCTCAAATGAATTCATTGTCGACACGTTTTCACTGCAGGCTTGTAGCTCCATTTCACCTCGCAATCGTACAAAATATTTTATGCTCTGCCCATTGTCCTATCGTTGTCCGCCGTCTTTGTAGTCCGAGCTGTCTCAGACTATTATCAAGTAAACGGATCCAAGCTTTCCCCCAGAGTCCAGCTCTGGATATCAGCGTTATACGAGCCACGTGCTTCCAAACCCTCGGAGTCAACAAAGACCGTGAGTAATAACTTGGAAGTAATCGTTTCCTCCTGCCAGCTCAATTGATCATCTGACACAGCATCTTGCAAAGCGTTGGAGGATCATCAGATCAGCCCTGCCACCAGATGGATGGACTTCCCAAAGCAAGAGATCCGCGAGGCACTCGCGTTAGCTCGGCGCCACAAGGCTCCTCGCATCGACGTTACACGGTGTCTCTCCGCCACTTCACCCTCTAAATTCCTTGATCTACTCTGGTCAGAGCTCAGTGTCGCTTCCAGTCTAGGGGAGATGGAAACATGCAGACGTTTAGCGACATTCGTTTTAGCCATGCCGCGTCAGCTATCATCGGCGCCACCCCTCCTTCCGATATCTATGTACAACGTTCTCCCTTACCTCATTACGGCTATAGACCAACAGCAGGCAACAGAAAAGGGTATGAACACACAGCTCCTGGTGACAATCATTTCATCCGCGCTCACCGCCGCACTACACATTGAATGGGCGGTGCAAACGGTGTGTGAAGAGCAGCGTTTTGTGCTCGGTCAACCAAGTGCTGCTGTCGCAAGGCGGCTTGCAGCTGATCTCCGAGCGCAGAAGCACAGTTCGTCTACTAGTGCAACTATTTTGCAGCGTCTGGGATCATCCCCTGCCTTCGTCACCAATTTTCCTGCATTTGTGATGTAAAGGGCTGCAATAATGTAGACAAAACTTCATGATAATTTATCTTGTGAAAATATAATTACGTCTTCCTGTCTGCCCTCTACACGGCCTTGCATTACATACTCGTCAGAACCAATTCCGTATATACCAGTGGCTTATAATATCTTGATATATACCAGGGTCTGAAACGCATAAATAGACATAGTAGTGGTGCTACACGCATGGGTAAACGTTTTTTAAACGCCTAGTGTGGGCGGAGCTGGCAACACAAGGTAAGTGCAAGCCGATGGTATGAAAGATAGATAAAGGACTCACGGCAGCAAGCGTTTTCTACCGGATCACAGTTTTGATCCGCTGGACACAGTATCAAACACGATGAATCCATGGATGTCTTGGGGGTGATCAGTCAAATGGGGATAACTATAATCGACGTAAAGCACGCACCCTCAAGTGGTCTTCTGGAAATATGTTTGGGTGGCGAGTATGGTACTCGGGTTGAATAGTACTAGAATGTATACCGTGGTAATGAAGAGCTTTTCTAATTTCTGCTGCAACAGGCATGAAGTCATGGTTTCGTGATGCCATCACGTGTACAGAGGCGACGATTTTGGATTCGGAGAGTTGCCACACGTGCAATTCATGGACGGAAAGAACCCCATCTACATTCAGAATGGATTCCCGGACATCGTCTAGGGATATAGCCGGCGGTACACCTTGAAGGAGAATGAAAGACGCGCTCTCGACTGAGACAGGTGAGTCGATGCCAAAGATACAGATAGGAAAATGCACGTACCCAATGGCAGAGCAGACGAAAAGATAATGGCAGTGATCACAAGACTAATGATAGGGTCGAAGTAAAATTTGTATTTCCACTCTGTAAGCCAGATGACCAAGCCGGTAGCGATGACTCCGACATTCCCTAGGGCATCGCCTAACACATGCAATACTAGGGCACGCATATTCATAGAGCCATGCGCGTGACCATGATGGTGGATTGTGTTACTCTTAGAAGACGGCGCTACGGTTATTTCGGATCCGAGGAGTGGGAGGCGCTCGTCGAACACGTGGCTGGAAGTACTCAATCGCCTCGTGTGCGGAGGCGGGGATGCGATGTCCTGAGCAGCTTGCACGACAGACGCACGCGTCGCAAAGGGGTGTCCAAACATCGACGAATATGAGCCAGAGCGCTCATGATTATCAGGCCGTCCAGATATCTTCCTGGGAGTGACATCATCGTCTACAGCTTGTTCTGACTGGGAGGTGCTCGAAGAACGTGTTGGGGTCGGAGAGGTCTTATGGTCGTGACTGTGTTCTAGACATAGAGTGGTGACATCTGAGCAGCGATAAGGATGGTGATGACGTCAGAACTGACCATGGAAGAGAAAGAGGCCAACAATATTTGATGCTAGACCGAATGACCCTACGATCACAATGAGACGAGGATTGGAAATTTCTGCGGGAGCGAATGGTGAGAAGTTCTAGAGTACATATGGAGTTAGCCCACCTGGTGTGCTGAAGAAGCGCTCCAAGGCTTCCATTGTAATGGAGAAGCAAAGCGCAAGGAGAAAAACCCCATTGACAAGAGCAGCGAGAATTTCGGCTCTGTGCCACCCATACGAATATCTAGAATCGTTGGCACTTTTTTGTGACAACTCAAAGACAAAAGAGAGGTTATGCATTATGCAATGGCCTGATGCGATTGACACCATACCTTAATGGCGTAGAGAGCAACCACAAGACTTATCACATCGCTGTTGAGGGATTTTAGCTACATGTCAGTGTAGGTTGAGGGAATACGGACTTGAGCATGTGAAAGCTGTCGGCGACAAGGGCAAGTGAACCAACAGCATAACCTGCGAGTTTAGCTCTTAGAATGGTCCTACTAGTGTAAGACAGAATATGAACTTACCTGCAATGAGTTCAATGAAGAAGAATATAACATCAATAATGAGCAACAACGTTATTCTCCCTGAGCGAGACATCCCGAAGACAGACATCGAATGGTGAGTAGTAGCTGGCGGCACTAAGTAAAGGCAAGCCATTCACCGCGGCGGAATAACTCACCACCGCTGCTTACATAAACGTATTGTGTGCGTTGAACATTTTTCGGCTGCCTTCGACCATCGTTTGAAGCAGGACTACAGTAGCATCTCGGTCCAAATCATAGACCCATCAGAAACCATTTACATAGGAAACCAAAATGACCGCTCCATCGATGGCTGCAGCTCTGGCTGCCTCACTTCCCGCCCCCCAGGCCGCACCAACACCTGCAGCCCCCACGTATGAAGCCATCCCTGCATCCATGTCCAAGGCGATCGACATCGAGGCTGAGATACCTCTTACATGCGTCCAGCTTGATGGGATAGTGCGTAATTTTGTGGATCGTCTCTGAGCCCTGTATCCCATCATTTACCTATGAACGGTTCTACTACTTCTACTTTTCGAAGTTTTGCGTTGGACTTATATTTATGTTATACTGACTCTTGAATTGCAGGTTATTACCAAAATTTTGAAACACAGTCGTGAGGCATTCTCGACAACCGCGCATGGCCTTCTGTTAGGCCTTGATCTTGATGGCATCCTCGAGGTGTCCAACTCGTTTGCATTACCGAACCATCACAATGATGATGATGAAAAGGCGACGAAATCTATTGGTGGGCCCCCCGTTACTATCTCCACGGATCGTAAGCACTGACAAAACGTTGCTGATGGTAGCCCGCTACCAGCAATCCATGCTGCGATCGCTAAAAGAGGTTCAAGGAGATGACAACGTCGTAGGGTTTTACCAAGCAACCTCACTTGGTGCTTTCTTCAATCAATCACTGATAGATACACAAGCAATCCACCAAGATAGGCTTAGACATGGCGGTGTTGTTATTGTTCATGGTAGTGTCACGTGGCTCTACCTGCAGACGCCACATGCTAACGAGGAGGTTTAGATATCTCACAGACAGCACGCGGAAATGCGTCATTCCGTGCATTCAAGCTGACGCCAGCATTCATGGATGCCTACAGGAGAGCTAATTTTAGTACAGCCGGGTATGTTTCTCATTTTGATCATGCTCCTCGATCGATTTAACTGAGTGAGATTTATAGGTTGATTAGCCATCGATTAACTTTCGCTTCCATACTTGAAGAGATTCCGCTAAGAGTCAGGACAAACGCGCTTCTGAGTTCGTATTTGAACACGCTTGCGACTCCCTCGACTTCCACGTTTTCGGATGCTCATCCGGGGGTGGCAACGACGTCAGCGATACCTCCGTCCTATTCAGTGCTTGATATAGGCAATGTGGGACTGACGAAGAATTTGGAACAAGTCGCCGAAGCGATCGATAATTACCGGACAGAAGAAGGCAATGTTGCGTATTTGTCGAGGCAAATCGCACGGGAAAAGCTTCGTGCGGAGACATATGTTGCGAAACGGAAAGAGGAGAATGCGCGACGGGTGGCGCAGGGATTGAACGCACTACCTGAAGAAGATGTAAGCAGGTTGTTCAGGATCCCGCCTGAGCCGAGCCGGTTGGAGAGCATGCTCTTACTAGGACAGGTGGATGCTTACGCGAAGAGTCTTGAGAGCATTGCAGGTACGGGATTAGTGAAGATGTATGCAGCCAAAGCTAGCTCTGGTGTATAAATTTCCTTGTATTCTACAGGGGCTAACCAATGATGGATTAGCGTTTTTCAAAAAAAAAAAACAATGCGAAGGTTACACGCCATTGTTTAGGGCAGTGTGTGTGACCTGCCATTGTTGGTACCTGACAAAAAAAAACAGGGTGCAGGACAACGGATACTTGTTAATTACCTAATATAGATTATGGGATGGGTATTTAACTGAGGGTATTTTCTTTACCTTTTACACATTACTTGGTGTTTGCCTTGCTTCTTCTTCTTCATCGCTCTTTCTTTTCCCTGGTGGTCGGCTGTCTTTTCTTGTCCACAATCTTTATTTTAATAGCTAGTATTGCTACTATAAAGTCACCCGTCGATCCTTCCAGTCGAACCAGCAAGAATCTTCTCCCCCCGCTCATTACAATGGCTCCCATCACGAAGTGCCTTGCTTTTCTCTCTCTTGTGCTCTCGGCTGCTGCCCTCACTTCCCCTCACATCTCCAGCGATGTTTTCAATCACCGTCGCGCTCTTACCCATGTCAACGTACAGGCAGTCACCGATAGTCAAGTCGATGCTCTGCCGGCTCCCAAACGTCAGCGTGCCCTGAACAAACGCTGCGTACCTAAATCATCTGGTAACTCCACTGTATCCTCTTCCTCGACATCGGCCTTCGCTTCCGTTTCTGCTACAAGCGTCCCGGTTAACGTTGCTCCATCACCTGTTGTAACCCCCTCTGCCCATTCCTCATCCGCTTCGGGGGTAACTCACGAAGCTTCCACTCCTTCGGCCACACCTACGCCCACACCTACACCCACGCCTACACCTTCCCCCAGTACCACCAGCGAGGCTGCGCAGACTACCTCTGCATCTAGTGGTGGTGCTCCGGATGGGTACCTCAGTGGCATCAACGCTGGGCAGGGTAACTTTTTCTTCATCATTGTCCCGTTCTCGGCTCATTTCTTATGGTAGGCACGTACTACGAGACCGGTCTTGGTGCTTGTGGTATCACAAATACCGACAGTGACTACATTGCTGCTGTCTCTCACCTGTTATTTGATGCCTACCCGTGAGTATCATACTCTCCATTCCTAGTCGAAATCTTATTTGGTGAACTAGTGACTATGATGGTGTGAACCCCAACACCAACCCTCTCTGCAACAAGCAAGTTACTGCTACTTGTAAGTCCCTCTGTCTCTTTTTATCGATCATGTTTTGACTTTAGTTCAGACCAGGGCAAGACTGTAACAGTTAAGATCACTGACCGGTGCACGGCCTGTGCGCTTAGAGACCTTGACTTCTCCCCCGCTGCATTCAGCACACTTGCGGATGAGTCATTGGGGCGCATCAACATCGACTGGTCCTGGAGCTAAACGTCTCGCTCTCGTTACGCCTTTATGCTTCCGCGACAAACGGCCATATAATGTCTGCTATGTTTTTATTCGTTATTCTTGCGGTCAAATGGTTCAAGGTATATATGTTCTGACTGCTTTCACGCCGGACGTCTCTCTGCTAGCAGAGAGCTTGGGATCGCTGTCGATTTTGCTATTCCCGCATACCCACACATACGTGCTACGTACTTAGATCACTGGCTGATTTCTATATACCTAGTTGATGGGCTGGAATGAGCGATTGTTGCCTGCTTGCAGTGCTTTTTCTTCTTGGCAGGCCTAGCTTTGGTTTAGGTCTTATTGTGTAATTTGTATAATAAAGTGGAATATAGATGCCTGCTATGTAACATGTAAACCCCGAGTGGTCGTGACTCGTCGCCATCTAAATCTTATCACACGGCATCCGAAATCGGGCTATCAGTTTTCGCATCCGCACTGCCGTTAGAACATATTTCGGCGCAGCAGTAGTTCAGCGACTCATGCCCGATACTTCTGCCCTCGGTCCTAGAATCGAGGAATTAGATTAATCGAGTATGATCTTTCATTTCCGCATCGATGCCGTTGTGCAAGCATTGTAATTACCACATGAATGTAGGTAATGTGATTGGTCCTTTCGGTAAAGTCTGCTGAAAGGCTGTGACTGACAGGCTCCCTTGAAAAAAACGTTGCCATACATCAAATCACGCCAACGAAAACGCGCAGTATCCCCGCGGTCTCGAACGATGTTATCCTTGCAGCGCAGCAGTCGGACCATGTGATGTAAAAAAAAACCACTGCCGCATCGCAAGGTCTCACGACAGCCCTGTTGCTGTCACAAGTTGCTGCCAATAAGATTCCTCGGGGGTACCTGATACTGCACTATCCACTGCAATCATAAGATTCTTTTTCTCTTCCCTCTCCGATCCTGCTGAGACCGAGAGAATCGTAACTACAAGGTCCACCGCTAACCTTCGGATAAGCAGTGAAGAAGTGGGGATTTTGGTGAACGGGCCAGGAAGCCGACCGCGAACAGGATGCGTTATCATGAAAAAGGGTGTGAGGCGGGTTTGCAATCCGATGATTTCCTATAATCACACAAAGGGACGGAATCACACATTCGTCAATTGCCCGTCGTTCCGATCAAGGACGCACCTCATGTTTGATCATGATGGAGCCACGTTGGAGGAGACGTAATAATGATCGGATGACTATCTAGAGCCGGGACGGTCAGCTGAAAAAAATGGCAATAAACTTGGCTAAAAAGATTACCTCGGAAGCAGCCAGGTCGTGAGTACCTATCTCCCAAAGCGTCTTTGGGAGGTGCAATATCCATTCTCGAAATTTATCCTGCTCCCCTGTGTCGCGCACATCGAAATGTCCGCAATAGTCTGCCTCTGTTTCGAGCTTGAAGTGATATCATTTATTCGTATTATCAAGAGGTGAGGGAAAATACATACCAAAAGAATCCGTGCTACAAATTCCACAGTGAGAGCCTTAACAGCAGAGTTCGATGTCGTCCTAATCGCTTGATCGAGCATCGCGGATAATACGGTGTCTGTTGGGGCCTCGCCTTGACTTCGCGTGTGGCTTTCCTTCGGCTGGTTTAGGAGAGCCCATATCGTGGGTAGCAGCGCGATGTACATCGTCGGGATTAGCGGCCTTGATATTTGTGCCCCAGAGTGATCTTCCCCTAGCAGAAGACGAGTGACGTATGTCCTGACTAGGCCAGCCTGTAAGTTTAACTTGCCCTCATGTTTGACATGAGAAACGTTTGATCGAGAAGTTGGAAAACGGGCTTTGCGCAAGATATCTCCTGCTGGTCGGCGGAAGGATACAAGAACTAATAGTGCTGTGAGTTCGCAGTAGATTACATTCAATTCTTGGAATGCATGTTCCACCTAGTTGTAATTAGCTGGGGAATCTCTATACAGATTGACGAATCATTACCTTGATTTCTCGGCGCGCAGGCCTGAATGGAAAGTACCCTGTCATATAACCGAGCAAGGTGCGTAGCTCGTCGCACAGGGTTTCCTCCTCGGCGAGGCTCAAGGAGAACCTGTCTTGCAATATTGATCCATAGAGCGTCCTCATGATTCGCGCCGTCACGGTAAGAAGGCTGAGCTCTGCTTCAGGAGGATTCGCGCTAGGTGAAAAGACAACGGGGGCGCAATCAAGATACGAAGCTAGTAGAGTCGAGTAAAGCGTTTGAGCCAAGTGCTATGGATCATGTGGCGTTGATGAAAGACTAGATGATGAGGATAATCGGTGACGTACGATGAGAGATGAAGTATTACTATTTAAATGCGTCAATGATTCAGTTTGGGCAAGTGATAAATCAGAAAGGTCATTTAAAGACCAAGCTGTGGCTAATGGCCCAGTCGTGAAGTTCGGCATACATATAAAGTCTTCGCGAAGGTGCCCAGCGTCCAGCTGAGGTTGACAATCAACCAACTCAGATTGGAATAATCGTTGGTAAGCATTAAATGGCCGAGCAGAGCGGAAAGAAGGAGCGAGGAACCACGTTGGTAATGTGACTGCGGCTGGGTCCAGGTTAGAAGTTGCATGATTTGACGGTCGCAGTTGTCGCGATACCGCATGAGTGAGGAATGCCGAAAGTGACTTCAGTACGATGAGCTTCGACTGCAATGCATGTCAGTATTAATCCTGTAACATGCTTGACGGTTTGGTCATACCTGCGACGAAAGAACCACACTAGCAGTCGATGTTGCCTTTACTTCGCCTTTGTGGGATGAGAAGTTACATGAGTTTGAGAAGCGTTGTAACCCTTACCTTCGGTGTCACCATATTTGGTTCCTGCGCTCAATATTCCCAAGTAACCTTCTAAAACTCTTTTTCCGTGTCCAGGATTTCCTTGAATCCAGCCATCGACTACGCTTTCTGGGACTAACTCGAGAAACAAGTCTAAGAATCGCACAGCATCAATCCTGATTTCTGGGAAGATATGGGTCTGGGCTGATGTAGTGAAAAGAATGAGCAATGGAACGTGAGGGATCAGGTCCTCCTGCATAAAAAAAACAGCTTAAACATTTGAGTGATCACGGTAAGTCACATAATACATCACCTTAGAAACAAGAGGCAGCAGCCAGCTCAAAAATGAAAGCAGTGTTTTTCGGACGCCTGCATCCTGTAGATGGTTAGATTTCATTTCCATGAACGCATCACTGGACAAACCTCGTCTCCGATCAAGCGGACACAAGCCCCTAGTAGTATGGTCATCGAAGATTCTACAATGTCAGGATGCAATTCAAACAACTCCCGGAAGCTTGAGATAGCATCTGTGAATTCAATAAGCTTTTAGCGTTGCAGGCGAATGACACATACCTTTCCGTGTATTCGCATTGTAGTGTTTCAGGAGCGAAACGAGGTCATCGAATGACTGTTTCCGCCTGGTGGTAGGAAGTGCAGTATCCTTCTCCACAGCAATACTCTGGGTGGGAAGTACAATGCCTTTGGCCATGAGATATATCCCGGCCCACGATTGCAACTGAATCAAATACTCACTACGAGCTTTGAATGAAGTATCCACCGCATTGCTTGGTAGCTGCTTGCCTTTACCAAGTTTCAATTTAGCTTTCTGTTCGTCAAGTTTAATGAATACAAATGGTCGGATGGATGAAGCTCACCGAGAAGTCGACCGCTTTCTCCTTCTTCTTTTTGGAGCTCTTTGGCATTATGCTTATAGCGAGAATGAAGGAAAACGCGTTTTACTATGATCTTGCCAAATGCTTCGGCAAAATTTGTCACATGACTCAGTTCACTTATCTTGCTTGCAAGGTCATATGCCAACCCGTTAATTCTGTGAATCGTCCTTATAAAAACTGAAACGACTGTATACGTAATCCAGTTTAAGCATATTGTAGTAGACTATCGCTGTGAGATGAAGGTAGCTGCAATCTACCACCCTAGTCTTGGGAAGGGATTCCTCATGAAATCGACTTTAAGATCCAAGCACAGCATATCCAGCTCGTCCGCGGTATAACCTTTCACAGCAACAGTGAATTTGGCTGCAAAAGATTCAGTGACTGGATTGACTATAATATACAGACTTGTGCGCACCCTGAGGGATCTCCTTTGGCAATGCAACCGTCTCGACTACAGTGTAATCACCCTCTTTGACTGGACACTGGATAGATGCGTTTGCGTTGCGTCTATATCTGACTTCAATCAAAATCCAGGAAAAAGCCACCAACCGACTTACGCTTCTTCACAGAGATCAAACGTCTTCGAGAGAAGTTTGATCAGCCCAAGTTTCACAACAACGTCGGCGAAGGCTCCATCCTGCGAATAGACGTGATGTTTTGCAGAATGTGATAATAAGAAAACTAACCTCGATTGGTTGTTGAGCAGTCGCCACAACTGTGACTGTCAGGTCTTGGCCCGGCTTAGGTGGGTCGGGAGAGAGGCTTATTGATTTCAACTGAACGGCGTCTGTTGGGGAGCCTGAAGCAGCTTAGCATATAGCTCATGCACTTTTATCAAACAGGTCTCACCACAATCGGACCATGACCAACCCTCCATTGTGTGTACCGGCTGATTCATAACTTCTTGTGACGGAGGAGAACTTGCAGAAGCAAGACCCGCCAACATGACGAGTAAAGAAACGGAAAATATATGAACCATGGCCTTGTAACAGTAATTCGAGTAAGAGCTGGGGGGGAGGCAGAGTACTTGTCCGGAGCTCAGCTAAAGCGGCAGAATGGCGTGGGAGAATTCTATGTTGGGTCGGAGCGATATGTGGCGATGAGTGTAAGACTTGGCATCGCTGCGCACCAAAGCAAACTTGCTTCCTTTCTCTTAACCAACCACCAAGGTAATTAACAATCCTGTAAATTAACCGGAGAATACTGATAGCTTGATCCTACCAAGCAGCGTTTACCTTCAAGGTTGACCTCATCCCCGGGTTGTACTGCCGAAAATGAAAGCTAGAGAGTATTGCTGTTGCGCAATCCCCTTGGTCAAAGCTGGCATATATACCACGTTGATCGAACAATTTTCTCTTGGAATTATCATAGGCACCCTTTCTGTTGGAACGCCTTCCAGTAAGTGGCTGCTACCCCTGGTTTCTAGTATATAACCTGTCTCTGTAGTTGTTGGAGCAGCAACTCCTTCATACGCCCCGACGCTCCTTGCAATAGTATGCTACGTGGGCGCTGCAATTCAAGTTCTTGGCTTCATAGGTGTATTTAAGGTATGGTGTTCTTATAATGTAGTTGCTGATGCTGAAGTTTGCATCAGGAAAAACACATACTTTTCCGCCGCTATGCCACTCTTCACTCCCTCATCACCCTTGCCGCTTTTGCAATTGCTGCGGCGTGGGTCATACTCTCAGCCACTCGTCACTCAACTGCTTTGACCAACTGCGAGAAGAAATACTATCCTACAGCATCCAACGGTAGCAATACTACCGAGGGTCAAACCGTCTGCGGCATCATTACCTGGATTGACGTCGGGCTGATGGCCGGTGCTTGGGTCTTCTTTGCTCTTGTGCAGGTGACTTGCCTATCGATTAATTATCCAGCAAACAGCTGATCGTTGCTCTACAGTCATATCTGTTCTTTGTTGTTTCATCTTACGGGACCGCCCAAACACGGGATTACGAAAAGTACGACGCTCTCAATGATACCACGAAGCCACTGACGGATAATATTCCGATGACTGATCGTGGTGATCCTTGGGATTATAGAGCATCTGCCGAATATGAGGATGGCCGCGGTCATTTGCGACACGCAAGTATGGCATCAACTGCGAATGCTCCTTTACAGAAAGAAAGATACGCCGATGGTCAATCTCATCTTACGCCGACCTATCTCCCTGAACCTCAGCCGCAAATTGAGCGGCAGCAATCGACACGAACTGCCCCTTTGAGCACACACAGCCCTCAGCCTGCTCCATATGCTGATGATTACTACGGCGCTGATAGTCCAGCTGTGCAACCTGCACCCACTCATCCCGGTGTGTATTGATCCTTCGGTCGCTCATCACAATCGCCGTTTGTGGTCGACTTGAATGAGCGGGTTTGTCGGTTCTCTTAATTAGTGTTAGCATTATAAGCTGATTCCTTTTTCTTAGCTTAAGGGTCCCTCGGTCGCCCAACGCCAAAACCATCACATTCTTGTAGCAGAAGAAAATTCTCTGATTCCATTCGTGAACGTTTATCTGAAGACTGTAGTATACCTCTATAGCGACACATTCCTCTATGTGGACTCATCTATTTCTACGACTATATATATTGACGTGGTATCTCTTGGCCTACTTCCAAAGTCATGTTTCTTCGTCGTCTTCCCAGGGCCCTATCTTTAGTGATATGTGCTGTGCAGCGGCAATGTTTCTCCACCTATCTTGTCGGCCATGCTCGGTCATTAACTGACTATGAAATGAGACATATGCCACTTTGTGAGGCAAGTGCCGAAGCAGAATTGTATCCTCTATCGTATCACAAATAACTCGTTCTTCTTCGAATAGGGGTACTGCATACCACGCATGAGTTATTTGTAACTTGAGCACTTGGAGCGAGGGACCCAGAGCTAGAATAAAGTTTTCACGCAGCTCATTTACAGTCACCAATGAGAGAGCAAAGTACTCTAACGTGGGCAAACTGCGGAGGCATGAAGCGATAGCTGCACTCGAGAGTCGGCTACTGCCCAATAGGACGAGTTTACGAAGGCGTGACCCAGGTCCCGCCACAAGAGATTCCAGATGGACGTTTCTAATTTCGAAACCAAGTCGATGACCTTGTGCATGAATGAAGGAATCGAGTTGGCAGTTGGGAAAACTTGTGTTGAAACGTATCTGGTCAAATGCATTGCTTGTGACGGCCCGGATGGTGAGATGGCGCAGGGCAGGAAAAGACGTTTTCTTGAAACGACAATCTCCTGATAAACGCAGCGAACAGATGCGGTCCGAGGAGATTGTTTGGAAAGGATTTGCCCTTGTGGACGGATCCAGGTGAAGTTCATATGCTTGCAAGAGGGGCTTATGACCCTTTGCAGCGGGAAACAAGGCTCCCTCGAAGTTCAGTTGATACCTTGGATATGACATTGGATTGAGTACAATGACACCAGCAGATATAACAATAGTATCTCACCTACATGAGATCGTATTGGGATAATAACGATGAATGTTGAAAACTCGTAATTTCTCCAGCGATACGAACTTTGCTAATACGAGATACAACCGAGAGGCTGGGCCAATCTAGAGAATGACGACATGGCTAATTTAACGACACCCCTGTCCAAGGCACACGAAGAGAATATTACATACCTGGCCGTGTGTACTCTCCAAGACACGTCCATCGTTGGCAACATCAGCCCAACGAACTATGGGCGCAGCTTTGGGCTCAGAATCCAGATAAGTGAGGTAGCGATCCACGTCCCAATCGTTTCGCAGGGAGACATACTTATGGAACATTGCGCGTGCTTCATAGAAGATCTGCCTGCAGGTATGAAGGATACGGATATGGTTATTGGAGGGTTGCTGATTTTGATTCACACGCAGGTGATTGTCCAGGATGGCTTGATAGACGAGGATACGAACGTCGTAAGGCAAGTCTCGTAGAGAGAGACGTTCTGTCGACATGTTGTGAAGGTTTCCAAGGTTGTGAAGCCATCAGTAGTAAAAGTAAAATATTGGTTATGATTATAAATTGCTGAAAAAGGCGTGAGTCAAGTTGATCAGCAGATTATCCCGAGGTTGACATTTGGAGGGAAAACGATCCATCAATCCGCAAGCCTCACCACTTAAGCATGGATCTGTCCTTCCCTGCTTCCGATCCTGGACTGGCATGTTCGCAAGCATCGGAGGCCGCAATACCTGCGCAATTCCCCCGCACGAGGACAATAAAACAAGCAAAACGTGGCAACACGCCTGACTCTACTTATTTGTTCTTGAGTCACCGTTGCCTTACTTCAGGAACTTCATGCTGCCCAAGCTACATAAGATCACCGTAACTTGCATCTCTTCATTCAGGATCGCATTCTTGTTGCCCTGATCATTCGACAGTCCAAATTTGACGTCTAAACACTGCAGTGTTTGGGCACGACTATACCGCGTGCCGTAAGGCAAACAAAAGAGGCCCGCGCATCAACGCTTCTCCGAGTGAAGTGTCATCCTCAAGTCGATTAATATTGCTATTCTGTCTGGTCCTCCTTTCTTCTTTCTCCAATCCCCATCCCAAAAGACTTCTACTTATCGACACTAGTCTGAGCTCCCGTAACTTTCCGTTTCACAACTATGCCTGCAATCACACAACCATATGAAGTCTTACTCGACTTCACAAACGACACGCATGACTGCGCAACGATCCAGTTACTGCGGGATTATGACCGGAATACTAGCGCAGTTGTTCTGCTACACCCGGGAGAAAGCCTCACCCTGGTCCTCGAGGCAGGTTCCATGTACAAATATGCTCTCAAATCACATTCCAAGGTTGCCAACGTGAGGTGCGTATACACTGCAAATATGTCGCTCGTTTCTCACATATATTGTGTACAGTGCACGAAGCTGGCGAGACATTCAGTGCGAAATATCGCATCTATTTGCTGCTAGCCCACCGTCATGGGCTTCTTTACGTGGGTCTACGGGTTCACCCGCCAGCGGCGTCACCGTTGACCGAGTATGGCGGGATTATCGGTTCAATGTTTGGAATGATGCTGTAAGTAATTACCATATCCACTGTCAAGTCTTAGTCTTACCTCCGTGCTAACCAGTGAAGCGAGCCCTTTTGACGAGATACTATACCCTGAGGGGCACCAGCCTTCATACGATACCAATCAGCATTTGCACGTAATCTCGTAACGTAAATTTATTTCTTTATTGTTGCTGGTAAACCTCATCTTGCAATTGAAATTCACGCCGTAGGATGATAAGCAATCAAATATTTATTGTTGTCGTCCTTCCAAATTGCGCAATCGACATTGTTTCGATGACACATTAAGGGTAATCAACCTGCACCGGCTCGTCCTCGGCGAGTGGAACTTCATCGATCTTCTTGGGCAGCGATATAGATGTGAATGCTGTATTTCAAGCCCTGTACAAATCAGTGCGTGAAGTTTTTCGGTGACTTAAGATAAGGTGGGGATGTCGGCCGGACTAACATGCCGGTGTGGGTGGTGCAATACGCAAGTGTTTGCCGGACATAGTAATCCGCCCCCATCATGATGCTGCAGGCTGTACGCTGCTATATGCTTGGACAATACATCACGTGAGAGTGATCATACCCAGCGTCATATGTATGAAATCCATTGCATCATGGCCAAGGATGCATATTTAAATCCCGGACAAGATGCCTTTCAACCTCCTGACACAACATGCAAGCCGCCGCCAACATAGCACAGTCGGTAGGTCTGCGTGGGATGCTCATCTACGTCCGCTGATGAATACATATCAAGCAATTGGGGAAGTCGCCTACTGTCGTGCAGCCGGAATACAAATATCGTGAAGACGGCTCAACTATGAAAGCCCTCGCATGGTTCGGTGCGACAGACGTTCGAGTCATCGATGCGCCTATCCCCGACATCACAGAACCGGATGACGTTATTGTTAAAGTAACAGGCACGACTATTTGTGGATCAGATTTACATCTATACCACGGGGAAATCATGGCCCTTCAGGAGGGTGATATTTTGGGCCACGAGGTCCGCATCGCATCTTCTTTGAAGACAAATTACTCAGTGCCCACATGCTTACCAGTTTATGGGAGTTGTCGATCGGATTGGCCTCAATGTCAAAAACCTCACCATAGGTCAACGCGTTGTTGCATCCTTCCAAATCGCATGCGGAAAATGTCGGTATTGCAAGGAGGGACTCTCATCCTTATGCGACAATACCAACAATTCAACGTCTGTAACCTGCTCTTGTTTCACACTGACGTACTAATATTCTCGTTACTAGTCTGCAGAATTACATGTATGGAACACGCGATGCTGGCTTCTTTGGATACTCCCACTTTACAGGTGGTTTCCCTGGTGGCCAAGCAGAATATGTCCGCGTGCCCTTGGGCGAAGTCAACCTTCTTCCTATCCCAGATAATGTTTCAGACGAAGAGGCTCTGTACCTCTCTGACGTTCTCCCGACCAGTTACCATTGTGTCGTTGATACTGGCGTGCAGGAAGGTGACACGGTCGGAATATGGGTTAGCATAATTATTCTGTCGTATTTTCAACCTAACTCCAAGCAGGGTCTTGGTCCGATTGGACAATGCTGCGCTCGTTGGGCAAAATTGAAGGGAGCATCTCGCATCATCGCTATAGACCGAGTTCCAGAGCGTCTGGAGCGTGCGAAGGAACAGGGTTGCGAAGTGATTGACTTTGGCAAGGTCAAGGACGTTAGTCAGAAGATCCATGAGATGGTTCCTGGAGGACTTGACGTCGCGCTTGACTGTGGTGAGTCTGCCATAAATGCATACAGTTCCATTGTTTGAAAGATTCTCAGGCACATTCCACGAGCCGAAGACCTTACTTCACAGAGGGATGAAGATGCTTATGCTTGAGACTGATGTCCCCGAGATCGCGAACGAGATGATCATGTCTGTGAGGAAGATGGGTCGATGCGGGCTTAGCGCTGCATATACTGGTTTTACCAACGGCTTTAACATCGGTGCGCTCATGGAGAAAGGGGTGAGGTTTATCGGCAACGGTCAAGCGCCAGTCCACAAGTACTGGAAAGAAATTCTGTACGACTACATCATGACAGGCAAATTTGACCCAAAATTGTGAGTTTCTTCGTCCTGCTTCAGGTGGTTCACTTCACCGAGTTTTTCAGCATGATATCTCATCGCGTACGGTTGGAAGACATGGCGAAGTTGTATGCCGCTTTTGACAAACGTGTAGCAGGTGTTACGAAAGTGTTTGTGGAAACTCGGTTCTCCTCACCGCCTTCCGATGGAGCTCCGAAGCTCAGTCAAGTCGATGACTGGGTGCGTTGAGTAAAGCGTCGGCGTCTGGTATCATTAGTAATTTTTTTCATACGTCTCTAGTAGTATTGTTCAGATGTATCATGTTTTTACGCATATTATGTTGAAGTCGTGGTGCTCGAGGAAAAAATCGGCATGCTAAATTTGTGTTGTCGTTACGTTGATCATACATGAAACACTTCACGATGAAGCTTAGAGCCTTGGTATAGCCATCCATGCTTGTGCAGTTGCCTGTGTTTCTAGTGTCCTGCTGTGCGGATCACTAGGCATTTGGATACGGTGGGGATGCTGGCCTAACACTACGGGGAGGACATGAAGAGGGATGCCATGCGAGCGAAAGGTCAATGGGTACTAAAGACACGATTGATGCATCGTGCACAGCATGTAAGCGTATTGATGAGTTCGAAGATCAGTGCGTGAAGAGAGGAGGCACGTTTGAAGGCATGAAGTACAGTTTACGAAGTGAGGCAGATGGTCTTGAAAATGATCGGATCCAAGTCTGTTTGGAGCAAAGATGCACTGAGTAATTCTGTGTCGATTAAAAGGGTACATACCTGAACTATATACATTCGTGGGTGACTCAAAAACCAAGCTGAGGATACGTGAAGGAAGGAATGAGGCGAGCGGGAGACAAAGCTGAGGCCCATCAGAATGTGCAACGAGGCGTGACAACGGTGACGCATGATGTATGTGAAAGTGTGAAATATCACGAGAAACGTGCTCAAGGGAATGTATTTGCGTGTCCCGGATGCGAAAAGTACAATCTCTTCGCACCGACGATACTCGGAGTAGATCGTGCGTTTGACCAGAAGTATTAGTTCGTGGTGTAGAGAATGAGGAGTCCTTACAATCGTACGAAGATCACATACCACAACAATTCACATGATGAGCATATCTGGAGAAGATTGAAGAGTTATACGCTCGAATATTATGCATGAATTAGAACCTAAGATTGTAATCAAACATGCATGAGGTATGATATCATGCCAGTGCATGCCTACCCCTCCAACGAGCGGGCCGACCGAGTGCACCTTGAACGAGCCGCATAGCAGGCCGACTATCTCCCGGTGATGCAACACCTGCACGGGCTGGCAAAACTGGGAAGTTGCCCACGAAGTTAGGGTTCCCTCGTCTCCGAGCTTTCTCCTTCTCCTTGGAGTTAGCCCGAATTTGCATTCTAGCTTCGGCGACTGGCTTGGCCAACATGGTTTCCTGCGTGTTCGCATATAATCAGGGTAAAGAACAGTGACAACAATTGAAATCTTACAATATAAGCTGAAGCCTTGGCACCTATTTCTGTTAATGCCTCTCGACCTCGATACTTCATGACTTTTTGAAGATTGCGCCTCGTCGTTGACCGTAGTTCACTGCTGTCAAATCCACCCAAGTTCAGCTCTTTTGCAATGGCAATCTCTGCGTGTGGGACACCGCTGTTGAGGACACCGCGAGGTGAGTTCCACCGAAGCTTCTCATTCAAGAGTTCCCGCCCTACTGCACGTGCAGTCATCTCCAATTTGAAGTCATGGGGATTGTCGACGAGCTCAAGGAGAGCAATGGGTGCATTGTCTCCGGCTCTATTATCGAGCCTATGAATTCGCGTGTAGCCCCCTGGCCTGTTTGCATAACGCTCGGCGAAGGTGGTGAAAAGTTTAGGAAGGACCGGAGGTTTCAGGATGAATGCTTGGGCCTGGCGATACGAAGTCTCGCTGTTCTTCTTCCCGAGCGTAATGATCTATTCACGGGTAAGCAGACTGCAAGAGATAAAAATGTGATCTTGCCTTCTCTGCCAGCCTGGCGGTGTCTTTGGCCTTGGGTAATGTTGTTCTAATCTGCTCGTGTTCGAAGAGGGAAGTCACAAGATTCCTATGGTATGTTCAACGCCAGGGTAACCAAAAATGAACCTGTTTTCCTACCGTAGCATTAAATTCCGATGTGAGGACGTCCTCGAGAATTTTCGAAAGGCCACTCCATGTTTCATAGCTGCCTAAATTCGCAACTTGCTTTGAAGAGCAAATGACACGAGAGGATGTGGCAGCCGACATACGCGCCGAAAATTGCTCACACGTGATCTAATGATGAACAACGATATGTATGTATAACAGCATGTACTTATACGTGCATAGATTTATCGTCCGTGAGTATGTGTACTACAATGTGCTGTATGTAACGCATGACAGTGGGAGCGACGAGTTTTTACGAGAGGGGAAGAGGGGAAATACAGGCATGAGAGTGAGGCAAGAAGGCGAAGGGAGAAAGATATGAACACGATGTAAGAGAGTTTTGGACGGAAGGAGACGAATGCACAGGCGGGTAAGAGGACAGTATCATCATGGTGTACCAGATGGCGTGAGATGATGCGCAAAACAGAGTACGGCTGAGACAGTATGCTGACAACAGCAAGACAAGAAGTGGCGTGGTGATGGGACATGATACATATGGTACGCGAGTGCGAGTAGGGACGCAGTTCCAGTTTTGAGCAGTCTCCAATACGAAAACAAACACCGAATTGTGTGTATAACAGATTACTCCTCTTGTTGCTGCTGTTCTCTACCGACCCTCCTCTCCTTCTCGCTTTCGAGTTGGTTGTAGAGCAGGAAAAGAGCCTTTTCGTTGGCCTCCGGAGTACCGACGATGGTAAACATCCGCTCACCCGTCTCATCATGTGGAGCTTTGGCAATGGAAATTTTGGACCCTGACAACCGCCGGATTTCAGTAATCTTGCTTCCGCTTCGACCAATAATGCATCCAACCATATCTGATGGTATGGATATGTTCTGTGTGCGCAGGTTGGCTGTTGATTGTGCAACGGTAGGTGAATGGGGCGAGGGTGGTGGTGAACGTCGGGCTACATCTCCATTGGACTTGCGAGCTCCAGCCGAATAGCCATTGGCTGATCGTCTCGTACCTGAGGTGGCATCACCAGCACCAGGATGGAATGGAACGGTGCCCTGACCCCTTTCCCAATCTTCCAGTAAGCACTTGCCAATCTCCTCGATGGCACGACCGATCGAATCAGGTGCGCCTTGTACTTCGACGATGCGCTCGGTTGATTGTGGGAGCATCTCCTTTGATGCCACCATGCGCGCCCCCGAAGCATCCTGGATAGCCTTTATTTTGCCACCGCTGCGGCCTATTATCGTACCCATGAGATTGTGAGAAATTAGAAGACGAATTGAGGTATGAGGCGATGACGATGATAGGGAGATGGGTGATGGGCTGGATGCCACAAGTTGGGAGATTATAAGGTTGTACGCCTGAGCCAGGAGCCACAACGTGTGAGCGCTAAGCCGAGTATATATTTGTGTTAACTTGCCTTTGCAACGGCTTCCACAGATCCGCCAACGGTAAGGACGCGCTCGTGTACACCAGGGATAACCTTACTGACGCCAGCTCTGACGCCAGTCTGCTCACGAAGATCAGCGACATTTTTCCCGCCTTTGCCTATGATGACGCCAGCTTCCTTTGTGTTAACAAGAGCACGAAGAGTTAATGTGTCATGAGCATTATTTGGAGAAGATGAACGTGATCCTGGCGGAGAAACTGATGTGACATTAAAACGTGAGTTGTAAAGATCACCCCTAGATAAAAAGATGAGATTACCAGAGGCGTGTCGAACTGGAGATTCAGCAGACATTATGAGCGAAAAGAAAGGGAGGGAGAGAGAAGTGAAGGGGGATGGAGGTGAAGAAGACCGAACTTATTTAAATGACGATGATGGAGGTTAAGATGCAAAGAAACGAAACTTGTTGGCAAAACTTGCCACCGTCGTCGATACCTTTTTGGGTACCGCTACCGTCCGATCACACAGCCACATCTGATGACGTTTCGTTTAAGGTCGTCTCTCCCAAACTGTTGTCAAAGTCAATTATTATCCTTCAGATTGTATCATATGCATGCCTAAAACTACATCTCTGTTGCAAGTGTTTTCGGTGGGGGTTCATCGTCATAAAAAAAACGCCAGCTCAGCAGAGATCGCATAGTTACATGCATGTCTTATGGGAACCATCATAACATAAAGTAACGCAAGCACATAGAAGATGAAGTAGTCTCTCATCCAACTAGTACCCCAGCGTCGTTAGTTTCTCAAAGGATGGCGCGGCATCCGAAACTGCCTTTTGGCGCAACTTCAGTGCTGTAATCTATGTATCATGTCTCAGTCAGTCTTGTTCGATGGAGCTTGCTTAGTTCACGTACCTTGCGCTGGTGGAAGGCCTCTGCCTTGATCTTCCTCTTCTCCTCAAGACGGTCCACAACATCCTTGTAGCCCCAGCCAACCTCGTGCGACAGGCGCTACATTAATTTTTATTTGTCATCCAAGAGATACGATTGAACGATTGAACAAACCTTAACAGTACAGTATTTCCGGCCGGGTTTCAACCGCAACACACGCAAAGCCTCAGGAACAACCATCCGCTTTTTGTGATCGTATGGTGGTGGAACACCCTCGAAGAGCTTCAAGCGCTCAAGAGCGGCAGCACCCCGAGGAGTCTTGTGGGGAGTCATACCACGAATAGCACGGAACAGAATTTTGGAAGGGGCACGGTGATGGAAAGGCCCAGATTTCCTGGGGTTGACAATATGGCGTTTGTGGAGGAAGTTGTGGTAACGCAGCTGGATATTAAGTGTATGCGTCTCGTTCATTGACTGGTTTAATGAAATAGCCAAATACCTTGTTGCGGAAGAAGCTACCGGAAATGTTGATCTCCTCACACCTCACGACAACAATCTTCTGGCCAGAGAGAATCTGTTTGGAGATTATTGAGGCCAGTCGACCAAGGAGGTGACCCTTGCCATCAATAATGATGGGTGTCGATGAGAAGGTGGCCATTACAAAGTCTATCAGAACGCGCCGGGTTCAGCTTGATAATAAGTGGCATGAATATTCCGCGCTCACCTAGGGGATGGAAATATATGTTCAGGAGTGTCTACACGGCGGATAGGATTCTTACCTTGAAGGTCTTGAGGTCGGTCGTTGTCGAATGTGGGAACTTGCAAGTCTCAGCCACTGTGACCAGAACTATGCAGTTCCTATCGGCAATTTCCGAACTTTTATGAAACTTCGTTTAAACGTTTCATTTGACTTGAACGTTTGCTCAAAAAATACCCAATGATTAAATAACATAGTGCTCTTTCTCTCTCGACCGCCAGCTGTGTTCGAGGCAAGTATCTTGAAAACAAAATACCCCCGCTTGGCCCATGGGGTGTTCCGGGCGACGGAGTCATTTGCTAGAGTCGGGATACACAACAAATTTTAATGTTGAGATATTATGTCTCGTGCTATTGTACACGCAACAGCGTCAGACCCTCAAATATCGGCACAGTTAGATTTCATATATTACCTTGTAGTCCCATGCCATCCGAATACTGCGGCCCCGGCAACTGAGTTAGAGGATTGCATGCAGGCGGTTGAATTCAATTGAATTGAAGGTGGAGGGTTGGGAACGCTTTGTACTATCCATAAGGCTGGCGGGCAACACACTTTATACATTCCCAGATCCGAAATGATCCTTGGCTGCCAATCCACAAATCTACGGGCCTTGGTTGATACAGCTCGCAGAGATGGCTGGTGGCGAACTAAGAAAGGTAATAATGAGTTTCCGACATATTCAGATATTTTGAACTATGAAGTGTTCGGGCATGTGCGCCAATGACAGTAGTTGCCAAGCCGGCATTCGAGTCATCGACGGAAGCGATGGTTCACTAGCATGCACCTTAATGAGCCGAGAGCCATTGAAACAATGGATTTCCACACAGACGTTATCCTCGGGTTTTTGGAACAACGGGTAATGGGAATATCACGTTTGACAGAAAGGAGCCTCAAACCACATAACGGCGTGAGTTTGGGATTGCAGCGTGCAGAACATCTCATCGCGGAATGGTGATGGTACATACGTACACATACACCGGCGGTGGTTCCGCGTGTGCACAGTGAATCTGATAATCGAACGTGCATCTGGATTTCATAACTTGGCCAGCGAGTCATACTTTACTGCTTCCCTTGCAATCCACTCTGCCGTCCCGTACTCCGTCATCGTCCATGCCTTCTCAGTGATCGCATGTTCCTTCCAATAAGCAACAACCCTCGGACGAGTCATTACTGCTGTCCACAATTGCCCGCCCAACGAAAAATTCCCTCCAGGTATGAGCTCCTTCTTGGCAGATGGGAACACTTGGGTTATAAACGTGATGGCTGCCGCCACTGTTGCATGAAGCGCAGTCAGGGGGCCCGTCTCTTCTGGCACTACTTTCATCTCCTTCTGCAGTTCTCTAAGTGCAGCTTCTGTGTTGCGCAGGTATCGTACGGTGATCGCTTTCCAAATCTTATCTCGTGATGGTGGTGCTAGCCAATCCTGTGTGGGTTCAACTTATCAGTCCACGCTCTCATCACAGTGACTTTGATTACCTCTTCCACGCTCAATTGCCATACCCTGTTAGTGAAGAATAAAGATGCTTCCGTGATCATCTGTACGCGCGTACGGGTTTGGAGTGGGAGGTCTTTATTCAACTTCCGGATGATCAATGCTTTAGCGCTGGTGCAGTTTATTCAGACTTACTGTAGCTCCTGGCGGTGCTAGGATCTCTTCAAGGTAAGACAGGATAGCTGAAGTCTCTCCAAGCACAAATTCGCCCCTTTGTTTAGAACTTTTGTTTGTTACTCGGAGAACAGGTACACCGCCGTATGGAAACATCGCGGGCGTAACTTGGCCTGTCTTCTTCATTTCCACCCACTTCACGGGGGGAACTTCCTCATACTCGAACTGGGTCCCTGAGTTTGCGAGAATGAGTAGCACCGGCTCACATCGGGCTCGTATAGGAAAATAGGTGATGTGAATGTGGTACATGGATGTGGATACCATGGAAGGTACGAACTATACGCGCTAGCGGAGGAACGCTCAGCATGCGTGAAACAATACTAAAATGATATATACCTAGCGGAGGAACGCTAGGATACATGAGCAAGAGTGAGATACGAGTGGGAAGAGAAATACACACCTCAGTATGCGTGAAACAATACTGAGGTGATACTACGAGCCAGCACGGTCTATATACGAAAGATAAGGTGAGCTTAGCTAATGAACCGGCGAAGGGAGTAGCGGAAAGATCGTATGGTCAAGAAGCAAGAAGTCTAGAAGACGAGTGCAGCGTAGGTGATGTCTAAAAGGTAAATCACGTCAACAACCGTCAATACGAACACTCAGCTGAACTGTTATTACTCGGACCTTCCTCGGTTCCTTCAGTTCCCCAGCAAACGAGGTACTGACACAGGCTCCCTATGATGTTCAGCCGTCAAGACCCTCCAAAATGGCCCTCAAATAGGCATACACCCTCACGTCATTCTGACTCTTCGGTTTGGGTAACACCTAAATGTGCTTACATACGAATGTGACGAGCGACTACCAAAACTCATCGCATACATCACTGATAGAGAATATGGTCACGTACCAGACCGAGACGCTCTAGATATACTGCTGTCCAATGCATAACATTGAAAATACGTTTGACAGTTGTTTATGCAGTCGTCATCAAATATATTGATCACAGGTCAACTGAGGTGCAGAGAATTGCTTCACAACTCTGTCTCATACGATTATAGAAAAAAACGGTTGTATAAATGAGTAGAAGGGGCTGACTAATGACTGTACTACCAATCCCTCAGTGAGCTACAAAGAAGGTCAGTAAATACATTGCAAAGACAAATGATGTCCTGACCTTCTGGTGTCTTTGCAATATATTCGATAGCTAAAGGACGTTCATTAGTAGACGGCCCATATAAAACGGTTGACGGAAGCGCACCTTGCTGTACGCTTTTTATCTCATCAGCTTCCGCATCTGGAATCTCAATGGCAAACTCCTGTTGAAGTATGTGTCGACGGAGTTCTCTGTGAATATGAACATGGCCACGCACCTCCTCTACCGCCATGACCACCTCAACTGCATCTAAGCTGTCAAGCCCAAGATCATCCGTGAATGAAGACGAAGTTGTGAGCTGATAAAGAGTACTGTCAATAGAAAAAGGTATCATCGGGTAAGATATTCAAACCTTGGCTGCGTCCACCTTCTCGAAGCCCTTCAGTACGTCCAGTATGCGTGTCTGTATGGTTTCCTTCGACAACCCTGCTGCTGCCGAGTAGTTCGCACGAAATGCCCATGTCTGTCTCGAGGACACCGCAAGAACGGGACGTGCACGAGTGACACTGCGAAGGGCAAGGCGAGTGAAAGACATGTTTTGCAAAGGCAACGATTTTAGAACCTGGAAAGAAAAGTTAAGAGGTCCGGCTTTGGCCGAAGGCATGTCTAGACTAGGATCACGTGGGCTCAAACCGCGTTTTTCGATTCTTGATGATTGATTGAGAAGTCTGAATTGATCATTATGATTCCTCAACCTCACCAGCAATTCGAAGCTGGCTCGTCTCGTCGCCCTCAGAATGCATACCAGCTTGAGGACGATAACCATTCTGCGTACACATATGCATCCTCCCAGGCTGCGATAGCAGGAAACGCCATAACAGCCGCACTTACCAACCCGTATGCTCAGCATGGAATGTCCCCTCATTACTATCAGGCATATATGCAGGCCATGCAGCCCGCGATAAATGCACAAGGATATACCTTATCTTCGACTTACATGCCTCAACACACCACTGGTGGAAATACTCTGCGAAATGCATCTCGTGAAATTAGCAATAATGTCCCCGCGCGGATTAACGATAGAAGGCCAAACTCCACCAGTGGCCAAATGCATGGTAGTTGGTACCAGCCTGGGAGCTGTCGCTGTACTCGTCAAGGTTGTGTGTTTACAGGCTCTAAGAAATCAGTTGAGACACATATGATGGACCGCCACTTTATCTTCCCCCCTGGATGGTCGAAAAAAGACGAATGGGATACCGATCCAAGCCTAAAAGGGTATGTTCAACTTGAATTTTGTCGAGCTAGTGACTTTGGATTTAATTCATAGCTTAGCAAACCTATTGCGATTCAGGGAACATCTTTAATCCTCGACTCTCAAGAAGCGATCGATGGTTGGATAGCAGAGCGCAAGAACCGGTTTCCTACTACACAGAAGGTCGAAGACAAGAAGAGGAAGCTGGAGGAGGCCGTCGCGAGAGGCCAGCTGACACCTGAAGACATTGGTTTACAAGGCAGAAGGAAGCGAAGACATGACGATTCATCATTTCGGGGTCAGCAACCAAGGGGTCGAGGGAGGGGTAGAGGAATGGGTCATGGTAGTCACACTAGTTTCACCATCTCAAGGATTCAAGATACATCATCACCGATGAAACGTCAGCCAGCACCTCTTCCCCCATCAATTCCTATGGAGCAACAGGATAGATGTGATTCAGACTCAAGTTCGGATGATGGCGCTCCCGAAGTCGTGTCTTCTAAGCTACCTCCGGCTGCAGAGGTAGCCGTGGTTTCAACACCACAGCTAAAGCAAGAACTGCAACCACAAGCACCACCCAAACCCATAAAAAAGCCACCTCAGCTTCAACCCAAGCCCCCGCCGCGAAATCCATTCGCATCACGACCTACCTTACTCCGGAGTGTACGCAGTGCTTGTGCCCATTATCTGTTGGACTGCGAGCTAATATATTCCATATATTCCGTCTAGTTGCTTCTTCCTGAGATTCGCATCACAGTATCAAACCTGTCTCAAGCGATTCGATTTTTGGTTGACAATGACTTTCTGCGAGGAGTAGAAATGAAGCCAGGCGAGGCGCAACAAACAATGATTGAAGTAGTGGGAAGCACTGGACCCCAACTTCCTCTCTCGAATGAAGTTCCAGGTGACTGCAGTAGAATAAGTAATATTATTGACCAAAACGCAGAAAACGAGTAAGTAGGGATGTGGTGTAGATTTATGCTGATAGAATTATCGTTCACCGTCCCGAGTCGCTCTCACTATCGCTATCACTGCCACTCTCACTGCCACTCCCATCCTCATCGGCTTCGACCTCCAACGTCCGTTTCTCAACTTCGAAGCCATAATCAGTCAATCCGGCCGCAATCTCGTCCGCCTTGGAAGGTGCGGTGACCACTGTTACCATAGATAGCTTCGAGTCGAACACAGGCAAGATGTGCTTCTTCAAGGCAGTAAGTACATCAGCCTTCTTCACGTCCTGGTACTTCTCTAGCATCTGCAGGTTGTGGTCCTGGGCAACTCCTTTGAGAGCTTGGTTGGTAAATGAGTTAACAGCCTATGACCACTGTTAGCATGATCCGAGCTCAAATAAACACACATACAGCTCGTCCAGCCGTTGCGACATTCTTGGTGACCCCATAGACAATGCTGCTTTTGGCTGCATCAAGAGCGGTCTCCTCCAGTGCCACCTTGCTTTGAATCAGTGAGTGCTATGATCAGGAAAACATAAAACACACAGTCCCATCAACTAGTCCGCTAACGACCTCTTTTGCTTGTTTAAACGCTTCCAGGCTGTTGGAACTCTGCAAAAGCATCAGGAAGGAAGTTCGCCATTCGCCAGCAAGCTGCATACCCGGTAGAGCGAGAATGTGAGCAAACCAGCTTCTCTATCTACAGTCATGTAGGCACCATAGGCGAGACCAGAGCCTCGGATAGAACGCTAACACATGCAATAAGCAAGATTCGGTTTTGCTCACAACGAGTTCACCTACCCAAAGGAAGCTTTCTGCAGCATTGAGAACCTCGAGAGCCACCCGAAGAGCAGGGAATTCAGGATGATCAAAGCCCCGTATTGCTTTCGTAGTGTGGTTGACAAACGAGCTTTCGATCGTTGGCAAGCTGACCACGGTAGCCTAAGAACAGGAACCGGTAAGAATACTACAAACCCGCAAAACAAAAGCACTTCGCACCTTGGTTGCAGGATTCTTACCCAATTCACTAAGGGTGTCGCTCGTGAGCTTCAGCGGAGCAAGTTTGGATTCCTGCGTGATCGTGAAATGATGCTGTTGTTGCCAGTCGAAGAAACACGCACCGGTAGAAGGTCCCCGAAGTGCTTTGACCAGACACTGCGTGGCTTGGGTATGTCCAAAACATTACCTGTGACCGATATCCGTACTCCAGTGGGATCCGTCACTGGTCACATTGTAAAATGAATGTCATGTCATACTTTCATGATACGTACGGTATTTCCTTAGTTCCTCAAAGTCCGCAACCACTGTATCAGGATCCTCTTGAAGGTTCTGAATAAGTTTCGGCACAAATTCTGATTGAGGAAGGATGGCGCCAGCAAGCGATGTCGAGCTCTTATCGTAAAGCATCTCGGCCCATATAGAGGAAAGAACATTGTTCCCATCACGCTTCAGTTCCGGAAGCGACTGCGCCAGCTTGGCAGCAGAAATCTGCAATCTACACCGCATGAGACATAAAAACTAATTGAATATTACAAGACCCTACCTTTCCTTGTCAAATATCGAATTGTATACGAGATCACGCAACCATGCAATGGCTGATTCGTATTGGGAAGTCTCGACCTTGAAGCTAACGCGCATTAATTCCGAAAATTGGTCGGATATACCGAGAACAGCCTCATACGAGACTGTCCCATCGTCGAGCTGGTTGACAACCTCTTCATGGCTGAGTACCTCTCCTGAAGCACGTTGCACAGGGAGCGAGAAAAACGCCGAGAGGTAAGTTGAGAGGTAGGGCCGTAGCCTATTGGGCAGCTTGGCCAACGAGAAGAAGGCATGGATAGCGACAAAGTCGGACTGGACAGTCTTGAACGTCATGGTCAAAATGAGATTATGAAACCTTTACCTTGACATGATCGTATTGTACGAACATGGAAAGCGGCGACCCATCAGACTGAATGTGCTTGGAAAGCTGAGATTGTCTGAAACTTTGCACAGTACTTGAACGCCCTTGGCCAGGCTCTTGAACGCACTGGACAGGTATCCAGGAGATGCTCTTCACATCCGGAACAGGGAACGACGTCAAAACATCAGTCGGTATTGGCTTCTCATGTTCAGCTTTTGCAGCTTCCAACTCCCGTTCTGCGACAGCAAGACCATCTGGACCAAGCGTCTCCCGCTGATCAGCAAGGCGAGCCTTTTCATGTTTCTCGAGCATCTCTGCCAGAGTTGCAGAAGGTTTGCCAATGACGACAACGTAAGGGCGGTTGATGATGTACCTAACGACTATTGAGCTATGTCGAGATCATTATCTGTCATGACTTACTTGTGCAGGAGATCCACCCATTGCGAGTTAGTCCATGTCCGCAAAGTCCTGTAATAATTGATTTCATCCAGGGCTGGGTGCATGTCCGAACCATCCGCAGCACCGTACAGGAAGTCACTTATGATGGCGCCCGAAAAAGTGTCACCTTTAGCCGACTCCAATTTGCTGCGAAGCTAGGTAATGTCAATAACTTCAATATTTGGTTAAGGCTTGGTGTTGCCAACCTACCTGGCGCTCATCCCGGTTGATGACCATGGACATTCTCGTCATATCTATACCATCAGACGCGATTCGTTTGAAACTTGCGACAAGCTTCTCATCAAAGTTATTCAATTCTTGGACAGGGACTGAACCAATGTAGATCGGTAGATCAACCATTGTCGCGCGAGTGTCTTCGCTAAAGTAGATGTACGAACTTACAGGGAACATCATCAGTCTAATACTATACCGAATATTGAATCAAGGATACTCACCAGAGAGGTGACTCGATTTCGATGTACTCCTTGTTCAAAGGGGCAACAGGTGATGATGTAAGGTATGTAGCAAGAATGTCTAAAGCCTGCGAAAGATTGTAAGCTCCGAATGAACACGTTTGTTAAACCACAGACTTTTCGCTCCATGAAGTTGTTTGGCGAGGGACCAGTATAAGTAATCAAAAGTTCGCCCTGGCTCTCGTCCTTCTCAGGAAACTCGACGATGTCCTTCGTGATTTGTTTGATGGGAGAACGGTTGGCACTGGCGGTCTCTAGGAAGGGTCTTTTCCAACCGTTCGGGCGGGGGCCATGGTCTTGACCATGTGAAATAATACTAGGTTCAACCTTGTCCTGCACTACAGCCAATAGAGACTTTGTTCCACTAGAAAGCTTCCCAGTAACGATCAAGGACAAATTATGCGGGACATAGTATGTGGCGTGATATTTCCTGACTAAGATCAAAAGGACGTTAGTGGAGGATGGACGCCAAAAGGGATCGACTCACTTTGCTCGACAGAAAGAACCCTGAGTGCTGACATGAGTCCACCAGTTTCGCTACGATAGGCACTCCCAAAAGGGTACAAGAGACGCTGCGAGCTGAGAGGCGAACATAAGCAGCAAAAACAATGGTACAGCATAATGACAGACCGAAGGCCCATGAGATCGCCCGACGTATTTTCGCGGCCCTGCATTTCACTGTACACAACACCACTATTCTCGCCCTTTGCATTGATGTGGTGAACCTAATCGCGCGTCAATATGTCTGGGAACAACAGCTCTGAAAAACTGCCCACCTCAGTCAAGAAGGCTGCCTTGGTCATCGTGGGATAGAGGATGTGATCCAGATATATGGGTAAAAGCTGAAGAAAGCCCTGCTCTCCAGCAGTTGAGGCAGTGTACGCTGGGAGAATAGGGTCGATGGGGCGAAGGAATACGCCACTGCGAAAAAGACTTACCAGTATGATCGGTGTCTGTCCATGCATTGGTTCCATGAGAAAACCCGCGATTTGCAAGATGGTCTATGATGCCTTTGTATGGGTATTTTTCCGAACCCATGAAGACGAGACTTCCAGCAATATTAAGCTACATTTGAAAATCGGTTCGACGTCCCACTTACTGCTCTAATGTGTGCGGGCAGCCGCTGTCATCGAAGACTACCATGAAGTTAGCTCCCGACGTTAGTCACAAGATGGAATGACACTGACTTTCGGTACCAACAACGAAGTAGCCGTTGACGATGGGTGCTGGCCAGAATATTAATGTTGATTATGTCGAACTAGTAGATGGCACGATGCATACCTTCATAATCAAGATGCACTATAGTGAGACCGGTGACGCGGCTCTGCCATCTTGATACGACGACATCAGTGTAGTCTAGCTTGACACGTTTAATCAGGTCGAAATTCCCATAAGCCTCAAAGTTATCATGGGGGGCAGCTGAGCCATCTAGAGAAAGTGACATCGATGAGACGGATGATTGGGAGAAGCGGCGAGAGGAAAGGAAGGGAAGATTGCGATTAGCGCCGGTTTGCAGTTGGACTGGTGATTTTAACAGTCCGATGCGTCTCCGAGAGAGAGAAGTCAGCCGGGACGCCGTTAACAGTCGCTGCATTCACTCGAGTTGATTTTTCTGAGCGGAACAGTGCTCTTTACGTCAGCACTTACTTAGGTCCAATTTTATACTACTTGCTCGTGCATGTGACTACAACCGAGGACGCCGTCTCCTGCATTCTCTCGCGCGCGTTTCTCAAGGCCATTAATGGAGACAAAGCGTATGTTTGATTACAAGCCAACGCCCGAGCAATTGGCTCTTGCAGAGGAACGGCGTATGCAGCGCAAAGCAAAGAAATTGCAGCAACAGAATACCCAAAATCATGCTAATCTCCCTCCACTGTTTCTCTCAAGGCCATGGAAATCTTTGCCAGTCACTCAGACTGCACCCCATTCCACCATCAAGGTCGTGTCCTGGAATGTTTGTGGATCTTTATTTTGTATTTCGGAACCATGATGCATCAATACTTTAGCTTCTTGCTCAATGTTTGATTCGTGCGTGATTTGCTTCACGCCCAGCGTGTGCTCAGTGACGGTCGAGGATAGGCTCGAACCTCTTTCCAACAAGTTCAAAGGCCCTTAAAACTTCTCACAGGGAGCCTATGATACATGCAGAGATTCTGTCCCATTCTGCAGATATAATGTGCTTGCAGGTTAGTTGTCAACCATCTAAGACGTCCACGTTCCCATGCCGAGTACTGCTACCCACAGGAAGTGGATCGCCTAGAAAAGCTTTCTCCTATTCTAGAACAAGCAGGGTATTCCTCCGCTCATGCTGCAGGCCCTGGAAAGCAGCATGGCTGCCATATTGCTTATAAGCAAAACAAATACAATCGAGTGGACGAACTTGTAATTGAGTACGACAAGCAGGAAGTGCGTGAGGATTCTTCCAGTCCTGCTGCACGTATTGGATCCAGTCGCGTTACTAGAAACATCGGTTTCATGGTCGCGTTGGCTGAAGTTGGTGCCGACCACCAAGGTGTCATTGTTGCAACCACCCATTTGTTTTGGCATCCTGCGTTGGTGCAAATCATATATCTTAACTGAGCCTACATTAATATGGGTCCACTGTTTCAGATTCACGTACGAAAGGGCAAGGTATTCCAGCTCATTCGCCGGACGAACATATCGCTGAGCTGGCTCACAGGCAGGTTGGTATCCTCATTCGAGAAGTCCTTAAATTCCGACAGTCTATGAAACTTGATCATTGGCCCTGCATCATCGCTGGTGGTAAGCACGATAAATTCGAATTGAAGGAGTGTGTATTGACTTCCTCGTGATTCTAGACTTCAACTTTACTCCCGATGACCCGGCATACTCCTTGCTTGTTGGCGATCCGCTTACTGAGGCCCAGTCTCAGCGTTTGCATATGTCTCGTGTTATCCATATAACCATTGATCCAACTGTACCACCAACTACCAAGAAGGCAGACGATGAAGAGGGAGATGGTTCAGAGGCTGATCCTGACAAGGTCATTAATAATTCCAGATTAGCCACTTCATCAGACGGACTGCTATCCGACCTTGAACTTGTGTCACTATTCAGAAATGGTGCCAAGCTTCGGAGCGCATATGATGAAGGTCAAAGAGCTCGGAGAGACAACGGCACCCCAGGTGATTTGTACACATTTGGCGAGCGAGTCTCTTTGCACCCGACCAGACTCGGAGCTCATGAGCCAATGTGGACTAGTTACACACATTACTGGAAGACGACGCTAGGTTTCTTCGTCTCTTCCGTCACCTTTTAGCTCGTTGAATTTGATTTTGTCAGATTATATTTTCTTCATGGACACACCCAAACACAGCATAAATGTGGCGGGCTACCTCAACCCACATCGTGCCACTGATATGGAAGTAGGCCTTCCTCAGATTGGCATTTGCGGAAGTGATCACGTCTCTCTTTGTGCGGAACTCCTTGTATCGTGATAGATTACAACGTCGAGGAGGTATGTGGCATAACCTGTCTAGGGTATTTCAAATGGAATGGAGCCCACCCAGCATTGGTAAATGGGCTGAAAAAGTAAAGGAAAAACCTGTTATGATAGACGGAAGGATGAAGAAAACACAGAAATAGGCACACGGACCCAGGTCCAGTGGAACACTACAATGTCCCAAATTATTTCGACCTGTCCGATCCTGCAAGTAATTTATCAAACAGTTCTTGAGCAGTTTGCTCGTTCCGAAGCTGGATCATGTAGATGATGCCTGTCCGTGCACCTTTGGCATCGCTGAGTTCAATGGCAACACCAGTCTTCCCCACTCGTTCCACGCCATCCGTAAGCACTATCGTCGAGATGAGAATGTTCTTCTTGTCTTTTGAGCCCGCTTCGACAACGAGTTGCTTGACATTAGTGGGCTGCTGATGATAGAGAGTCAGTTGCGCAGAGCCCAACGACTTCCATTGTGCGTGCTGTTGCTGATGGAAGACCCTGCACTTCATTCCTGTTATCGTGGGCTTGGCCGGACCCAAAGGCTTTCGCTCTTCAATCGGTGAAGTTGGAGGACTATGATCATGGTATACTGATTCGGTGAACGAGTTTGCTCTGGAACTGATCTGCTGCGATGGTAGGATAGGTCTCATTGAAGCGTTGTTGCCGCTGCCCACAGAACTAATAGAATTTGTACGTTGGCCATAAGGTCGTGATGGTATTGGCAGCCCTCCAGGTAAGGAGGGAAGTGGTGGTGCTGGACCCGGACCTGGGGCATAGTCATACTGAGAGCGGAGAGACCGCGATGATGCAGACTTATGGAGTCTCCCGGAGGACGCCTGCGGCTCAGACGGTGGTCGAGGAGGAGGAAGTCCATGAGGAGGACCTCCGGGACCTGCAGACCGAGAAGGAAATGGTTGAGGGTGATGAGGTTGTTGAGAAAAATTCATAGATTGAACTTGGGAAGGCGCGCTTTGTGGGGGGCGAAGATGTTGATGAATTGACGGATATTGAGGATTGAGAGATGGTTGATGGTGAAGAGACTGCATCGAGGAGTGACGTGACGATTTGACTGACGATTGATGATGCAAGGGTGGTTGTTGCGGGTATCCTTGAGCAGCAGGAGGAGAGTACATCCTGTGGGGTACGCCTCCCATGCTGGGGTCCTGATCAGGGAAGGGATGCAAAGAACCGGCACTCCGAGCTGGCGGCATGACCTGACCCAGACTGAAGGAGGAAGGTGGCGAATGTGTGGAAGCTCCTTGACTGGTAGATGGCTTGCGCATATTGTGAGGGACACCAGAAGAAGCAGGAGCATCCTGCAATGACGGCGCCCTCTGATCCCCTTGAAAATTTTGCGTCTGAGGCATACCAACACTTTCACTAGAACTGATGTTCCCATTCCCCCCCACTACTTGCCCTGAAGCAAATTGTCCTAAACTTGTTTTGCGAGGCGCGAAACTCTGTTGTGATGTGATGCGAGGCCTCGAGAAGTTAGGAGCAGAGGGGAGCTCGGAGGGCTCAGATTTGCCATTCAACACACTAGAACTAGGAGCTTGCTCTTGTGGAACGCCCTGTTGAGTGTTGTTGGCTTGTTCATGCGAAGAAAATACCTCATTTGCAAGAGGAAAATTAGCAACTGGCGATACAGGGGGACCTTTAGGCAAGGGGGGCACTGGTTCCGAAGCAATTCCGGATACTTCTCAAAATGTCAGTGGGCCATGATGCAGTCAGAGGTACATGCACATACTGGTTCTTGCAAAATCGATACAGTCCTTGAATTCCTTGATGATCTCGTCCCGGGATCGCGTTGAGATGGCCTCGAGGATTAGTGTCTCTTTCCTCATGATGGAAATCTGAAGCGCGTTATCTGCCAATATATTGAGGTTTTATTCGATATGATGAGCACGTTACGCACCTTGGTCAGGTACCTCAGTCACCTTCAGGACCTTTCCAGAAAGTGGAGGGTAGCAAAGCCGCATATCGGGACCGTCCACACCCGCTGCGACCCTGTCGTCCAAGGACATCTCCTCGCATATCAAAAACAGATCTGATAGAATAAAGACAAAGCCGTGCTGGTGAACAACATTCACGCCTGTCGAACGAGGAGTAAAATGGACAACGACATTGGCCGACAATTTAAGTTCTCTGGCATAAGGCAACGTTGGCGGAGACATTTGTAGACGAACTAGCTAAAGTATTTAACGTAAAACGATCAGTGAGACTCATCACCACGACGCCATGGGAATGAACGTACCTTGGGCTCCATGGTAAATATGTCGAGTGTCATATCTGTCGCCAAGCGTTTCTCCAGGTTAGCGATAGATGTAGGCATGGCTGGTTTGAAGTTGTGGTTGTGGCTAATGGATGTCATCCCTGTCCCCTGGGAAAATCGTTCTCTAATTGCATGTCAACATCATACACGGCATAACACCATTGTCCGTGCTCACCCGTTTGACGAACCGCTTCCACGAACGGACGTGGTTGCGCTTGCATTTCCTCCTCCAAATTGACCTGAAAGTAACTGGTCGTGCGTTGCATCAAATTGTGTCACCGGAGACATCGCTGGAGAAGCGATGGGCTCAGGCTTCTCGTCAGGGGTGACAGTCGGCAATGCGGAGGAGGCAGCGGGAGGACTATGGCCAACCTTAACCTGACATCTTCCGTCCAAAGTCTCCAATAGATCATCTAACTTCTCAAGAGCACCCGTCAATAGCCGATGATCGCTCCTGCCCGGTGTCGTGCTCTTTAGCAGTCTATTGTATAGTTTCCTGTAATATAAAAGACGACCCTTGGGCAACAGAAATAAGGCATCCAGGGTCCATAACGATGGGTCTACTAGCTGAGAGGACTGAATTGCAGCTATTGATGGAGGGCTAGCAGCAGAGAATGCCTCGATAACGCCAGGAAGCTTCACATTTGACTTGACAGGCTCCCATTGATCGAAACCAGTAGAGAATTTCTGACAGTACGTCGTGTAAGGTCGGTCAAGGTCATCGATCTTTAGAGCATATTCAGGATGCAAGAAAGTCTGCCTAATGCTGAACTCTCACCCATCGCATCAAGAGGTCACCCAGAGCTTTGGGTGAGGACGGATTAGCACCAATTTCTTTCAGTTTCTGTCCGCGTGTTAGCCACGCTATACACGTGAAAACGCGTTCCCTACCGCGAGGAGAGCGCGATTTGTCTTGTAGACACTCTCAATGCTGCGAAACATGGCGTCGAGCTCGGGTGGTGGCAAATTGGATCGTGACCATGCTGCGGCTATCCTCTACAAAAGCAATGAATTTGACGAGTCTGCAATGAATTTATGGACGCACTCGTATTATACCAGTCAAGTACTCCACGTAGATCTTTTCGCTCTCGATGAGATCGGTCAAAGGACTAGATTTTTTTGTCTTTTCTGTTTGGGAGGTGGGGGAGGTAGGAGACATTGGTGAGGTAGCAGGTCCGACTGCCATTGCAGGAGATGTGGGCGAGTCAAATCCTTGTAGCCGGTGTGAATATGTGCCTAGCATGAGATCAGGGCGAGAAAGATGCGTTACCTAGAGATGCTAGGCTTGGTATTGGAGGTAGTTGAGGACCGTTGTCATCAAGATGGGTATCCAATACAAGGCCAAAATTCTTGGGAGGAGGCGGTGGTGATATAAGTGGATCTGGTGGCGGTAAAGGAGGTAACTTTAGACCACGACGTGTGTATCCGACACCAATGGAGCCAGACATTATGATCGAACGGTGTGGCTGAGATCAGAACATCAGTCCTGTAGGCAAGTGACTATCTGTGATTCAATAAAAGAGGTAAGTGACAGTCGCGAGGATAACGTGCACAACGACTATTATTTCAATCAATTTTTGATATCTCGAGTAAGAGCGAAATCAAACATGGAATTTATTTGCAAATATTTTATACAACTACTTAATAACTGTTAATAAAACATTTAATAATCATCACATTGATACTACAAGATGTCATATCCTCAGCAGTGGCTCAAGTCTACTTTCTCCTCGCGGCCACGCACCGTCGAACTCTTACAGCCAGAGTTAGAGAAAGGCGTCATCACAAAACACGATTTTGAACTAGCGACCAGATTCCTGCCTGGAGTGCACAGACACTGGCCTGTTCGTCTGTTGTTCCGGTATCATATTCATATTTGACCGCGCATCCTTACGAACAGGTGATATATGGGGTCGGGGCTGCAAGCATCACCCTTGGTTATGGGCACTCCATAGCGCGTCCCAGGTGGTCTCACCCAAAGCTTGCGTGGGGTTCGAGCGCTGCCATCCTCGTCGGGTTGCTTTTTGGCCGAGTCAGACAAGTCTTGGCCCACAAACAGTTCACAGATGCTCTTGAAAACCCTGCAGGCTTTATAGAAGCGTTGAGCAATGTTGACCGCAAACTTGGCGGTAATGGGCAGTTGGGCTTCACGCTTACACGAATACGAAAGGATGCTGCACATTTGGACAACAATGCTACTTCCGGGACTAGTCAAGAGCATGGCCCTGAGATGGTCAGCGAGCAGAATTGGAAGGCATCTTGGTCTCAATCCGATGGCGAGTGACTGTATTGGTTCTGCTATATGACCTCCTGACATTTTCGCAGCCCCTTCACCCCAAGCAGCTCAACCAAAGAATCGTTGGGAGGAAATACGTGCAGCAAACGCACGCTCTGCTGGTTATGTGTCTTCGTGGGACACTATCCGACAACGTCATGAACGGAACAGATTACCTCACTCAACGTCATCGCCGAGTAGCGACCCACCATCGTCTGGAATGGATGATCGAGCAACAGAGCAAGCCAAGTTTGACGCTATTCTAGAGGCCGAAAGAAAGAGAGGACAGTCACAGGACTTTCGTGAATTTGTCTGATGCTAATGCACCGATGAAATATTTTTTTCAATAAGTAATGAGAACCAGCCACCAATAATTCAATGTATTCTAAGTAAGTGGATATGTGTAGTCCAGAGCAGTCAACTGTACAAGTAATGGTTAGAAACAAAGAAATACAAACTCGTGTGCGGTGACTCCGTCGCACTAATCCTCTCTTGGGAAAGAGCGGCTGCTGTAGCTCGAGGGGGACCAGCTGGGCAGATGACGGCAGTATGAATCTAACGAATCCGAATCTCGTATGAATATCGCGGGATCGTACTCCACTGAGTATGATATAGAGGGATTTGGCAAAGGCGCCATCTGAGCGTTTTCAGGTAACGTTGGCGTCGCAAACAATGTGGTATGAGAGAATGGATACAATGGAAGCCCCACCTCCAATGGCTGCTTCTGGCTTGTCAGTCGTACTATTTCTTCCATAAGACCTTGCAATAACTTCTCTTGGCGAGCTGCACCATGATGAGCGAGTTGTCTTTGATGAAAGAGATGTACGTACTACCTATTGGAGATTTCACCCCGTAGTTGATCATGGCTTGTCTGTCATACCAGTCAATAGAGGCACCACGAGCTTCCAAACGAGGGCGTACCGCAAGACGTTGATCTCTCCCCATACCTGGTCTTCTCTCGCATTATCCCCTATTTCTATGAAGTGCTTACAGACCTGGACCTGAACGACTGCGGCAAGGTACCAACAGATCTGGAGATAGTCAATGAATGAATGACTTCTGATTGGGAAAACTCAAAAACTCACTACGACGAATGGGTGCAATCGTGATATATCCAAAGAGGTCTCTGATAACTTGAAGTAGGCTGAAAGAATGGCTCTTGCTGCATTGATACATCGGCTCGTGGATATGCGATTCAAGTTGGTTAGGTCAAGATAAGGATTATGGAGTGTAATGGTAGCCCTTAAAGTCGATCTGTAAGAATTCATAAGAGGAAGGTAGGGCAAAGCACTCACGCATGCGGTATGATATGGACCATATATAAGTCTGTGTCCACTGAGCCATGATTACCAGGCAGTTCATTAGCGCCTGTCATTTTGAACATCGTCGGGAGGTTTTCTAGGAAGTCATTGTAGACAAGTCGATCGAGATCTGCAAAGCCAGATGATTGGAAAGGGTCCTGAAACTTGCTAGGTGCAGTCGGAGCACGCAAGTTTCGTCGGACATTAAAGTCTGTGACCCGACCAAACATCATGATGGCCTTGATTAGAAGAAGAAAAGAATCGGTGTATTTCGGCAAATGTGTGGTAAAGACGTCTTCCGTACACATGTCTTGAGGATTACTAGGCATTAATTGCTAAGACGTGAGGTCAACCCGGAGCCATCATAAGCTCTCAAACAAACGATAACAAATGCTCACCTCTGAGTCGAAATCTTCTCCTCGAAGAGGAAGCTCAGTTCCAATGTCCCTCTCATCAATTGCATGGATCCATCCACCGACCGATGCTATACGGTCAAAGATGATTGTCGTCCACCAGGTGCGACGACGTGACTCCAAATCTATAAGGTCCTTTGGGGGAGGAAGGTATCCCCCCGGTGATGTAGTGATGTGAGTGGAAAAAGTTCCTGGATAATTTAACCGCAGTGGTATAGCAACTCGAGTCTGGAATCCTGCAAAAATCCAAATTTCAACCCACCGTCCTTCTTGGTAGAAATACCAAGCAAGCAGGATGCACGCCTGAACGACGGGAAAGATGTCTTCGCCAGTGGCCATGGTTTTGTCAATATACTGTCGGGTTTTACTTGCGTGGAACTCCGCAAATTCATCACGTCCCGTGCCGTCAGGCAAAGTTGCCACATTGCGGGAAGACCATCTAGAAGCTGAAGCACACTACCTCTGCCGTCAATAAAATCCAAGATTAAAATCAGTGACGGATTTACTATTGCATGAAGTATGGCCGAGTGTGGAAAGGAAGAATCTCTAGGATCTAGACGTACGGCTGCAAGAAAAGATGGGCGATGAAAGATGCGAGGACCACAAGGATCGCACTTGAAAAATACATCTATACTATGAAAACTTTAGTGAACGCGATGGACAGAGCATCGAACCTCACTAGTGCTCCAAAACACTGCGCTCAGGAAGATCGGGATTCCAACCGGAGTATATAATTTCGAGAATAGTGTCAGTGGAACTCTTGTGCCGAACCTCTGGACTGTTGCTGTTGTTACGGGGATCAGAATCGTGTATATGACCTGGAATTGTACCGTTTTTTGGTAAAGGAAGCGATGGTGTATGAACAGAACTAGTTGCCGGACTTCCGGATTCAGGAGTCAAGGAAGACGAAGCTGATCCAGGGCGGAACTGACTGAAACGGCGTAGTAGTTGCTGAGATGGTCCTGACAGTCCATTGGTTCGATGCTCTTGAAGTTGCGTCTTCAAGTTCGCTGCAAGCGATTCAGTTGGCAAATAGTTAAATTGGTTATGCAACGTACAGATTTCTTCCTCCAGAAGCCGAATTTTTTCCAGAGCATTTGTATCTGGCGCCAATGCGAGACCATCTACTGGATCATAAACGCACTGTGGTTCTGCAGGGTGCCTGGGATCTGCATGTGAAAATCAGGAAACACATGCATTCATAGAGAGCGTACGCGTAGTCGGGCGGTGCAGGCACACTTATGAGGGACTGCCATTGCCTTATGTCCGGTGTGTCAGGCTATCTGGTTACCGAACGCCGAGAGCTATCGTACGCACTTCACACATGTGCCACAGTGGGGACGGGCAGCATCACATTTCTAGAGGTTTGGGTTCAACTTTTGACGAGCGATGACGGCTGATCACAAACTCACAAGTTTTCTCTTTCGACATGGCCGGCAAGCCTTTAAGGGATAGTAGAGACTCGGATTCCAATTTAAGTAGGGTGATATTGACAAATGCTTACCTGGTTTCTACGAAGTGCAGGGCGGTTGGATACGCTGGCGCTAGCGGTCGGGGTTGCCTTCGGCATTGGTTGATGGTATTATTGGCAGTGCCGCTCGTAGTATGGTAGTGATAGCTGGGTTTGTGGTTCTGTCAAGGCGTCGCGGGTGGGGGCAAGTCAAGGAGAGTTCTGGTTTTTCGGCAGTTATGAAATGTAAGCACCGCTCGCAGGGAGTATTTAGCTGTGGTATTGCCGACAGGGAGTTCGCCCTGCATCATGGAGATACCATCATTCAAATATTCATGCACGTACTATTTGGGTGAGCATCCTCGCGGACCTTCAATAATTTCAGGTACAAGAGAGCTGAAACGTTCTTTGCAGCAGGCATACCTACTTACTTGACTCATAGTATGTTAATGTAACGTTCATCCCCGCAGGAGCTGTATCATAGCTGTGCGAGATTTTTACAAATGTGTTCTTGCGTACAGGCTGTCGACAATATGTGAGTAGTACTACGAAGAAGCCACGGTGCCTTTCGAAAAAGAACAATATGGAGCTTAAGTCACCGCGGGGCTTTCCCGGCTGTTCCCACAGTTCGGTCCATCCCAGACGGAAGGTTTCAGTCATTGACTTACTACTAAGATCAATTATTTCCTTTCAACTCGGAGCGCTCACGGAAATACTTGACTGGTTCAACCTCGGTAAAAGGTGACTCGACGTGGGAGTGCGTGAGTCTAGTATGATATTAACACTGAAGAAAATGATCATAGTGGTAAACCATGATGTGCTGACGGGCTAGACTGAATGGTAGTACCAATGATGGTACTGGTACAGTTTGAGTAATCCGCAGAAAAGAATCAAGAACACGCGTGCCACAAGGCAAGCAAAGAAGCGAGTCCGGTGATGCGGCACTGGGAACCACCGTGGTCTTTAATTGAGTACCCTCGGAAGAATCGGCAACAATACGTACATAGTACTATTATCTTGCGTTAGGTCTGCCGATCAATATGTATGGCAGGGGTTACGCGTTTTGGGGCACTCATTTCGTGCGATGCTTGAAACGTACATCACGGCACTTCTATGGCTAGCGGGTAGACACATACCCTAGAGCATCTTTGGCCGAGTGCCACAGCAAGAAGTACGACATTTCAGGATCTCTCCCACCTCGAAGGACTTCTTGGTAGGCCGGCATCGACACAATCAAACATGATGACTGAAATGATTGTAATTGGCCGCCTTCGCACAGGCGTTACATGATGGATGATTAACTTGGTCTCTGAAGGGAAATCTATCGCGAGAACAACAGGATGCACGATCCTGTGCTGTTTTCAACCAAGTACTAGTAGAGCATTGAACAGATTGAAAGCTTACTCACGTTAATATCGAATCGTGAGTAAAATAATGGCTGCGCAAGTTCCCGCGTGACGCGGGGTGCATCTACCTCATGTTCAAGGAACTGTCGCTGTGTCAGCGCGGGCAACTTTCTCTGAGTATGTAGATCATAATGGATTCCGATCGGTTTAGGCAGTCTTTCGATTCGAGCCGATCGATATTTGTCTGAACCACCCACAGGGGATAAAACAAGCACTATAGCACATATGTAATCACAATAGTGCAACAGGTCTTCATCATCACTATGGAATATATGCAATTGCTCCATACGTGTATTGCTGACAACGGGTGACTTATGACCTGTTCTCTTGGTCAGCTGATACTCTGATAATATATCATTCGCTTACAAAACTGTGGCAACAATCCGCCTGGAATGTGCTGCGTGTCTGAATTCGGTCAAGTAGATCCCTAGAACATGAATGAATGTGAATAATTAGGCGAGCTATGCGGAAGAAACAGTGTTGACCTTGCCAGGTGCCGAGGTTCAGACGGCCATCAGTAATTGGGATCGAGATAGTGGCACCGATCAAGGATGTCTTCGTGTGAGATACACTGAAAGCACAGGATTTATGTTTGTGAAAGAGCGCCTTTTGAAAATTAACAAAGCACCATACGAGTCACTGTAGGCCACACGTACGTGAGTCTACGTATCAGCAAGCGGTGAACGTGGAATAATCACTCTGGGCCTTCGTCCGTGTGCTTCCAGTTAAGACTCTCGGGGACGATATTGTCTAGAGCCATGTCCATATCTGTTGAGTTGTTCAGCCAACATAGTCGTCTTCTACTGGCTCATAATGTCTCTCCTTTGCGAACGTCTGGAGCACCAAATAGGATGAGTGCTAACTCACAGACTTAGTACTTCACTAAGAACTAACCTCGATCATAATTTTCATTGATTGTCAACGCGGCTGACGTGTGTTGACTGACAGCGTTTTTGAATATCCAAGATACAGGCTACGCTACACTCACATGAAGAGGAAGAGCATTCCAACCTGTGCGATATATGTTCCGAGCAATGTTGGAGTAAGTGAAAACTAGCCGTACCTTTACGTCCTTGATACCTGGTGTGATCTGGGCGTATACCTCATCCGTGACAAGATGACATCCCTTTGGATCTTTGTGAAAGTGTAAAGGTTTTCTGCCAACCCATCGTAGCGAAACAGTAAAAGAAAGGTCAAGCTTTCACTGGCAAGATTCACACTGACTCTCAGGCTAGAGATCTCAGCGGGCGGTTGCAATTGGGAATTTGAAAATGACAAAGCTTATGTCATCGTAGCGCCCCGGGGGAGGCTCGTGACCAGACTTCCACGGATACTCCCACGGATGCAAAAATCACACCATCTCAAAAAACGCACGTAGCCTTGGGCAGAATTGGTTACGAGTTTGTTGTACACAAACGTTCCACGATCTGTGCAACCGGTGTCCAGCCAACGTTATCCAGAGGCATGTTCAGCCCTCTTTACAGCAAACTAGACTCCAGCTTCTCTCAAGTTCCTTCACACACAGCCTTCCGGTCAACGCCATCTATCTAGTCCGTTCATGCAGAATCTCGTTGGCTTTAGTCCACCCTGCCAGTCGGCCCAACGCTTCTTGTATTCGCAGGCCATCGAGGTCGCCGTAAGTTACAGGTGTTTCTGTTTACATTTAACTGGTCTATTGACGCGTGCGGAGCTAGTGGGAGCCGACAATGCCATCTACCTGCATGACACGAAGGCGTCGTATAGATAAGATCAGCATTTAATGTGACCACAATTTGAAATCAAAGAATTATCCCAGGCTGATGGGCAAAGTGCTGGAATGTCGCATTAGTGACCCAGGTGGGAGGATGGATGGAGGAGTGTAAGTCTGATACTATAATGCAGGTACATGGACAATAAATCTGTTGTCCAGCACACAAATGGTTCTCTCTTTGGCATGGCATGTTATGACATCTGTTTATATCCTGCATATGAATTCTTACTATCCGAAGTAAACAAGATGTCAGGTGCACCAGACAGGGTTAGGCTATCGGCGAGAGGAAGGCCTGAACCTTGTTAGAAAATGGAAGTGCCGCTTGAAGTCCGTGACAGAACCTTCCCCACTTCGTGCGCATGTTGTTCCATGTGTGCGTTGTTTCCCTCAAAGTGTCTGAATGACAGGTTCATTCCAAGGCACAACAGAGTACATTGATATGGTAAATGGGAACCTAACAGAAAAGGCATCAATCTTCCATGCCAAACCTCTTGGCACGATCTAAACCACCACGATTGCCTGGTACATTACGATTCCTACAATGATTAGCATAATGGCCCTTTTCTCCACACTGCATATGATCAGTATTTTCCTCGACAAACAAACACGCGGAGACAAACCTTGAAACACAACACTTCATCGAGGTTTCTACGAGGTGGTCCGCTACCGTTCGGTCCTCCACTGTGCGACATCACCTGCGGACCCATGGCTCCCCGATCGAAATCAGCATACCGACCATACCCTGGTGGCGGCGGGCCAAGATCACGATTTGAAGGCGGCGATGGAGGTTCATATGATTTAGGAGGCGGTAAATTAGGTTTTGGACTACGAAAAACAAAAAGAAGTCAAGCAAGAAGAGTGAGTATGAATTACACGCACTGGCCACGAGGGCAATCTGGACCTAGGGGGCACAAGCCAGTTAGGTAGAGTTGACAGGCGACACGGCGAACATGCTTGCGAGGGCATGCTGGTCCTATGTACAATATCAATACAATTAATCGACTCGACGTGACGAGTAATTTGACAAAGGCACACCTAATTTGCAGAACCCGCGTTTGTAATCAGGACATTCAACACGGCGTTCCTTGGGATGAGCATAGAGGCATTCATCTCCTGCTGAGCAATAACCGTACTTTGCATACCACCAACACTCTGGCATTCGCCTGAGATTGTACTCATGCAAGAACTCGCATGCATCGCCCTTTTTACACAAACCACGTAACCAATGTTTACAGACTGTAGCTAAACGTTCTCGCTCGCGAGGATGCGTGGGTAACTGCTTTGGAGGTTGAAAGTTTTGTGAAGATGGCGTTGTATGTCGCAAAGGACAGTGAAGTGGTCCCAATGGACATCCAGTTGGAGTTAACGACAAGCGACATATTTGATCGTCTTCAGGACTTGTCAGGTCTGGATTGAAAAAAACAAACAAGAGATTTACCTTTATCGAGTTTAAGACCGAGTTCATTTTTGACATACAGTTCTTCCGGAAAGTTGTTCTGATGGAACTGAGGATGGACGATGTCCTTGAGGGCTGATGGACCAGCTAACGGGTTGGTGGCCATTATTAACAACTTGAAGGCGGTGCAAAGAAGAAGATAACACGTCACGGGGTTTATTACATAAAACAGGGGCGACATGTTTATCAAATGTACGTAGTTATTAAAGGTTCGTCACACTAAAGATCAAATATCAGCTGACGAGGCAAAACGTTCCCTCAGGTTTGCCTCGTCAGGCTATCTTCCCTTCCATCATAGAACATGATGCCGCCATCGTTCAGCGTGTCCCTCGCTGATTTTTCAGCATTTTTTCTTGTCCTCATCGCACTGACATGGTTCTTGTCACGCATGTTGCTTGTCGTAAAGAAACCTCTTCCTCCTGGTCCTCCCACAGGTTGGTTCGGGAATTTTAATTTGCCATCCAGCTATCAGTGGCTTCATTATGCGAAGTGGAAAGAATTATACGGTAGGGCACATGGAATATCAAGAGTTATGTTCATGAACGAACTTATCTATCCGTAATGTTTACAGGCGACATCATCTATGTCTACGTTCTGGGCAACCCCATCATTGTCGTCAACTCGGCTCAGGCAGCAGAGGAACTTTTTGAGAAGCGGAGCAGGAATTATTCTTCGAGGTAAGTTCGTTTCATCACTTGATTTGTCTCTTGCGTAATTATGAAAAACACAGGCCCATCAGAACTATGGTGGTCGAACTGTAAGTACTGCTGTTGAATCGATCACTGATGCGTGGCTAAAAAGTCGTAGAATGGGATGGGATTGGCTCTTTTCATCAATGCCGTACGGGAGCAGGTGGAAACAACGTACGTGGCCAATTATAGCAGGCATGTAATAATGGATTTCCGCCCCTCAGACAGATCGCTCTTCCGTCGTCATTTCCACAGGATGTTGACGTCGGAGTATTACTCGGTCGTGACAAAGGAGACTTATACAACTCTTCGAAATTTGGCACATACACCGGATGATTTTGCTCACCACTTGCGCCGAACAGCTGCAGCCATCGTTATGAAAATCTCGTACGGACATGAAGTCTCGGACAAAGGTGACATTTACGTGACATTGGCGGACGAAGCGATGCAAGGACTTGGCATGGCAGGCATATTTGGCTCATTTATGGTAGATTATCTACCAATTTGTAAGTTGGCTACACGAGCTATGATCAACAGTGTTGACTAGTGTTCATCATTGCAGTGAAATATGTTCCTGCATGCATGCCCGGCGCAAATTTTAAGCGTCAAGCGTTGATATGGCGTAAAAAGACCAAGGCCATGATCGACCAACCATTCCAGGCAGTGAGGGAACGCATGGCGAACGGCACTGCTATTCCGTGTTTCGCGCAGAAGGAACTAGAGAAGTTGCAACAGGATGTAAATTCAGATCCCAACTATGAGACCATAATTAAAAATGTCGCAGGTATCTCCTATGCAGGTTGGTCATTCTTTTCATTGCACACATATGTTGACCCTAACGCGATTTTAGCTGGTGCAGATACGGTTCGCTGAAAATATTTGCGAGTTAACGGTCGCCGCTTATTAGAATTTGCAGACGGTGTCGACCTTGCTTTCCTTCGTTCTGGCGATGCTGGTTCATCCCGACGTACAGGAACGGGCGCAGCAAGAACTTGATGATGTTCTTGACATGGACCGCCTGCCAACGTTTGCTGACAGATCTAAACTGCCATTTATTGACTGTATTGTTTGGGAATGTCTGCGGTGGAATCCAGTGCTCCCTATGGGGTTGGCTCGCCTTGTAACTTCAGATGATGAATACGGCGGTTATTTTATTCCAAGCGGTACCTCAGTCTTGCCCAATACTTGGTAAGTCAACGTCGATAGAATGAAAAATAATGAAACTTAATACATCTATAGGGCAATCCTTCATGACGCCGACGTTTACCCAGATCCATTAATTTTCAATCCTGAGCGATTCTCAGACCAAAAGAGGAACGACGATCTTGGTATCAACAAGCTTCCTTGGCCCGCCTTCGGGTATGGAAGACGGTTTGTTACAGGAATACATTCATTTGGCCAAAATTACTCACTTCGTTCAGGATGTGCCCTGGACGCTGGCTAGCTTTTGAAACTATTTGGTTTTCCATTGCGTGCATTTTATCCGTGTACTCGATCAAGAGAAGCATTGATGAGGATGGCTTCGAGATTGTACCTGAAGTTGCATACACTTCCTCTTTGATTAGGTGTGTCATGTCGTTACTTTCAGAAGATGAGCTATTGACAATTACGAATAAGCCGACCCAAGCCTTTCAAATGTCGGTTTATACCTCGTTCGGAAAAAGCTGATCAGTTAATACAGGGTACTGCCCCATGAGCCTCAGGCTCTTTCCTAGTGATATCTTTTCGGCTTCACGTGCTTGGTGGATGAAATTCTGAATTTTATGATGTGACACGATATGGTGCAAGTGGAGCTTGCATGAAACGAATTTATTTGTAATTCTGGTTTACACGAATGTCTATACTACCATATGCCCAGAACTGTGGATTCCAAACCTGCTTGCCTTAATCTTTCGACAGCCTGGTTCACGCAATCACACCAGGTAACATCGCTTTCTTTTCCTCCTTCGGCAAACACTTCGAGAAAGTATATATCATGGAAAGTGGATGAATATGGGGATGGTCGTCGGTCTATGCGGGAGATGGGTATCTTGAGCGCTTTGATCGCCCGTGAAAAGTCCCATGACACCGAGTCTGTATCAGGCAAGAGACGGATCAGAGCACGCTTCTGGTGGATGGGTGGCGTTTGCCAAGGGACTTGAACGTCCACGCCATAGGATACGATATAAAAGCGCGTCATATTCGCTGCAAAATCTCAGCTCGTTTCCGTTGATGCATCGTCAAGATTACATACATTCTCCATCTTGAATGCCGGTGTGCAACACCTCCAGGCCGGGAAATAGCGAAGTCACGACCGTTGAACAAATTGCTGCACTCTTGAAGGGATCAAAATTGTCGGATGGTGGGCCGAGCAATGTACGAGCAGCACTCGCAGTCGAGTCTGTCGGCACAAGCGACGCTCTTGGGAGGATTTCTTTCAAAAACGCTTTACACTGACCCAAGGCCTGCAGTCATGAATTAGAAAGTGCCATATGCAAGAAAGGGTTTTTTTACTTGTTCGTGGCTGAAAACGTATTCGATGTCCTCGATTTTGACGTTTTTGCGAACGACCAGGGAATGTTTGATGGGCAAGTGCGTCTCCCCTCTCACAAAACTATCGCGACCGACGAATTCGCATCTGAGTAGGTTGTAGGTCTCGACCACCGACCCATTGGTACTATTTTCTTGTGGTATGATACCAAAGGGCAGCTCAGAGGATAGTGACTCGACGACGCCTAGAAGCGGCTGAGATCCGAATGAGAGTGACAAGGAGATAAGACCGACTTACCAGCGATAGTCTGCTTTGCGACATAATGTACAGAATCACCAAAAACGTCAAATGCCGCTTGATGGGAATATGTTCCGGGCGGACCTAGGAAAATCAAAGCAGGCATCGATACGGACATCGATATCATACGTTCTGTCCAGGTAGACTGCTCTACATACAAAAACTCACACACTGAGTCCGCTTAACGTTATAACCGTCGCAGTGAACTTCATCGCGGACAGTATCTATGGACACACACACAGTTTCAAGAAACGTTCTCATCAGCCTTGAATTGCATGAGGGCATGCATGCCGACTTTGCTTGCTTGCCACCTCAGTCGTCGTGCAGCCTCGGTTGCATAGTTGTCGAGTCATACCTGATTGTGGTACTATAAATGTTTTCGTATAGCTAAGGTGCATATGTAAACGAGTGACCTTGTAGTCGAAAATAGTCATTACAAAATGAATTGAATACATTCAAACGCATGTAGTGATCGTAGCACATCAAGATTCAAAAAAAACAAAAAAAGTACATGGAACTTGAGCTGCTAGAGTACTTCACGAACAAAGTCAAAACATGGCAAACTTTACAATACATTATATATTGCGATAACTTAATAACGAGACAGACTGTTACCAAAAAAGCTGGGCCGGGAAAGTTAGGGCTGGGGATTTATGTTATTTATCTTAAGGAAGTATGCCACGTCGGGCTGATTTGGACTCGTGTGTGTTTGCGAGACACTGAGAAGCAATTGCTGATCGGTGTCATTAGAAACTGGTCTCCCGTCCGCAGGAGTCGGATGCAAGGCCGTCGAACCAGAAACTTCCGGAATGCAAGCATCCAACATTCTGTGATATCGGTCTAAAAATATAACACTCAGTATTGGAAGCAAAGTCATCCGGACAACGTACATGCAAGGGGAACTCGTTCTGCCATCTTGCTCAATGCCATCCTGAGCCAAGAGTTTATTATTCGGACAATCACCATGCGTCACGCACCACTGACCTTACAAAGTCAAGCTCTGCCCGTAGGGTGTCTATTTGTTGGACACTACCAGTATTCTGGGCAGTGCGGAGGAAGCGGCCAAAACATTGACCGGAAAGATACCAACAAAACTAGTAAAGTAGATCAGATATAGGCGAGCCCAGGCTAGCTGTCACATACTGGGCAGAAATAGTCTAGAAGCCCAATATCATAATTCGTGGACCACACCGCATATATGAGTTCAAGAATTGCACGGGCACTCTCGAGTATCTTGGCAGCGGAAATGCAATTGGCCCTATCCAGATTGGCGTGAGGTTCATGAAGGAAAATGATCGATCTAGAAACACGACAATGAGCTTGCATATGTAATCAGAAAACTTCAACGACTCACACATGCGCGGTGAGAAAAGTCGTGTATAAGTGCATGTCCACCAGTCCATTTCTGAACGGGTCTTTCAGATTACTTGGAAACGATGACCGGAACGACACGAGCAACTGATCCAATTCTAGGAAGGCAGGTGATGACCGGATATCTGGCTGATCTCCATATCCCTGGGTTGCGAAGTTCCTCACCGGTAGGAATCTCGTGTCTCCCAAATTCGATTTGATCTTGTATCGGTGGTTAAAATTCTTGACAAAAGAAAGAAGCATAGTGCTCTTGATATACAGCGTGAACGAATCAGTGATGTCGGGGGGATGAAACAGCACCGCTTCTCTGACGTGACACCACTGCCGCACGTTATAGCTCACAGGTATCTAAGTAGATTATCAGCTAGCAGGAAGAAACGCGAGTGTTGTACTAACCCCAAACTCAAACTGCTCCATTGTGACTGGGAAAACTTGGGCGATATCATCATCATCAAGAGAGAGCGCCCAACCAGTGCCAGATCCATGTTGGCGATCAACCGCATACGCTAGCCAAAAGGTATTTCTCCGTGTTTCGTCCTCGATTGGAGTGCGAGGCGGCGGGATTATCGACATTGTTGGGGAGCTCCCAAGTAACGAACGAAAGGGAGGGCAAATGTTGAGTCCCAACGGTATCGCAACGCGCAAAGATTGGCCACTGCAAGTAAATAACTGCATCAAGGGCAGTTAGCGATATTCCACGAGGTATATGTAAATCATAGCAACCTCGACCCATCTGCCACAAGCTTGTTAGTAAAAAGAACATTCGATAGAACATGAACTAACTTCGAGTGACACCAATAGTACCACGTTAGTAGAACGTACGCTGGAAGACAATTAGTTACTACACAGCCGCTCACATGGATGCACTGACTTTGTACGCATTGAACTAAGTGATGACCTTTGTTCAAGGACTTCTCGACCGCTTCCTTAGCATGCGTTGCTTGTTGCTCTGCAAATGTATCAGGCAGCTCTGGCTGTGCGAATTGTCCTTCATCTGCCACAAGACGATTGTTAGCCAAATAGGCGGTGTAGCAATCAAAAGATGAAGGCTCTACATGGAAAGTCTGCAGCATTTGTCCGAGGTCCTCCAGCTGCAGTGTAGATAGCACTGACAGCGCATATAGCATGTAGAACGGGTGCAACAGGGAAATCTGGATGGTCTGGTGAGTATGATAGCGAAGCTATGAAGTTACCCCTGTGGAAAAGGCGGGATGCGTGCGGGTGGAACAAAAAGAACATATCGACTCTGGAACAAGATGTAAGCCAAATAAATTGATCGCGGAAACGACTTACAAATGACGAGTGAGTTCTGGGTGAGGTAGATTGACAGGCCAATGTGACCAGATGACGTCTGACAAGAGAATTGGGGCCAAAATTATAAGAACGAGGGGCCGCACGTACCCATGCTAGATGCAAGCAATGGAGCATCAATCCTGAGGCTTGTACCTTCCATGAGTTGCGAATTGCCATTCCAAAAGTATGGATTGACCGCCTGAGCATTCACGTCCAAATTAGATGGTGACAATAGTGATTCTAGGTCACTTGGGAAGTTGATCGTGGATGCCGATCCGGGACGTGAACTCGATGGCACAGACTGAATAGAAGCAGGCGAATTCTGGATAGACGAGAGAGCCGAACCGCTTTTTGGATTAGCATCTGGGGATGTCGTCTGTTCCTTTTGATTCAAAAGTGCCTCTAGCTCCTCTGAGGACGAGTATTTCTTGATAAGTCCCATGAATGAAGCAAGCCATATACGTACTTATCCGAGTCTCCAATCGCTCAAACCTATTCTTGGGACTATCTGATGGAGTAGTTGGTGTCTCCGTTGTTGCAACTGATTTGAGATTTGAGCGGAGGACCAATCTACCAGTGATGACGCGTACCTTCGTCGAATGTGCATTCCGGCCTTTCCGGCAAGTTCGCCCCAGGCTGTGCATGGTCGCGAGCATGCTTATGCGAGCGAACACACGTCGAGCAGGGTCGTCTGGCATCACTGGTGAAAGATTATTTGAGCAAAGGCAGCTCTCATCCAGACATGACTGTACCATTTCTTGTGGCGTTATTGGTCAGAATGCTGCATGAAATATCATATTGAAGCTCACCAATTTGCGTCTTCTGCACTGATGGCAGGCCTAAAACATAATTTGAGTGTTTTGGGAGGGAAAAAGAAAAAATATTGGACCTGATTTCTCTTGAGTACAGTAGCGCCGCCTGTTCCCGAGCCGACTGAACCTGGTGCTTTAGGCATCGATAAAGATTGGGAACGTGGTCGACTTGATAAGAAAAGAGAGTATGGCAGCGAGTAATTACAGCATGCAATCTTGGACCAACTAAGTAAGGTCCGCTAGAGCGAATAGCGCAAGTTGGGAGTCAAATGTCAAAGAATACAATGGCAATCCTGAAACAATCCTAAAAGTAACTTGCTTCACCATATCCGGGATAGACCAAGCCACAAGTCACTCAGACTCGCACTAAGCGAGCTACCGCTCATTCATACTAAGAACCCATCATTGACGGGAAGATGCAACATATAGGTCGTAACAGAAGCAACAACATAAATGGGCGTGATATGATAAAACAAAGAAAATCCATCTATATGAGCATGTGGAATGGCAAATCCACTCATACGATAACACAACCACGACCACTGCGCTTCTTTTCCTTCGGGGGAGGGTTCACTATAAGTCTCGTTAAACACATCTCGCGATGAGGATGAATAACCATGCTCACAAACAGCACGGATAACCTCATCAAACACGGTCTTTAGGCCCTTTTGCGATAGCGCAGAACATTCAAGATACTTGACGGCGCCAATATCCCTCGCCATCGAGACCCCTTGCGTGTACTGGATAGGCTGCATACGCCTGGGTAAATCAGGATTAAGAATAGATCTCGGTTAAAATGCCAGCCTTACCGGTCACGGAGTTTCTCGATGGTAGCAGGATCTTCACGCAAATCCAGTTTAGTGCCAACCAAGACCACCGAAGTAGATGGCGCATGATGTGAAATCTCAGGCCACCACTGGATTGCTGGGGTTAACAACAATAGCGAGTGTATTTTCACAAAGAGTGACATACCTTGGTTCTAACGTTCTCGTAGCTAGGTGGACTGACGAGCGAGAAACAGATCAAAAAGACATCTGTTTGAGGGTAGGAGAGTGGACGGAGACGATCGTAATCTTCTTGTCCAGCGGTATCCCATAGACCGAGAGAGATAGTTTTCCCGTCGACCATCACATTTGCAGAGTAGTTGTCGAATACTGATACTGAGTGAGACGGCAGCACTTTCAGGTCACCCACCGATCATACCTGTTGGCACGTATTCTCCCTATGAAATAACTTCAATGTTGCTTCAACATAAGAGTGCACAAAACTCACTGGAAAGGCATTTGTGGTATAAGAGATGAGAAGACACGTCTGGACCACCCATAAATCCCTCAACGCCAGAGCCTCGATGTGAAGGAGAACTTGCCTTGCCAACAGCACCATCGCCGACTACAACACCTGAATCTCGTGTTAGCTTATATTGACAATAAGCAAGCAAAACTCACATTTGATGTTGTGCATTCTGATTGAATCCTACTTGGTTGCCTGAAAGAGAAGCCCTCAAGGAGAGCAATGTGTGCGCAGAATCAGCGAGTGCTTGAATAGACCTGGTTGCAAGGAGATAAGCCCGAGCGGGTTGTGGCGGTCAGCGAACTGAAACAAAACTTCACAGATACGGGTTTAAACATACCTTTAACTTTGAAAGATGGTAGAAGGCAACGTGACGGATGGACGGGAATGCTTTGCACTTGGAATCGGTGCGACTAGGCTGTTCTTGCTTGTATATCCTTCTCTCCGCAAATGTACAATAAATGGATCAACAACACCTTAAATTAGGAATATTTCGTTCATATATCTCCGCTTTTTTCTCACATCCTCATGCGTCAATGAAACACGAAATGTACTACATTTTATTCGCAACGGCGTAATAAATATACTGGTACTGTGGGGCAGTCCACGACGAAGTAAAATTCGGGCGTTTGGACAGCAGTCAGATTAATCATGTTGGTAGATTTGAGATCCCACTCCGGGCGAAATCCGGCCATTGGGAGGCCAAATGACCACAAGACCGGCCGTAGGAACAAATACACGTCAAGGCAAAACAGTATACAAGTAAGGTAGGTTGGGCGGGAGGTACATGTACAAGCTGAAACAATTGCCAAAGCCAAGTGAGAAATTCTGGAGCTGATAAATAGCGGAAACCGTTCAGATAACGACATACAAAGGCAAAGCGGATCGAAAACTGGTAGAACAAACGAACAAGATCACTCATCAGGCTAACCAAACGTCACTCTGCGTTTCTTTAATGGTGGTGCCAAATCATCAATTAACACTCCCTCAACTTCCGCTTCATCCTTCTCCTCTGCTTCGCGATGGGAAGTAGAAAGATCAAACGGTGCCATCAACCCAATGCCTAGGCCGACGAGTCCGTCATTGGATTCTGACGTTTCATTGTCCGGTAAACGGAAATGTCTCATCACTGGGCTTTCCACCTCTGGACTAGACAGAGGCGGCAATATAACCCTTTTCTCGGGTGGGTGTCGCAAAGTAGATTCAAGCGGCTTGAACGGGCTCCCAAAGGGATCATCGCTGGTTAGGCGGGCAGGGCTTAGTATTGCTGGGTTGCTCAAGCTGCTCACCGAAGATGAGAGCGAGTTATCAGAAAGCCAGCCGCCCTGCAAGTCAAAGGAGTTGTTCATGGCAGTTTTTTTCCGGTCATGACCAAGCTTGCGACGTAGACCGCCGCCAAGTGAGGAGTCATTTAAGCGTTTGCGGAAGTCAAGGCGAGTAAAGACTGGCACTGGCGAACGATTATCAGAAATTAGGTGGCGTGGCGAAGGTCTGAAGATGATAGGAGAGCTTCCTTCGCTGAATATGCTGCCGAGGTCGCCAAACGTCTTTCCGCGGAAAGTGGTACTGCAGGGAGTATTCATAACACTCGTCGTACCAGTGCTTGGGGAACTTGAATCGTTAACAGAAGAACCTTTCGTTACAGGAGTCGCACGCGCGAGCATCGACAAGCAAAATTCCCTAGCCCCAGAATGAAGGGGGTGGCTTGGACTCGGGAAGCGCCAGGGCTGGTCTGAAGGAAGACGTGGTGGAGAGTGACGGAACGATGGCGTCAATGTCGGGTCGTAAGGAGACATGGGAACAGCAAATCTTGATGTTTTTGGGGATGCACTCGAGTCATCAGCTTGACCTCCCCGCAAATTATAGGAATCTGTCAGCGTGACTCCTTCGTCCAACAACTTTGCATGTTTGAGGACGGGAGGAGACGAAAGTGCAGGAAACTCATTCTGTTTAATGACAGGTGCAGAGGGAACGGGGGGATCATCATCATCGTCATCTGCATCATCATCGTCGTCATTATCCTCTGGGTCTGGGGTAGGTGTTATGCTATTTCTTAAGGATAAGTTTCTTGACTTTCTGGATTTGTTGTCTGGTCCCCTGGAAGCCCGGCGATCATCTGTGTAATTTTCCTTGTCGTGATGGTTATTTCGTTCCCCTGAAATGAGAATTAGTTATTAGGGGATGCCAACCCTCGAGCGTATGCTTACTGCCAGATCCGCGGCCACCGCGAGTGCGATCATGTCCTTCACGACGATTTGACATGGCAATTTTGTGTTTCTCATATACGTGTCGCCTCCACATGCTTTTTGCATTGACTCCTGCGTACGTTCTCCTGCAGAATGTGCAACGCAGCCTGGGCTCTTCCCCTTCGGGCCAGCCATCAGGGCCCAAAGCCTTGAGATCCTTTTTCTTGGCTGGGCACCATCCTCTAGGCGGTTCAAGCTGCGGAGGATAAGGAATTGCATCTGGACTGGTAGATGAACCGTTGACAAAATCGTTCTGATCTAAGAACCAATCCGGATTCGCAGCCATCAACGAGTAAGAGAGGCCTTCCGGGTACAGGTGAGCATTTGGAAAGGTAACGAACGGGGGATGAATGATAACGATATTCGGATCAGACAGTGAAGGATCCATCATGGGCATATGTTGAGCTAAAGATGACACTGAGTGCGTCCGCATAGAAGGTTGTAATTTGGGCGGCGGCGGGACGGGAACCGAAGAACCGTTTGGTGTATATGGCTTTGGCTTAAATGATGCGGCAGCAGGCGTGAAAAAAGGGAGGTCCGAAGTAGACGTCAAACGTCGTTTCGGAGCACGAGTCGCGTTCGTAGATGACGTGCTAGTAGATGAAAGCGAGGTACTCAGAGTGGGTCGCGTGTCTGACATGGCAGGTGACTGCTAGGCTATGTGTACCGATGATTACGCTTAAGCGCTGTGTATCTCCTGCCCAACACAACCAGTACTCACGCGTAAAAAAGACTTATGATGGTGTCTCAAACCACTTAAGATAATTAGATATTGGCGTGCGTGACGATGGGCGGGCTGGTAGGGGATATCACGGGAGGGGTCGCTGCGAAAACTGTCGAGGTGACGATGTACTCACTACGATTATTTCTCACATTTTAAGCGGAGCTGACACGTCTCCTTTTAACAACGCGTCCATCACGTGACACTGAATTTCGTGTTATTACAGGAAACAAATCTTGACGCTTCACACCAAGAGCCAACCAGAGCAGGGTAGTGCAAACGGTATTAATTAATTAAATGCTGATGAGACGTGGAAACAAATCCTCAGTGCCCCATTTCGATACTGTTGATGAGAATGTGTATCAGTATGGTCACACGGCTATCCTGGAGAGTTTCCGCCACAAAGGTCAGGATCTACTAAAGTACACGATGCAGCAAACAGAACCCTGGCAGGTGATTTGAACGACGCACTAAATCAAACCTACTGAGCTCGACTGCAACTGGAAGTATAAACATTTGTCGACAGAAGAAAGATACGCCCTGCAGCATGGGTGAGAAAAAATAGTATACAATGCGCATGTTTTCAAAGTGTCATATACTGACATAGTATGGGACAATGGCTCACAGCAAGGTCAAGGGTTGGGAACATTCTAAGTAATAGCGAATGGCTGATTTAGAGCGCCAAGGTAATGTACCTAGTCGACATGACAACATGAGCGTGCGCTGGAAGTCTTGTTGTTCGGCTTACCCAGCAATCATAACCATACCGCCCAAGGGAGTGATAGGTCCAAGGAATTTCAATCTGGATAATGAAGATATTAGAGCACAGACATGGATTATGTGTAAGGGAGATGCCGCACTTCCACAGAACAAGCGCTATGATGGAGCCGGAGAAGACAAAACCTCCTCCCGCAATTGCAGGACCAGCAAACTTGTGCGTCGAAAATCGAGGATGCATCGAGATCATAAATAAGGCCAAGCCATTGAATATCTTGGTGCTCGAAGTTAGAAAAGAGTCATAAAGTACGCGAGGAACAGTTGCAAACCGCATAATGAGACGCTGTTTGCCAGGCGTTCAATCCTTCAGGGGTGATTCCTGGCTTGCGCTTCAATCCATGAGAACCAAATGCCCCAGCAATCATTCCTGTAGCAGCTGAGGACCAACACGGCAGACGATATTCAAACTCTGTCAACTAGCTGTGCCAAAAGAGCTAACCAAGGATAGCCCCCGACTTCCAAAGGAGCGAGGGTGTTACAAAAGTCGAATTTCGCGGGAGAAGTGGTGTAGATGAGTTGGGAAACGCCATTTCGAAGAGTACTCTTAGTACCACTGTAGAGGAGTGTCGAGGGCTAACTTGCTCTAGTTGGTGATGTAATCAATGTACAAGGCGTTATATTGTTGCCGAACGTTTAATGTAAAAAGTTAGCATCAGGATTTATAAGTGCTTCCATCCAGCCATGGGTAAAGCACAGAAAAAGACAGGAAAGGGTCGGCTTGACAAGTATTACAAGCTTGCAAAGTACGCATTTTCTAGATCATCAGAATTATCACAGTATTCAACTCATTGCATCCAGAGAACAAGGTTACCGTGCGCGATCAGCCTTCAAGCTAATTCAATTGAACAAAAAATACACATTCCTCGAATCAGCCCGATGCTGCATTGATCTATGTGCGGCACCTGGAGGTTGGCTACAGGTGGCTAGCAAGTATATGCCAACAAATAGCGTTATTATCGGTGAGTGTTTTACAGACACTTGAAGATGATTCTTGATTCATTCATTCCACTCTACAGGCGTGGATCTTGTACCAATAAAGCCCATACCTCGTGTGGTCACGTTTGCTGCAGACATTACCACTACGCAGTGTCGTAACCTCATTCGTAGTGAGATCAAGGATTGGAAGGCGGATGTTGTTCTTCATGATGGTGCACCGAACGTCGGTACTGCATGGGTACAGGACGCATATAGCCAATCAGAACTTGTACTGATGAGTTTGAAACTCGCTGTGGAATTTCTCGTCAAAGGCGGGACATTTGTCACTAAAGTTTTCCGAAGTGTTGACTACAATAATCTTATTTGGGTCTTCAACCAGCTTTTTGGAAAGGTAGAAGCTACAAAGCCTCCCTCATCTAGGTGCGTCTTCTTATCCTGGTAGTGGTATCTGATATTTACGTGGAGATAGAAATGTGTCTGCTGAGATTTTCGTGGTCTGCCGGGACTTCCTTGCTCCCAAACACATCGATCCCAAGTTTCTGGATCCAAGACATGTTTTCAAGGACTTGTCGACTACTATTGCGTCTGGTGCAGACAAGGGTACATCTGCAAATAACGCACAAGCAAATGTGTTTCAACCTGAAAAGAAGCGCCGGAAACGTGATGGTTACGATGAAGGGGATTACCTTTTGTTCAAAAAGGCCTCTGCAGCTGACTTTATTCGAAGTGCCGATCCAATATCTGTGCTCGGACTGGTCAACACAATAACCTTTGAGTTGCCAGAGGAAAAAGAGTATGACCGTTAGTTTGCTGTTGTGCCATTTTGACGTGTTCTTCAGGTGGTTGCGGCTTGATATCACTACTCCCGAAGTTCAGGCAAGCTGTGAGGATTTGAAAGTGCTCGGCAAGGGTGATTTCAAGAATCTGCTCAAGTGGCGGACTGCGCTTCGTCAAGAAGTCAGTGGTGCCGTTTATTTCACTCGTCAAAGGTCGCTCACATTTGCCCATAGATCGGGTTAGATGTGAAGGCGAAGGACACTCAGGATGTCACAGAGACCGTCGAGATCACCGATGAAGTTGACGAAGAGCAGCAAATTCGAGACGAGGTTTGCCTTTTGGGCCTATGATTTTTCGTCCTTCTGACTCGTGTATTAGCTCGAAAGATTGAACGTCGAGGCAGCTGCGCGTACTAAACGTGAACGTCGTCGTGCAAATGAGATTAAGACCAAGACAATCCAACGAATGCAGCTTCAGATGACCGCCCCGTTAGATATCGGTCTCGAGCAAATCGATGCTTCGCTAGGAATGGGCCAAGAAGATATGTTTGATTTGACGTGCACTGAAAGGCAGTTGAGGAATAAAGGCGGGATTGGGATCATACGGGTGGATGATGACACGCCGGAGGATGAAGATGAAGATGAGGTGGTGGCAGGGGACGATGAAGAGGACGAGGTCCTCGATTCTGAGGAAGAAAGGGATCGAAAGGCGTCACGGCTTGAGGCAGAAATGGATGGCCTATATGATGCTTACCAAGAGAAGCTGAAGGAACGCGACTCGAAATTCCAGGCTAGACAAGCAAGGCAGAAGAACGGAATGCTGGAGAAATGGGATGGAATTCAGGACGACGAAAAAAGTGAAAGTGATGAGGAAGGTGGTTGGGATCGAATGGAGACCGCAAAGGGGGACGATGACGATTCCTCGGATGAAAGTGACGATGAAGAACACGAGACGCGAGGTCAAAAGAGGAGAAGACCTGAAGCAACAGAAATGAGGTCAAACAAAAAGGTCAGGCTCGTGACGAAGCTAGAGGAGCCAGCTGCAGGGAGTCGTATTTCCCAGGTATGGTTCAGTCAAGACCTTTTTGGCGGTGTGGAAGGTCTTGATGATATAGAGGGTGAAGAAGAAGGGGAAGAGGAGGATATAGACATGGCATCGGCGCAGCATGATGGTGACGAGGAAGAATGGCAGGATGATGTACGTCTGAAATTACTCATTTTAAGTTCCATGCTTATGAGATCGCCTAGCCTACTGCTTCATCTGATTGTGACTTCAAAGTTGTGCCCCAGCAGGACGGCGACGATATCGAAATGTGGGACGCTGAGGACGAAAACCAAGATGAGGCTAAGCAGGAGCATATCAGAAGTTTGTGCAATGAACCCATCTGGTATTTTCGATGACCACTGACCCATGTTCTAGAGCACGGTCTAACTACAGCGGAATCTGTGTCCATTGCTCAGCGATTAGTAAATCGCCAAACTACCAAAACGCATCTTCTTAATGACGGATTCAACCGCTATTCTCTCAACGCAAAAGACGGCTTACCGTCGTGGTTCTTGGATGATGAGGCAAAATACTACAAGCCAAATATCCCCGTGACTAAAGAAGCTGTAGCTGCTCTGCGAATGCGTCAACGTGCACTGGATGCACGCCCAATCAAGAAGATTGCAGAGGCCAAGGGGAGAAAGAAGCTACGGGCAACACAGCGGCTGGAGAAGGCGATGAAGAAAGCAGAGGGTGTGAATTCAACATCAGACATGAGCGAGCGCGAGAAGGCAAAGCAGATAGAGAAGCTTATGCGCAAAGGAACTGCAAAAACGAACCAAAAGAAGGAAACTAAAGTGGTTGTCGCGAAGGGCGCTCACAAGGGAGTCCAAGGTAGACCAAAAGGCATCAAGGGGCGTTATGTTATGGTCGATGCAAGGATGAGAAAAGAGGTAAATCCTTTGTGTGCGTTGATCTTGCAGAAGCTGACTGCTGTTGAACAGACACGTGCCAAGAAACGGAGAGACAAGGCAAACAAAAAGCGAAGATGAGCATGACCAGCTTACCACTACTACAATTAGTTTCATGCATGCTCGTACTATATTCATCACATTCATGACTTGAGAGCATCGATGATTAGTTCAGTGTATACGATAATGGTAAGCTAAGGGGCTGGGAGATCTGTATCGAGACCCTGGGCAGGGACTGAAACAGTGCTGATATGGTCACACGACATGAGGAACCGAGTCCAACCTTCACGACCTGCAGAATTATCGAGCGTAACCTAGTTCATGAATAAGCCCACTATAAATCCAAATCACATGGTCAACACACCTGACAAGTTGTAAACTTCTGGTTACTCTCCAAGTCCAACACACTTTCTGTTATGACTCGCACAGGAATAGACTGCTCCATGTTCTTGCCAGTCCCCGTTGACAGCTGAGGTGTCTCCGTAACTTTGCGCACACTTAAACTAGTCTGAAGGAAGTAGGTTCGACCGCGAAAGTTGAGTGTAACAGGTGGCTGTGGTTGAATTGCTTCACGATCTTGAGAAGTTAAACTGTCAATGATGGGATGAGTGAGATCAAGTATGGAAAAGATGCTTGAAAGAAGCGTACAAATTTCGAAGTTGCTCAGTATAATCAACGAGCAGCGCAGGCTGGTCACCTGCACCAACATATGCGTGTTCGAAGACAGTGAATTGAACGTCCATTGGACTACCCCAAAATTAGTCCATATCACATAAGATTGGAGATCAAACAAACCGATCAGGCATCATGATATCTAACGCGGATTCAGCGCCTTCGAGGCACGTTGCTTCAGAAACGTTGACGACCGCCTCTTGAAAGTTTTGCTCTGCGTGCTTTGGAGGTCCTCCTGGGGTGGCCGGGTCCTGAGATGGCTCCAGGGGGTGTGGGGGGTTATGATCGGCGTCGAGTTCCAAAGCTAAGTCACCTGCCAATTCATGTTCTGAGTCACTGTACTCAAGTGCTGCCGCTTTGGTCTCGGCCGTATTTGACGTTGAGAACTCCAATTCTAGTTTGATTAATTGCTGACGGAGACCATTCTCAAGTCGAGACTCTGGAAGCGTGCGATATAAGACGCGGTGTATGACTTTTTGGTTGGAAGGTGGCGAATTCAATAATGTAGCAGGGAGACTGGAAGTCCAGATTAACCTATGATTGAGATGACTGTTCAACAGACATACCTGGGAACGAACGTGAGCGCAGTATTTGAAGTGTCCAACCATTTGAGAATTTTTGATAATGTCCAGTTTCCCTTTAAGGGGGGAATAAGGACGCTATGTCCGGTCGGTGATGCAGACCCAAGAACGATGTGCCCAAAGCTTGGGTGACGTCAGAAACAGCGCCCTTGGTCTAGTGAGTGCTTACGATGCAGAGACCAGTCTCTCGTGACCAGGGGTCTTTGGAGCACTCAGAAGTAGTGCCTCAAGATCTGTAGATTCCCTTCGAGAAGACGTCAGTAGAAATCTCAACCTAGCTTAGGGGAAAAGCTAACTCAGTTTTCGTTACTACTTTTCCTTGCTCGCCTGCCAAGCCACCTGTTTTTGTCGCATCTTCGATGGCAGTACCACCGAGCCAATCTGCAACTCTGCGAACCCGGAAAGATGCACCTTTAATCATCGTCCAAGGTAAAGACCGAGGGGAGAGGAAAGGGTAGATAGAGTACATGTGTGGCATGAAGGAAGGCGCTACGGAATCCTCGGGCTTTGCCTTTGCTGGCACATAACAAAGAAGGGGTGAAGAATGGCCACCTTGAGTCTAAGCCGTCTATCAGTCTAGCAGGATAGGCAATATTCTTATAATGAGGCGGCTAACCTCTGTTGAAGCACGGATAGCAAGTCGTTTTGCAGTGTCCATTTTGTCAGTGTCTTTAGCACAAATCCTGATCTAAATGCACTTTCAATACTTGCTTAGATGATAAACAGTAGAACCTGCCTTGCCCTTGTGACCAAGGTTCTCCACATAGGCACCAGCAAGGCGTGATATACGTTGGACCAGGTCTTGACGAATAGGTTGTTTTGAGGGCAGTTCAATGATTTCATCAATGATACCCTCGAGATAAGTTAGTTTTCCAACATTGGCGTGAACTTCGGCAACCTTACCTTTTTCAGTTCACTCAAGTGCTCTGTGAGTTGCTTCATTGTGCCCCTGAATCCCTCCACTCGCAGGGCAAGTGGATTGGAAGCCAGAGAAATGTGGACATTATACTGCATGGAAAGCTGCAATAAGTCGGCGCCATCTAGAAATTTAGTCGTTAAAAGAGGAATGCCGTGAATTGATTAGACTTTACCTTTACCAAGAATGAGAAAAAGTTGACTTGGGTTGACAGAGAATGCTATGGAAGTCAGTTCAACATGGAAACGATATGTGGAACATAACTGACTCTTTATAACAACCTCTGTTTTATCTCTCTGCTTTCTCTCGATTTCCTTCAGGGAGGGCCAGTTCCACTGCTTCTCCATAATGGATTCCGCGTATTCTACTTTACGTCTGGAACTACGCGTCCATATAGGGCCGAGGTTATACAACTCTGTAAACTTCCGTAGCTGGTCCTTGCTGAAGGACCGACAGAGTGTGTCCAAGAGATTGTTATACTCTTCTGCATATTTGGACGACTCCGGTGGCGAGTGTCTCTTAGGTCTGCAGCGCTCTATGTCATCCAAAGTTGGTTCCAAGCCTGCAGCGTGTATCGAAGCGAGGTATAGGTCGACACGAGTCGGCTCTAGTGGATTTCGAGACTGGGAGGGTGTATCATTCTCCACTAGTTGCCCTTCCTTCGTTTCTCCGGAGGCTTTGGCCCGATTGAGCGTCGTTGTCTTCGCTAGCGCATTACTAGGTCCAGCAGATGGTGTTTCTGTTGAATGAAGGTTACTTATTGGAACAGCCGAGGTCGCGAGCGCTGCTTGTGACGAGTAGAGTCTGTGATGTCGCCAACGAAGACACGATGAGCACAAAGAGCGCGATGTCCGTAGTAGCGGAGACGACATTCAAAAAGAAAGCCCAGTGATCCACCCTCAGATGCTAACTGTCGGCAGGCAGAAAACTACTAACTATACTGTCACGGTCAGGTTCTATTTCGGTTCACTATTTCGTAAGTCACACTTATGTCACGAATAGTAATGGGCAGTCACCGACTGCGTTTCCGATGAACTGATCATGACGCTCAGCAAATCCTTAATGTCTAGTGTCAAACGGAATCAGCTAGTGTGACGATACCGTGACTTTCATGACTGCATGAGATGTAGGGATTGCGCAAACTAGTGGTAACTAATACTGTAGTACTGAACCGAAACGAATAGAGTTCATAGACTATACACAAAACACTGCCAAGTAATAAATTTAAGTATGTCTTCAAAGTTATTCAGCAGAACCAACTTCAGCGACATGGTGATCTGTGAGCGCCTTCTCATCGTCTTCCCCTACCTCACCTTCCCAACCATTATCAGCGAGGTATTTCATGAATTTGGCGTCTTCATCGGCGAGGTCAACCCCAGTCATGTCTGGGACGCAGAAATACGTGATCAGGACACCAGTTATGCCACAAATGGCGGCAATGATAAACGTCCACCTTCAAAGGCAGTTCAGTGGGTGGATTTATATCAAGAAAAACTTCTAACGCACTGTTTACCCAGATTGTTCTGTATGGGAGTGAAAGCCTGAGTGCCAACGGCTGCTCCAGTCTTCCCAATAGCAGCAGATAAGCCGTAGCAGGTGCCGCTGTTGACTAGTTTGTACTTTGCACTGGATCACCTGATTATCATGAATGACGTACCGGATTGGAGTCGCATATGACTCGGAGCTCGTTAGACCAAGCATATCACCGGGTCCCTAAGAAATGTGAGATGGAGTGCCACTGGGCTCATAAAAATTGCACAAATACCATGTTTCCGACTGATTGCATGAGCCCATAGCTATAAAAAATCGTCAAAGATGTAAAAACGAAATCTAGTGAGATAGCTCACAAAATGATGAATAGTGGTATAATTTTCGTGATCTTGTTGTAAGCCAGTCCAATGATGAGTCCAAATAAGAGGTATCCAGAGAAGCCGAGCATCATCTAAATACAAATAAGTGTGCACTTATGATCAAGGAGGCACTGCCCACCGTATTTCTTCGACCCAATCTATTACAGAGATAGGCACCCACGAAAACACCAGGGAGCGCGATTATTCCGAGAAGAAGTTGCCATTCTGCCGTCGACTTTATGTCGCCGTTGGGGATAACGCTGGAAATAATGGTACCCGAGAAGACACCGTTAGGGAATGTGACCTGGGGAAGAAAGATGTGAGATTTGCGAAAAGCACAATCGCAATACTTGGCTTACAAAATCGTAAAGAAACCTGTTTGCAAGATGAGATACAAACCAGTGCCTTTGATCCGAGAACGACTCACCAAGCCCCACAAGTTCCGATCAGCTCTCGCCAATAACGCTTGAATACGAGTCCATATGGGACGCGACCTAAAATCACATTAAAAACAAAGGGTATCAAAGTAGACTTACACATACGCTTGATAGCACCCTTGCGGTACAGCTTAGAGCTCAGCATGCGAAGACGGAAGAAGAATACAGTCAAAGGGAGCAATATGCCAATACCAAAGCACACGCGCCAGACCGTCTGTAGATGATTCTCTCCAGCAGCCGATAAGACAATCAGAAACACAGATACAGCAAGAGGGCCGCCGACCTGATTCGAATTGTTGAGATTTCCGTCAGAATAGCGCGAGCATACGCACGGATAGAACAAAGTTCGTGACCATGATGAATACTGCTCGCTTAAGGTTATCCATATTTCGGAAATTGGTACAAACTAACCTGGACCGCGATTTTTCTGTGCTGTCTCGTTCGCAGCTTCGCTAGCACTCGTGGAAGAAGCAGGATATTCGCCTCCAACGCCCTAATAAAATTGATCATGGAGAATGCATCATGAAAAATCTGCATACAACACCCGTGATTCCTCGAGCGATAGTCAAGAACCAAAACAATCCCTGAGCGCTTCCGTGCGCACCATGGGCCGCGGTACCAAGGATAGCACCGACGACAATCAGTAGGGTTGTCGAGACAAGGGCGACTTTGCGTCCCACCCTGTCACAAATCAAACCCACGAATATTTGACCAAGTACAGCACCTTTAAAATGTCGAAATCAGATATGGGCAGGGGCCGCATTCCTACTAGTACCACCACTCACCAACTAGCAAGGAATTTGAGACACGGGTAGACACGATAGATGTATAGTCATTTGGGTATAATTTCTTGAAAATAACCTATTAAATCAAGTCAGGAACTCTCCTATTACCTGCAGCGCCTGATGTTAACGAACGTTGCTCATCGTCATCAGATTATTTTGGTCTGTGGTAGATAAGGTGACCAATTGTTACGTATCTGTGGTTTAAAGCGAAAACATACAACCATCACTGATCAAACCAAAACCAGCGGCAAGGATGGTAAAGTATGCACTGAGCGACTCTTTTTTATCAAGGTCATGTGCTGCAGCCTTTATTTCCGCATCGTGGGCCTTTGGTGTAACCTTACGAAGGTCACCAGTCTTGGCATCAACAGAGTTGATATCTTCTTTATCGACGGACATACTGGGGGCGCCTATTATGATAGAAGAAATCGAGCTAGCTGGAGAGAGAATGAAGCCAAGGCTCACTTAGTAGATCCAACATTTTATAAGTGGATACACGTGGTGCAGTAGTTGAAACTCACTTGAGGACAACTGCATGTTACATATTTAGTACTGTAAACGCTCAATGTGGATCAATGCCTACACCCTAATACAGGATGCTCAGAGGCCTGAGGCCTAAACGTTCAAACATTCAACCATCATATCGATGAGAACAGGTAGAACGTGTCAGATGTCCCATATGGTGCACTGATCACTAGTACTACTTGGCGCATGTGCCAAATTGACACAATAAAATGTAACCCTAACCCTGGTCCTGAGGTTACTGCGTGCTAGTGATGGGAAGTAAATAGTATATCAGCTATTCCGCCTTACAAGGACCATCTATCATGGCCAGACAAGCTATGAAAAAACGCAGCTGCATACGTTCAAGCGTTTCGTCATAAGAAGCACTGTACGCAACGATGTTCAACCAATCCAACCAGTGATGCATCGCGGACAGTAAGTTTAACCGAGACCCGGTTGAAGTTCGGAGTACGAAAGGACAGTCCGCTGAGAAAAGGGATAACGTCTTATCGAAATTATGTAATTCACGCAAAAGGATACTCCGCTTGAACTTTACTTTTGTACTCCAAGCTGCCAACGAGAGTAGTGAGCAAGATAAAATGGCCAGTCTTAACGGCACTTCACACAACCCTATCGACGATGAGCTTGATTTTTCAGACATCGAGGCCAAGTGCGGACTTCTTGAAATTTTCACTTAACTTCTACTTACTCTCTTCCGCTTAGATATCGCGTGGACTTTGACGATGGTTTCGACAGTATAATCGTGGTCGACGGCGTACCCGTCATTGACAAGTCTAAGCTCGACAGGTTACTTACGAAGATCTGCAAAGAATTCTCTAGAAGAGGGGCTGTGATCAAGCAAGATGAGATCTTCGTACCATGGGATGACAATGCAGGAAAATCTAAAGGGTGCGCTCCCCCTAGCCCTATTGCTATATTTTTGAGAACTAAAGTGTGGTAGCTTCATTTTTGTTGACCTTGGCAACCCAGACGCGGCTGCATTTGCGGCCGGCGCAATGAACGGACATCCTTTTGATGCGAAGCATACTTTCCGTATCAATCGATTCACTGACATTGAACGCTATGCAAGCATCGACGAGACATACGTTGAACCCGCAGTGGAGGAATACCGTCCAAAGGTTTGACTTTTTTTCCGCAATTAAGATGTTAGACTCACTTTCCAAAGGAACATCTCCGAGCATGGCTCGCTGATTCTCAAGGACGTGATCAGTATGTGACTTACCGAGGCGACGACGTGGAAATCCACTGGCACGGGAAGCCCTCGCAGTGTGAAGTTGCCTATGCAAAAAAGGTATGTGGCCGTCCCAGCCATTATTGCATCCGCTTAATCTCTTGAAAGAATTGGACAGAACTCTACGCTTCATGGTCACCGCTTGGTACATACTTCGCTACACTTTTTCGTCAGGGTGTCCGCCTGTGGGGTGGGCCATCATGGGAACCCCAACATCGTTTTGCACACCCTCTCGTCAAATTGATGGACTTTTCTCCTTGCGAAAATTATCTTGTCACTTGGTCACATGATCCCATCTCAGTCCCCACAAATCTCCCTCAAGGTCCCGAATTCTTTTCTCCCGAGGACGAGGGCAATAATATTGCTGTTTGGGATATCAAGTCCGGTCACCTTCTTCGCACATTCCCCACCACGACTTATGAAAATGAGGATCCAGCACTGAAAAAACAAATGCAGTGGCCGGCCTTAAAGTGGAGTTCCGATGATAAGTTCGTTGCTCGTGTAACGCCAGGACAGCATATCAGTGTCTACGAGTTACCAACCATGGGTCTTCACGACAAAAAGAGTTTGAAAATTGAGGGGGTTGTGGACTTTGAATGGTGTCCTCACGGAGAGAAGGACAAGGAAGACGCGGAAAAGGCCGCGAAAACCGAGAAAACCGAGAAAGGTGCCAAGAAAAAAGAGAACATGCTTGCTTACTGGACACCTGAAGTCGCCAATCAACCAGCGCGAGTGACCCTCATTAGTTTCCCGACTCGCACTGTGCTAAGACAAAAGAACTTGTTCAATGTCACAGAGGCAGGTGTTGTCCGTCTTTTCTGTGGTTGGTCCAGTATTAAAGATCGATGTTATAGTGTAAACTTCATTGGCAAAATCAGGGTGACTTCCTTTGTGTCAAGGTTGACCGTCATACCAAGACCAAAAAATCGATTTTCTGCAATCTCGAGATTTTCCGGGTTCGCGAGAAGGATTATCCCGTTGAAGTTGTCGAGTTGAAAGGTGCAGAGACCCCTGACCTTACCAGATCATCCACTGACATGCCATATAGACACAGTGACAGACTTCTCCTGGGAGCCTAAGGGGGAGCGATTTGCTATTGTGTCAAGCAATGACCCAAACCTCGGTAACCCTGGGCCCGGAATTACAATTAAAACCGATATCAGCTTCTACCAGCTGGATCGCGCCAAGAATGATTTCAAACTCCTGCGTACGTAGTATCAATATCAGCTAGCTTTGCCTTTTGACCTTTTTTTCTATTTACAAACAGGCACACTTGCGTCGAGGACTAGTAATACGATACGTTGGTCTCCTCGAGGCAGACATGTAGTTCTTGCGACAGTTGGTTCATCGACAAAGTCTGAACTCGAGTTTTGGGATCTGGATTTCAACACTGAAGAACGTCGAGAAGGACAAAACGTAAAAGAAGAATGGGGCAGCGGCATTCAGCAACTTGGTTCTGCTGATCATTATGGTGTCACTGATGTGGAATGGGACCCTAGTGGGCGATACTTGGCCACCAGTGCAAGCGCATGGAGACACACGGTCTGTTGCATTCATGGTCGCCACTGCGCTGTGCTAATCGCTTTTGTGCCACACAGCTCGAAAACGGCTACGCTATTTGGGACTTCCGGGGACAAGAATTAGAAAAGCACATCCTTGATCGCTTCAAGCAATTCATTTGGAGACCGCGGCCCCGCAGTCTTCTCACAAAGGAACAGCAGCGGCTGATTCGTAAGAACCTGCGTGAGTATAGCCGTGCATTCGATGAAGAAGATGCTGCGGAAGAGAGCAATGTCAGCGCTGAGCTTGTCGCTCACCGTAAGCGCCTTCTTGATGAATGGAACGCATGGCGCGCACGGTGCAAGCGAGACATTGCGGAAGAGAAACGGAGTCGTGGACAAAAGCTTAATGGCGAGCATCACGAAGAAGAAAAGGAGGAGATTGAGGAGTGGATTGATGAGGTTATTGAGCAAAGCGAAGAAATTGTGGAGTGAATGTTCTGTGATTGGGGATGTATTTAGTCGGAGGCAGACATGCTGCATTCCCATACGCATACCCTATGTAGTCAGTCTTCGTCCATGGGGTTATCCAAGGCGGTGTTCCGTCAACTCTCGAGAGTTCTGTGTTACCACCTAACTGGGTTTCCGTCGGACTTCCCCACCGAGTACCGAATCTACCGACCCAATATCTAATCTAACATTCAATTCTTCCTCGTGGTCGCCGCTGACAGGCTAACCACGGTACTACCGAGAAAAAACAAAGTCATAGCCCTTTCAAGTTCTCCTGTTTTCCTTCTTGACGACGCTTGACATTTCGTTGGCGCTCATTTCTCAAGCATGGTACCTATCGGACCCTCACTGGCTGCCTCGACATCTGCCTCGATGCTATGGGCAACAGGTAAGCTTGATCTACAATTGCGAGTTACTTAGTTCCGACAGTACCATCCGCAGCCTCAAAAGAGTGGGTGATCCCAGCTAAACCCAAACCCGGGCGAAAGCCCAAGAAGGAGAGCTCTGCCGACCCTCCAGCCCCAAAAGATGATGAGGTAAGTGCTTCCTTATTACCCTGCGCTTCAGATTGCTGATAATGACCGCAGGATTCAGAGTCTGCAGATAGGCGTGTTCAAAACAGGTGAGGGGTGAAGCAGTCCTCTAATACCGTCCGCTTATTCTTAATTCAGAGCCGCCCAACGCGCATTTCGCGAGCGCAAGCAGTCTCAGCTTGCTGAGCTACAAGCTCGCCTTCATTCTTACGAACAGGGAGAAATTGAGCGTAATGTCGCACTCCAGAACATTGCGAAGAAAATGAAAGATGAGAACGAAGAGCTCAGAAAGGAGAATCAGATGTTAAAAGAAAAAATCGCTCGTCTCGAGTGGGAAGCAGATTCGAATGATGGAGACAGAAAGAGGAACAGGGAGAATGTTGCGGTCGTGCCATCACCTAGCATGTCCCCCGAACGACCTATCCGCAACAGCAACAAGCGAGCGAAGATGGAAGCCGAGGCAATGGACTCGCCGCAGGGCATTCCAAGTCATTTTACCTCCTATAGCCCCCCATCCACTTCAATGGCTTCCTCCCCTGATGACGGAACCACCACCAGCTTCTCCTCAGCAGGTCGTTCAGGACTTTTTCCCACACCCCCACCTTCCCTCACACACATGCTCAGCTATTCTTCATCGGAGCCTGTCCCAGCACTAGATGCACTGGATGCACTAGATACACAAGATTCAGCCGATTCTTTCCAATGTGTATTGTGTAGTCCAGAGACTCCTTGCGTTTGCAGGGAGATGGCTATGCAGGATGCCATTACTGACAATAATTTAAGTCACGTATCACTCGAACCAAAACATGATCATTCTGCCATCATGTCACCTATGGACCAATCCACGCAGATAGGGGTACCTGCATCTTCGCAGATGAACATCCTCGAGAACCTCCCGGCATACCAAGCGCCTGTCCCAATACGTCGACGAGTGCCGGGTCAGAGCACAAACCCAGTCTTCTCTGTGACTCCGATTTCAGTCTCACTCTCCGCCAAATGTTCAGGTGACCCTGCTAATTGCATGGCATGTTCAGACGACGCTTTCGGGAAAGCGTTCTGCCAGGCAATTGGACACTCCGTCAATTCGACATCACCGTGCATCGACTGTCCTCTACGGACTAACCAATCCGACAAGATTGTTGTCGGCGGTTGCTGTGGCGACATCATGAAGTGTGGATCTTGTGGCATAGCGCCCATGATTTCGTCCACGAATCCCCGCGCTGAGACGTCGATACCGACTGACGTTGCTTGGCGTCAGCTCAAGTCGCACCCAAATGTCGCATTCGCAGATCTGTCACTATTAGCCGAAGTGGTTGCTCGTAGATCCAAGTGCACTGGCTCACGGGTGGTAATATCACCGGCGCCAGGATCCATTACGCCTGAACGTAACGCACTCACTGGCATGGCAGGACATTCTCATCAGGGTGGATCCATGGCGCCAGATCATCATTCGGTTCTACTGACGGATCCACATGAGCGATACCATCAACAACAAAGAGAGCAGTCCTCACCACTAAAGCTCGTTCCGCAAGAGGTATTGATCGAGTGTGGACGTCGAAGAATGCGGGAGGTGAATGCGGATGGCGTCAGAGAAGCGCTCCGACTGCTAGATTCTAAGTTTGCACATGCTCGATAAGTCTCATGCTTGTAGATATTCTGTATGTAGTATGTATTAACCGCGTCACGTTACGAACATTCATTCCGACTTCCATAAATGAGTTATTTCTATTCCCCTTTATGTGGATATCCATCGTGTCTATCAATCTCACCAGAAAGCGGGCGAGACCCTGTCCACTGCTCAAATCGCATCCACTCCGTTTTAATTGACCTCATCTTCCAATGCAGCAGACGTTGCTGACGCATGGACAATTTGCGTCTCCCATGCTCTGGACTCAAGCCATAGGAGCGAAACGTCACGGCCAGCGTGCGGAGATCCGCGTGTTCCAGCTCGGGAGGGAATGGTTTAATTTGTGCCCACATTTCGCGTAGCACGCGTCTCGCTACTGAATATGCTCCCACAGCAAAATATGCATGGGCAACTGCATCGATGGAGGGCATATCAGGAACGATACCAACACGAATCATCGCACGGAAAGCCCGCATAGCTTCCTCTGGCTTTCCTTGGCGACCGTAGCCATTGACGAGAATGGTGTACATCACTGCATTTGGCTGGATGCCAGCTTCAAGTGCATCTTGAAGCACTTGTTTAGCGCCTCGCATGTCACCCATCTTCGCATACCCGTCCATAAGCGTTGAGTAATGGTGGATGGTTGGGTGAAGCCCTTGGTCCAACATATTTTGGAAAGCAGTTTGAGAAGGCCCCATATCAGACCCAGCAACGGCTTCATGCTTCAGCCTCAGTGCTATGGTAGCACGATCGCTTTGAATAGCCTGCCGGGAGACCGACTGCAGGATCGGTCCAAACCAAGATTTCAACCGTGCACGACGGGGGAGTTTGAGACCGGCCGTAGGATGATAGTGTTCAGTTGTGTCCAGAATACGTCCCTCCGAATTTTTGGGTTTGTAATTTCGCTTCTTGGAGTACTTGGCAGCAGTCGTATCCCACCCACATCCATGAACCATAAATTTCTCGCGACGAAGGATGCTCCGCAAGATGATGTGGATGTGTTGGATGGTGGGTCGAATCGAAGGGGATGAAAATGAACGAAGGACACGTATCAACTGACGAGGACCGGTCCCTTGTGCTCGTTCGAGGAAACTCATAAGAATTTCCACCGTATGACTATCTGGACTGATCCCAACAGTATGCATCGTCCGCAATATATCACGCATCGCTTTGAGGCCCATGACGTCAATTAATCCGCTCATCAGTGCATTGAATATATGCGCTGTTAAGGGAATACCCTGAACGTCAACAGGAAGTGTTGTCAGCGGTTGCACCTGCATCATGCTACAGAAGACCTCAGCAGCAGCAGTAGATCGCGTGTTCAGCAGCATGGCAACAATACTAATAGCTTCGCGATTATGCCCTGCAGCTAGATATCCTCGAATGAGCGCTGCTAGAATGGAGGTATCTGGGTGGACACCAGCTTGTTTCATGTGGTCTAGGAGTTTGAGCATGCGCGAAAGCTTGCCTTCTCTTGCCATATACCGCAATAGAATTGAGAAAGTAGCTGCATTGGGCTTTACAGCAGGGGGGTCTACGAGAGTGCGCTCGCCAACGAGCCCGGTGGTATTGCCAGATCCCATGGGATCTCGGCCGCGTCCACCAGGAAGATCGAATGCTAGAATAAAACGCGCTGCTGCTTCTTCGTCCCTCGAGTCCAAAAGCTGTTGCACGATGCTGTTGAGTACGACAGTGGACTGTCGCCCATCTAAATCGCGCAAACCCTCGAAGGCACGGATTTGCACTTTCAGGTCTACTCCAAGAGAACGATAGGCGGCGACGATAACAGCATGAGTAGAAGGATCCACGGGGAACCCAGCGACAGCCATCTTCTCTATGTACTGCTTTGCAGAATTTAAGTTTCGGTTCCGGAGGTGGCCTGAAATAAGGATATGAAACGTTCGCCTGTTTGGTAAGAGGTCTACGTTTGTGAACTCCTCGAACGCGTGGTCGAGTTGATCGTAACGTTGGTTCTCCACGAGAGCACGCATATTCCAATTGAGGAGTCGGACCGATGCACGGCCACAATGGCGCTTGGCGGTTGTAACTAGCAAGGGGATCAAAGCCCAATGGCTCCGGCTGGCTAGGTGATAAGCAACGCCCTCGTAATGATTTGGTTTCAAGTAACAGCCAAAGTGATGAGCAATATTCAGAATTTGTAATGCTCGTTGTGGGCGTAAAGTCGCGACCGCATCCTGTGCAAGACGGTTGACACACTCCCTGTCGGTAAAATACCGAGAATAGATGGGAACGTCCTTGATCCTTTTTACAGCTTCGCAATCCACCAACCCTCTCGCATGCCCAAGACACGTGTCGATGGCAGCTACCACTTCCTGTGGGTAACTGTCCAGAGTTCCTGTGGTAGGAGATTGCTTGGCTTTCGTAAAAGGCTGCGAGTCTGGACTGTGATAGTGAAAGGTCCGAACACTGAGCACGGGCAGGTTGAAAATTTCGTTTGGCACTGGTCTGACAGTCTGGCGGATGTGCCTTGGATTGAGTCACTGCCCGAGTTGAACATGCTGTATGGCGAAATTGACAGATGAAATGAATTGGGGTTCCAAGAGGAATGTGGCGACCGATTTGGACGGCTTGCTTGAGATGCTGCCTGTGAATGGGGCTGGCTCCCCCTAGCATCGACAGCCAGAATCGGGGAGGCTGTGAAGCTCGACCACCGTGGCTAGAAGTAAAACTTTGGTGAGTACTGAAAGCAAACAACTTGAATGAAAAAAGACCTTACAGGAATTGTAGAGTCAATGATATGGAGTTTCGAGCATGCAATGGCAAGCGTGCAGAGCAAAAGGTTCGATTTCGAAATCAATCGGAAAATTCCGGTATGCGACAAACCACAATGACCAACAGCCAAAGCACATACCTCAACCGCTCTAACTCTTGCAGCGCGCCATAAACAATATTAATGAACTATCTATCAACAGACGACCTGTGTTTGGAGAGTAACAGGTACTCTCAAAAAAACACTTGATATGATCGTAAGTTGAATGAAAGGACGGGGGGATGTCGCATTCAACGAGTGCTCGCACAAATATTAATAGCAGATTCTACTGGAGACGGAGGGAAAGCCTTCCCGACGAGCCTTCCCGATGGAGGCGGCCCACCTTGCTGGAGAGTCGAAACACTCAACGCCACCACAAGTGAGTTTCATGACGACGCTCAACTAACTCAACTTGCATTTACCGACGTGTGCGTGCAGGTGAATCAACGGCTCTCAGCGGTGATCTGTTCCCGGACATTTGGAATATGGTCAAGATGCCTCCCGCGATCATAGGAATAACAAACGGTAGCGGGTGATTCAGTCCGTTCGTCCGGGTCTCGTCGAGCCTAATAGGTTGAAGCGAGCAAGCGTTTAATCATTGAAAGGTCACATAAACGACATCAAGAAAGAATATAATTTGTATTGAGCGACCGCATGCCAGTGCCTTGGCATCGCCTGCGCGCTTGATCTGTTTAAAACTTTGCCTTGTTAATACATTTCCTCCGGAACCTGACCGACGACATTGCTAAAGTCAGGGAGGAGATCTTGACGTCTGAGAGTTTCTGCCAAATGGCTCAAAGGTTCACCAAATGCAGGTACCGAACTATGTGACATATCGAGAACCATCAAGGTACTTGTCTTGTCGGTTATTTTGATCTACAGGTCAGAGTCGGGCTTCATGAATTACAAAAAGATTTGGGGCGGGACTGCCATGCCGTCGGACTGAATTGCTGAAACACGTTTTTTAGATGTCTATGACACCGAGCGAAAGGTACATAGTATTTTTTTCGTTCCCGTTTGAACGAGTCACCGTTGCACGAGTCACTCCGGCATGATAGAACAAGAGCCAGTTGCTACGATGGTAAGAATACAAGGTCAATGATTGGAGGAAGGTTTAGCTCGGGCTGTACATACACAGGCAAAGTCTTAGTCATCACGTGATCCATTAACCTCCGTCCCTAACGGAACGTATCCGATGCGCGATGCAGCCGAGCTAAACTAGCAATATCTAGGCCTGGGATCTCCTCAACCTTCCGTACCAGTCTCGACAGGGTCTGACACGGCGATCGTTCTCGCCCGTGGCGTTTCTCAGGTCTGATCCAAGTTCACGACCTGGTATCCTTTTTTAGAGTCAGCTTATACGTTCAACTCGTACTGCGGTGTTTCGATCGTTTCAATATCTGACCTATCGCCGTGACTTGGAGGCTATCCGCAACGCGCCTAACAACCACCACCCGCATTCGTAAACAACTCCGTACCGGGATATGCTCTGACCCAAGCCTTGGGCCTTCGTACAGCATCTATATAAAAGCCCCAATGGCCAATCCTCCTGTAATCATTCCACCTCCTCTCCTTAATGTCTACTTACCTATCTCACCTCACAGTCCTAGAACACAGTGCTTCTTCCTACCCAGATGTTCCGGTCTTTAGGGTACCCCGATCAGATCTATTAACTGGTCAGGTACATGATTGGTCGTCAATAACTTACAGCCAGTTCAAGGATGACGTCGAGTTCACTGCTCGGTATTGGCGTCAGACACTTCAGTCTGACGGCGTACCAGAGTATTCGGTCGTAGGCTTATGGTATGTCTGTCCAGCCTTTCCTTCAACCTATGTTGCTGACGTCGTAACTTCAGGTTACCGGGAATGACATACCAGGATGTTCTCCATATTTATGGCCTTTCACGAGCTGGATATGTCCCTCAGCTCTTCAGCATTCGTTTGCCGAATCCTGATGTTGTGCTTGAACTGCTCAAGAAGGCAGGCGCCAAAGCATTGATATCCGATTCACAATTCCAGACATCGACTGCATCGTTTCCCCTTCCCGTCCATCTGGCGATCAAAAAGTCGGAGATGGCATCTTTTAAATATAACCTTCCTCCCATACGATCTAACTCCAACCCCGATAAACCGGTATTTATTTTCCACACAAGTGGCTCTACGTCAGGCAGCCCCAAACTCGTTCCTTGTAATTCTCGTTGGCTCCATGCGATTGTGGCAAAGGCCAAGGTGACTAGCGCTCACATAAATACGCGTGGACAAGACGTTTCCGTATGGATGTATGTCTATTATCCAATATTGCCCTTCCCTTCCTAATTCTTTTTCAGGGGCAGCATGTGTCACATTGGCCAAACATTCAGTGAGCCCTCCATTGAATTGTTGTGCTTCATTTTCTGACCTGATTCTAGTGCTCATTGGCACATTGCAGCACGGGTCTTGCGTCATTCAGCCGACCAAAATTGGGTTTTCTTCAGAAGAACTGATCGATATGATCCACCACTGCCAGCTCAATCGTCTGAACCAGTTTTCCACATTCCTTTCAATTCACCTTCGCAACTCGCGGCAAAACCGCAAACTTCTTGGGTACCTCCAAAGTCTTGATCAAATTTTAATCAGCGGATTGTCATTGCCTCGGGAGGACGAGGACTGGGCATACAAAAATGGATTGAAGATGAAGGTGAGATTCATATGAGCCCTTTTTGATCCTCAGCTTGACCTTGTAAAATTAGAACCTATTCGGCAGCACCGAATGTGGTGCAATGCTCCTCTCTATGGGTGGAAAGGGCCGGGATGCACCTCTTCTTCGTCCTATACCGGGAACATCTTACGGCTTTGTGCCCATTGATGCCGACACTCAGATCGAGTCAGGGCACAAGACGTCAGCCCAGATGTTGGAGCTTGTTATTCTATCCAGCTCTGGCGACTGCCCGGATGTGTCTTTGCGCAGCAATGACGGTCACTTCCACACCGGTGATTTATTCCAAGAAATTATGCCCGGGTCATATGCATTCCGTGGTCGTAATGATGACTGGATCAAGAGCGAAAATAGCTTGCGGTGCGATACAAAGTACGTTTGATTTGCTGTGTGATTCGAAGCCATTAATTTACGATGTTAGAGCGATTGAAGATAATATTCGAGCCACCTGCGGTGACCTCATCGAAGAATGCATTGTCGTGGGAACCGGACGTCCGTCACCCGCTCTTTTCGTTGAGCCTGCTCCCGGCGTCGACCACGAGAAGCTCAAGAGGGATATCATCCGCAAAACTCGCCAATTTCACTCCCGGCGCTACCTCCATGAGCAGATCACGAACCCGAATTTGATTGTTGTAGTGTCTTCGGGATCCCTTCCTCGCACTGCGACTAAAGGCAACATTCGGCGCAAGGCTGTTGAAGAGGCATATCAAGCCGAACTCGACAAGATCTACGCCTCTCTGCAGTAAAGCAGGCCACTATATCTTATCATAATTGAACTAATTGTTTTGGATCTAATTTATATCTATACCTTACTTTATTAACGCATATAACTAGCTACGGAACTAACTCCCAATCGACAACTGTAGCAGGCACAACTTTATATCAATCACTACATCCCCTACACAAGTGGAAGTACCTAGTCAAACCGAATACATACAATGTCGAATACTTTAGTATCAGCGGAATAACAATTCAAGAAGTCACGAGGGGCATCATAAATACCTGATATGAACGTTTTCAGGTGTGATGCAAAGAGTCAAACGGGTTATCTCTTGTTCTCCTGTAGTCCTGACGAGACCTGTAATTTCCCCCTTTTGTACCATACTTCTACGATACTCTACTTCCTGTTGGACGGCATCACGCAGGGAAATCTCTGGAGCAAAAGGAGGTGTCGACACCGGGAATAAGGTGATGTGGTGCGTAAGGGGAAGCGGCATGGGCGTCGGTGGAAGATCGCCAGTCATCGAACTGGGCAGAGCGTTCGCGTCACGGTTTTCAGAGTGAACAGGGAATGGATGCAAGTGTTGCATGTAAAACGTCACCGGTCCACTGGATCGCGAGGCGAGATTCAGACCCCAATTGGTCAATATGATGAAAGGGGCGTGGGACAAGCGAAGTCGACCAAGCGCCGTGAGCACATGATGAAGTGGGTTTACTGATGAAGGGTCTGGTTCCCTTTGGGGCACGTTGCGCATCTGCTCCATGATGAAACGGTCGGTCCAATAAAATGCGCTCATCGAATCCACGGCAAGAAGGCCTATTTCGTGTTCTGGTATGGAGGCCTTGTGATACGATGGGAGATGTAAAAGACTGGTGGCGAGTTGGAGAAGCGAAGTTGGCCGAAAGACATGTAGACGGTGCAACGATTCCTCAGCTAGACGTCGTGCCATCTCGATGTTGTGAGGCAGGGCAAGGGACAAACGGGTCAATAGCAACTGATGGAGTCTTGCGACATCAAATGATGCATCTGTGTCATAGATGACTGCGGCCAATCCATTACCCCCAAAGTCGATGGACATTTGCGTCGACGGAGCGATGCAGAGCAGTACGAAATGATACAAGAGATGGGTTTTTCCTGATGAAGCGGGACCCTGAACCTCTATGACATCTCCGCGGCTGAGGGATGAAAGTAGCAGTGGTGCAGGCGCATCACGTTCAGCTGAGGCGTCATGTCCGAAAGGCAGAGCTGATGACGTTCAATCACATAAGATATCAAATGGGGCGATGTGCTAGATCTCACCGTGTGCTACCCTTATGCAGGAAAGCAGCTGACTACTGATTGAGCTAAGTGACCCTTGGCAACGGAGACAGTGAGCTCACATTTTGGAGGGACTCTCGAGGAATCTCTTTTAACAAGGAAGCCATCCACGTTCTAAAGCGAAATGTCAATTCCGTATGCCCTAATGTAATGGACTTACTGAAAAATGTGGTCGATGAGGGCCACTTCAAGCCGCTACTCACAAGCTTATCCGAGTCCGCCTTATTATTCACATTAGTCACAATAATCAATTCGATAGCATTGATTGCATGTTTCTGCCGCTTCATTTTGCGTGCCATTGCCTCTAAGTAAGTACACAGCGCACGACATCACAAAGCGATGTTGAAACAGTGAGGGTGAAACTGAGCAGACATGTGACATAGTGTGACATTGTCCATCTATTGGAGCCTTGGTGTCTCTGGAATCTTCAGCGCTGTGATCATCACTAGCACTGCCCATCGACGTCATGAAACTTGGTTTGGAGGTAATAAGCGACCGGAGGAGCCACAACAGCCAGTGGCGACTCGTACTCGATCTCACGCACGCTCTACCACGCGCGGGCGTGTGAGCGCCCCGCCGCATTCCATTCGCAAATCCAAGGTCAAAAGCAAAAGCAGGCGAAGTTGGTTGATGAAAAGCATTGATCATTGTCGGAAGGAGTACCAGATATGCTTTCTTTTTTACTTCATTCAAGCATTTGCTCAGCGTGTCAGCCATAGTTTCCACTTTCTTCATGGACTCATACATGTTCCCTTTACCGAAAGCTTCGATACAAGCTTTCGGTGAGTACAGTACTAGATATCAATGACCATTTCTATCGTTCTCAGGTCTGGGATAGCTAGTGTACGAGTACGGTGTAGGTGATAGCCGTTTGGCCAAGACGCTCACGAGCTTCGTCTTTCGAGACAGATACGTGAACTACAGCGTTCGATCCGCTTGTATTTTGGGGGGATTTGGCATCAGGCTAGCATTATTGAAGATATGTGTGAGAGCATACGCAGACGCTATCACGATTCGCTCGTCGGTCTTGGATGATGGGGTACACCGCGATATGTCCCTACCAGACTGCTGAAGAAGACCAGTCATCGTCTACTTCAGTGGGATGCAGCCCTTACAGTTGATCCCTGCAGAGGATACATTAGGAAATGCCACTGACGAAAGGACGACCGCGCGAATGGCATCCGGATACCTCGAAAGTCCATTGAATGCACATCCGTACTCCTTCCGAAACCTCAGCAGTTGCGGAAATTGTGGAGTGACTTACTCTGTACTGAACTTGAAGTTGACTGGCTGGACGTTATACTACTAGTAGTGCTGCGGCGGTGTTCTCACCAACCTACCCGTTCTGGATTTGAAAGACATGGTTTCGCATGACAAGTTCAACTCTCACCAAGCACATACATACTTACAACGCATCAACTTATAGCTGGCCTGCAAGCCAGATCCATGTACCAATAACTTTCTAGGGCGCTCAGATACCAGCGTCACGCCACTCCACGCTGAACATCATTCGTTTGAACATTACTACCAGAAGTCATCATGAATAGCGCCCCAACTTCTCGGGCCACTCCACCGGGTTTCAGGCGCTCATCTAGTGCCGCAACGTCGCCTCCCCCCGCGAAGAACCTTTCTACATCCCGTCCAGCTCTGGCTTCTGTTCGTGCCCCAAATTCACAGGGTGCAGCACTATCACGCCGCTCTTCTATTAAAACAGCACCAACAATGGGACCAGAGTCGCGTGAATCGCTGAATATTGCGCTGAAGCATGAGACCGAAAGGAAGGAAGAGGTGCGTTCATAATTCTGAGAGAGAGTGCTTCACTGACCGCCGCATCAGTTGCTCGTCCAAGTCCAAAATAAGGATCAGACAATTGCTAGTCTGACAGCTGAGAACGACAGTGTCATGTCTGCTTTGAATTCAGCAGAATCCCGCTTGAATGAAATGTACGTTGATCAGGCACGGATGGAAGAAGAGATGGCAGCCCGTATCGAAGTCTCTGAAAAGCTGCGGGCACAAGTTAGGGAACTCGAGCGGGAGAAGCGAGATTTGCAAAGGCGATATAATGAGCAGGTCCGTTTTTGTCTCTTCTCGCACTTCATACAGACATGGATGATTTGTAGACATCAACATTCGAGGCAGAGCGCCAAGCAGCTTATGACAACGAACAGCACCTCAGATCACGGATTCAGTCTCTTACGCAAGCCCGCAAAGTTGCTGAACCGCCCCGATCTGCTGATGCAACCTACACGACGAATTCTTCTCGCCAAGATCCCCTCGACACCGATGTTGAGGCGGAGGCGGAGGCATCAGAAGTCGCTGTCCCCCAAAATCGCGAGGAACAACATCATCCTACTAAGCAGGACGTCAACGATCCGGAAAGCGAACCAGCTGAAATGACAGCTCTCAAACTTGAGCTCTCGACACTATCAACATCTTATACATCCTTGCATAGTACTCTCATACTTTTGCAAGCACAGCTCGTGGATTTGAAGAGAGTGAACAATCAATTACAAGAGGACAACGAGAGCTACATGATCTTGTTACGGGAGAAGACGTTAAGCGGCCAATTTGATCTCTTAAAACAAGTCGGTGGCACCCCAAACACAACGGACGGTGGATACAATGACGATGAAGTGATGGTAGACGACGCAGGCAGTCTTAGGAGCACGGGAAGGAGCCTATTGGATAGGGTCGAGGAAGAGATGACTGAGGATGATTTGGGGCAATCTTTCAGAGCTGATTCGCCATCTTCAAACCGCCATGGACGTCATGTACGTAGGAATGACTCGGCGTCGCATTCTCCCAGTCGAGCTCCGCATGGAGAGTCTCTCGCCGACCTCCCAATCACCGGTCCAGGACTTGACTTGGCTGCAGAACTTGGTCGTGCTGAGAACAAGGACATTCTCTGCGGAGATTCCATCGACGGCGATCGAGCTCTTGGTAGCAAAGGAAGACGAAATAGGGTACCTTCGGACACCAGAAAAGTCACCACTTCTGACATGCCAGAATCAAATGCAGACCTGGAAGCCCTACGATCAGAAGTCAAGACTCTCAAAGATGCCAACAAGGCACTTTCTTTATATGCGTCCAAAATCATCGACAGGATCATTGCAGAAGAAGGTTTCGAGCATGTCCTCTCAGTGGACTATGAGAAGTCTCCGGCCACACATTCCAAGTCTCTTTCTCTGAGTGCAACAACCACTGCCAGTACCCTAGCGAAGACATCTAAACCTCGACCACAATCAACCTTTTTCTCTCGAACAGTTTCGGATTCCGCCCCTACCCCCGCTCCCGAGAAGACGCCATCGTCGCCACCTCCCATTTCCGACACCTCTGTCCCGAAGGCATCTCAACGACGTTCTATGTCTATCGACTGGAAGAATTTCTCTTTGTTCGGCGGCGCAGAGAAGAAGCCCGAACCAGCCAATTTACGACCTCTCACGCTGAAGTCAACCTCCACACCTATGACCAGCGCACGCAAACTAGAGACCTATGAGGATGAGGAGGATCGGCGGGAAAGAGAGCGGCTCCATGCAACCATGAAACTCATGGGTATTGAGCAACCTGCTCCTTCTCCATCGGTGTCCATACAAAAGAGTTATTCGACCCCCGAGAGCCCTCAGACTGCTACAGCCAGTCGCTTTTCAATCTTTAGGTCACGATCCACCACTGGTCATTCCGACACTTCATCTGTTAACTCTGGGCCTTCGACGCACAATAGTCATCAAGCGACATATGGGCTTGGCATTATTGGTGACGGGCGGTCTGAACTCACGCATGAGGCTCTGGAGCAAGCCGAGGCAGAGAACTCCCTGGCAGCATTAGATGCGCATGAGCAAATGCTCATTGATGATATTGCCAAAGGTAGACCAGGAGGTTTTACTGAGCCCCCGAGGAGCCTAGGAGAGGAGTGGAGAAGTCGTAGAAGCAGGAGGAGCGGAGGTGGGAGCGGGAGTACGATTTGGAGTGCTGGAATGAGCCGCACAGGGGATGAGCCAGACACCTGAGTCTGACCTGCACTGTATATACCTTATTTAAATACCACAGTATATTTGTGCCGTGTTGTTACCATGTTGCGAATAGACAACTTGTAGATCTCATACGATGTGAGTGTTAATGGTCAATGGTTAATTCAAACGAGAGGTTGTGACTTGGTGGCGCACAATGACCACTACTCCGCAATGGTTTGATTAATAGAAGGGTGAGCCGTAAATTCATGTTGTCGTGGCGTTGGTCGTGCACATGCAGCGGCGGACCTGCAAGGCCGTGAGCGTCATGCCAGTGTCCAGTGACGTTGTACACACAAATACATTTCTTGGCGTCGTTCTAACAGCTGCTGCAATAGAGTTTGCGGACCGATAATCAACGGCCCGGGCAGGCCCCCATACACGAGGGTTTCTAAAAGAAAAGGAACAGCGAGATGGAAATGCAATTGGCACATTGTTGATCCAAGCCTGTATTGTACAAATTGCACTATCAAGTGTTGCCCTGACTGGTGATAGAGGCCAGGTCACTGGTTTCTACAAGGAGAATCGGTTGCTTCATCATCATGATGAAGTTCTGTACAAAGTATAATTAAATTCGCAAAGATGAGTTAAAATACCTACTCTGACCTGGCTTGCATGCACTGGAAACTGAACAGAACCTGAGGAACCTCGGAGAAACTTATGCAGTTGCTGTGTCTCGCGGAAACACATTGTCGGCGCAAAGGTCAAAGCCAGGACTAAAACAAATGCGCTGTAAACATACAGGAAGGTGCAACTCAAGGCAGGCTATGCTGTGCCGTAACCAGTGAGCTCGGGTGTCATGGAGATTTTTGCGGAGGCTGCGTATTTGAACGTACATTTGGCGTAAAAGGGAATAACTTGGACTTTACGTACGAGACGTTCGCGGAATGACGGGAGCAGAAGCAAGAGGTAGACCATGCCATCGGTAGGCGAGGGCAAAACGTCAATGTCAACTTCCTTTCTGCAGAACGTGCCCGCTGAGCATTATGTACGAGATCTGCTTCAATCAGCAAGCGGCTTCGCTGTCAATTTCTGCAAGATCACAAGTTCTCCGTACTGCCACGTTCAGGAATAACATGACAGGTCTGGGATAACAAGCGAGTAGCGAGCAAGACGACGATGCATATCAAGATAGTGCAGACCTAGACGCAGGTCAGGGCCATTTTCGATACAGAGACGGAGTTGCAGTCACCTGGAATTACAGATGTGGCTAAACAGTCTGGATGAAAGTCATCAATCACTCAACCACTGACAGTTTGCAAATCGGAAATAACGCCGACCTACGGAATAAAGGCGCGATCACCAAAAAAACAGCTAGCCGTATCGTATCTCCGTCACATTAAACGAATGCAGAATCCTGAAGTATGATGTAGCACATGCGCTGCGGTGTTTTAGCGCGGATCAAACAAATATGGGACCCGGATCACAACGACAATGAACGCGCGCAATACCTCCGGCTTGGAGACACGGGAAAAAGGTACTGACTCAATCTTGATATATCTGAGATTGTGCCGTTGGGAATTCCAAAGCAACAAAAAATGAAATAGTACTCTCCATGGAGCCTAGGCACAGAATAAAAGGAGATCGACTCATGCTCACCAGGTACATGTAGCCTAAGATGCTTACGTTCCTTTTCATCAATACAAATGCTTCTTATAGCACCACTGACACAGTCATCAGTGGTGATATATCCCAAACCTTCCCAAACGATCACACTTGAAACCTTGTGTCATAACACAGCATACAATACTGCTTGGCACTGTCGAAAGATATACAAGTCAGCGCTTATATCGCGCACTTTTTTTATTTGAAATCGGATGCGCACGTCCTGAGTGTGCATGCGACTGAAATGAATGCTGATATGTAAATGGGTTCGAATGGGCACACTCACGTGAATCATCCAAATTCATATCCATACGCTTCCAGGTTCCCGATCAATGCGCGGCATGACTTCCCCATGAAGAAGCAGATATGTCACTGGATGGTGAAAATCGGGGATGTCGGGATTATACCAGTGGTCACATCACCGTGCAGGTCTCAGAATATCGGGTATAGTCATGAATGTAGTAGCAAGCTCTCGTACATTTATATTATCATACATTGAGGTTATTGCGCATTTGGGACATCAGCACGCTTCACGAGTGTATTCTGCGCGTGAGTGCGGATCGTTTGAAATGGGTTCGACGAGTACAGTGGGTTTGAGAGTATCAATGGCTGTCGAAGTTTCTCAAGTTCCCTGAAAAGCGGATTAACACGAACAGACAAAAGTGAAGAAATTGTATGGACTCACAAAGCACGTTTTCGTTGGTTCTTGCTGAGCGGTATTCCCTTGCCCTCCCCAATCTGAAGCGTTTTTTGTTGAACTTTGTGAGGGCGAGCATCCTTTGTCTCCTCGGCCGCTGGACTACCTTGTTCTGGCGAGTCCACCCATATCTATAGCGGAAAGAACTGCGCCAATGGCATCAAGTCCGCCGCCTACTTGTTCTCGTTGCCGTCTATTGAACCGGCGTCTCTGCACTTTCGAGTACCGGGATGTTTTATATTTCAGCTCTAGAATACAGGATGAGAAGAGGAGCGATTATTACGAATATAGAGCGTACTTTCAATGAAAGCTTCGTGCTTAAGCTGTTGTTTCTCCTTCTTCTTTATTGAATGACGAGGCTCAGTAGCTGCTGTGGACATTTCTTGCAATATTACTTGCCCCTGATAAGCGTCGAGATTAAGCATAAGAGTAGATTTTAAAATCTTGTCATAAACACACTGAAGTCTCTCCGGCTGCACCTATTTCGACCGCTTCAACCGCATTATCTTGCACTGCAAATTGTCGCCGGGCGAGCTTAGCGGAGGTTTCATGGACTGAAATACGTTTTCTGCGCTCTCTAGGCTATAGTGGATATTAGTGAAATGTGTAACAATGAGGTTCATTGCCCACCATCTTGATAGATTCGACTCATCCAATGTCCAGTACATGACGTAAGATGCAAAAAGCTTCTGATCCTAACAAGTGTAAACAGATAGGTCGCTGCTTGACCATGTGCATGAGCGACGTCGAAACCACTTCATAATTTTAATGTAGCGATATTGGCGGTTTTTGTATCGGTTTACCCGGAGTCTCGAAAACCAAAATTATACATTTAGTGCTCTCTAAGTTTGGATCTAATCTAAGTAGTACAGTCGATAGTAACCAAAAATGAACTTTACATGAACCTCGCCCCGCAGTTTGGCACTCAATAAGATATTACTGCTCAAGCCGAACCCGGGCACGAGTGTCGTCCACGAAATCCTCAGAAAGGAGGTCACTGCCCTCGTTTGGCTTTGCGTTCTCGACGCCGACTGCAACGAAGGCTATGACAACCAGCAGGGCGCCTGCCAGTACTCGCGCTGCGGCAGGCTTCCCAAGGAAGGAGTCCCCGATGACCGCGACCGGAATGGTGAGACCGAGACCGACTGTCACCACTAAAGGTGTGGTCTTTAGCATCGCAATGACGTATAGGTAGTCGCTCGATAAGGTGATAAGCATCTAAAACATGTAAACTCCCAAGATTGAGACGTAGACGATGGAAACTCACATTCAACAAAATAATAACGACAGCATTATGAGTAGAAGGTATCTCAAAGCGCTCCATTCCAACCAGATGCAGAATGACACCCACGGGCCAGGATAGGACTATGTTGAAAAATCCCACAAACCCAAAGAATAGTTGCATGTCAATTCTCGACTCTTCCCTAATCTGAACCTTGAGGAAGACGACATAGAGAGCATAAAATATAGCCGACATCAAAGCCAAGAAGTCTCCCAAAACTGGCAATGAGGCAGCAACCTTGTAAATTATTGATGGCCCTATTCCATCTGGCTGGCCATCGAGAGACCCGTCAGATATAGCAACAAGGATCACACCAACAAAGCTTGTCACAAGCCCGTGAGCCGAATCATACATGAAGAAGAAAATAACCACATACGCAGTAAGCACAGCTCCAATCTTGACCAATGTTAGGGTTTCCACGCGGAACATACGTCCAACGGCAAGAGTGAATATACCTTCCAGGGATGTCATATAAGTAGAGTTGTTGAAAGACAATAGTACAACACACTCACCACTCGTGCCAGACAAAATTGTAGAGCTTGCAACGCTGGTGTATGCCAGAGCAGCATTCAAAGCCCAGTTCGCAATAAACCACAGGAAGCAGAATCCGAGTGCCAACCTTGCGGTCTCCTTCACGGTGAGTGGTCCATCGACCTGATCAATTGGAGCTATTAGCTCCACCTAGAGATGGTCAGAAGGGTCCTATCCAAGTGCGATAGAAAGTGTAATTACTGCAGGCTCAGCATCGATATCAAGCTCTTGCTCCAACGGCTGATAAGCCATGGTTGACCTGACGTCAGTATAGATTAGCAATAAGAATAGGTGACACCGTTTAAAGTTACCTTGCGGACTTGGGTGAACCCCATCGATCAGCCCATAATCTTCGTGTGATATATGGCAGCAAGTAAACGACAAATGACGCGGTGTTGGTGTATGTTATCCTGCGTCACGGTAAGTATTAATCCAACCATAAAAATAGGAATCGCTCTTACAGGAATGGCTTCTGGTACCCGTCGTCATACATGTCCTTTAGGCTATTAGTGTACATCACTGCCTGGAAGTGTGCTCGTGTGCTTACTTGCGTCAAAAAACTGGACGCAGTCCATAATAGGACAACCACGAAGAGGAGGCCGAGGCCGACAATGTAATTCTTGGTGTTAGCGTTCCTAAGAGCGCCTCCTGAGGGCTCGCTGCCAGAGTTGGACACGGTGGTCATCTGAATCAAAGGGTGACCAATGAAACAAGACTAGCACTGGATGAGCATGCGTACTTTATGCGATGAAGGTGGGTACGCCGCATGTGACATGTGTGCCCGTGTGAATATTGAGAGAAGACAGATTGAATGTCAGTACCAGTGGCACTTAGCACTCTGCAATAAATCACTGAACTAGATTTACCAATTCAATGATCTGGTCTTTAATGCTACTCTAGAACGAGTTGTTCCATTTTAATGGTACACGTGGATGAGGACAGGTATGTAGATAATACACCACGCTGAAGCGCCTAAAATGTTAATAGTCCGTGATAATGAAGAAATATACGCAGTGTAGCATGAAAATAATGGATCCATGTGGTATAAACTAGGATAGAACAGTATACGTGCCGCGTAAAGCGCTAAAATGGCCCGGGTATTGTAGGGCGAAAGCCAGCATACGACTTGACTTTCTCAAAAATCCTGAAGAGGCTGATGACAATGTTGATGCAATACGTGACAAGGCCAACTCCAACCAGGCAAATCAATGCAAGTTGATAGTCACACAGCGTATCTCCCACTCCACCCTCATTTCGTCCAAGGTTCGGAAGTGTTAGCTCTGGCCGACTGAGTTCGTCATACCATGCAATGCTTCTTGCCGAGGCACAGGGAATAAGAGAAGTGAAGAAATTGTCGAAACAGAGAGAAAACGCCGCGGACCATGCACAGATGAAACAAACTTCGAGGAGGGTATGTGCAAGTTTGGCAGATGTTCGCCATAATCCCATGGGGCGACCGAAATATTCGAGCTGTAATGGAATAAGATGGTGATGAGAAATCAAGGTGGAGAAACTTGCATATATCGCCACCATAACATGAACCAAAGTCAGAGGTGCAAATATTATCACCAAGGTTCTGGTAAATATGTGTTCATCAATTTATCACTTATCAAGCTGCGAAGTGACGTACGGAGAACTTCCTACGATTCCCATGATACTATCGTGCAATTCAACGATACGTATCCTGATAGCCACCGCAAGGGCCGCAGCTGTAAATGTTATATTGATGAATCTAAAAAGCTAGATCGCAGATTTATACACAAAAAAAGTGAATAGATAGCATTGCACTCACCAGTGGCACATATATATTCGTAAGAATGAAAGTTCTAAAACGCTTCTTTCTAGATATCCCAGAGTTAGACCTGTCTCCTGACTCATTATCTGAGTGATCTCCAGTCACCCCAAGATTGGAACAATCATTTGTAGGGAAATTGCGTGTTGGTTCCCATGGCGTGTCCCAACCAGGTGTTTTATTGCAAGGTAAAGTGAAAGGCGCGGAGGACTCGGCATGAAAATGCACAGCACCCTTCTCCGCTGGGGAGACCGTCTGAAATTCGGACTCATTGTGCGACTGGGGATTGAAGTACGATGATAAAGGTGGTCGATTTTGGTAGGCAGCACCTATCTTGCCAGCCGCTTGACTCGATGGCTCTCCCTGAGGTTCTCGAGAACGTGCGAACGTCCCCCACGGTGATTGCTGCTCGGACCAAATTCCATTTGATCCTCCCAATGACGAACGAGAAGCGGCGAGGTCGGATGGTCTCTGGTCATGTTCATGATAGTCATCATCTGTGGGAGAAGGAGGTTCGTCTTGCGCCCAAGCTATGGAAAAGTGGAGGACAAAGTAAGTGACACCGCTCGATTAACATTTAGAAGTTCATACGTGGTGCAGTAATGACTGTTCTTGCCGCTGAAGGTACTGCAAGTGCATGACTCCGGACTGATGCTGCAAGACTGCTATTTGACGGGATCGATGGAGGTTTTCGAGTACTGGCAGCTGATAGAGACATGGGCAAAGATAAAAAAAAAAAAGCAGAAAAAAATGAGGCTTAGGGCCCGGGACCAGCTAGTGCAGATTATATTGAACGCTGGTCGGTTATTGTTGTTCAGGCCATCCGCCGCTGTGCTGTCTATACACAGATTTTGGTAAATGTAGAAGTGCAAATATTGATCAAGTGCCGAGATGCCGGCCATGGTCGCACCAAACTCTGTTCAATGAGTCATTCAATTATCTAACACATGGAAGACGGTTTGCCCTCAGTGTCAGCCAGCGGCGCTGTCGGCTCAAGATTCATTTCTCAAAATGACCTAGAGGAGGCCAAGGCCCGCAGAGACGAACAGTGGAAAGCAGCATATGCCAGGTGCGCAGCAGATACTCATCGAAGTACAATGACACATAAAACTGAACTATACTAGGCTCGGACAGGTTCCTCCGCCGCAGCCTGTGGAAGATTCTTTCGATGGTCGAAGTCTAGCAGAGGTGAGTGACACTGCTTTTGCCTGCTGTGTTCGCTTGAAATCGACCCGCGAATAGAAATTAGCCGCGAACAGGGTACGTTACCACAGCTACTCTTCAGTTTGTGGATTAATAGGTTGGTTAGGCTGCAAAGCAGGAAGAATGGGAGGAGAAAACGAAGTTAGGCAAGTCGGAATGATATATTTTCATGGTAATCTTGACTTGCCCACTTGTAGCAAATCAATTTCGAGCACTAGAAGAGGATGAGATCATGTTTCTAGATTCTATCAGAGAAAAGCAGGCCGAAGAAGAACGCCTCCGCAAAGCACAGGACGGCGAGGAGCTTTCAGATTTCAGAAAGTATGCCTCCGTTCATTATTTTTCCGTCGCTGACATTGAGGATCCACAAAGAGCTGTTGCAGCTAGGGAAAATGACCTCAACAAGCCTACACAGCCTGTGACGCAACCACGAAAACAGAGTGATGATACTCCGGAGAAGCCTAAAGCTCCCGTAGTGACGTCCAAGAAAGATGTCAAGAAATCATTGAAGGGTGTCGTAGTGAAGAAGAGACCAAAGTCTCATGCTCCAACACCCAGCGAATCGAAGGCGAAGGAATCTAGTAAGAACATCGATGAGGATGCACCACCAGTCACAAAACGTCGCAAGATCTCCGGATCATGACACCACCATAATTCCATCTTCTGACATTCCTGTAGTTGTCATCGTGGATTTGTTCACTGTAGTATCATCTAATTCAATAACACGCTGCCCAGTCTTGACATTCCACTGTCCTCTAAATATAACACCGGAAGCATACATAATACATACTCATCTGTCTTCTCCGCGAGCCAGGTCTCATCCTCCCCGAGCTGTCGGTGTCGGTGTCCACCGTACATGGTTGAGATCCCTTTCCCCAGTCTGTCTCGTTCCCCAGCCAGACATTCGCCCCATCGCTTCTGCCCTTCTCGCTGCTGCAGTACCCATCGTAGTTCTATCCAATAATCTTTTTGCTGCAGGTGTCAGATTGCCAGGTGCGTCAGCTCTCCGTGGAGTCCAGCCTGGAGGGCCCATAGAACCTGACTTTGAGGAACCTCCTCGGGCTGGTGTGCGTCCGATGATTGAGGTCGGCCCCCCAAGTAGGACAGCTTTCGCGCGAAGGCTTTTTGAAGCATGTGCGGATAATCTGTGAGATAATGCTTCGCGACTCGACGGCGCAGCAATATGGAAAGGTGTGCTTGGCAGTGGCAAGGCTTCTGCTGGATCATCGGACTTTGATAATATCCGTGGAGTTGCATTTAGGGTCCCCCATGTCATGAGCTGATTAACGGCAGAAGGGCCTAGTTCAGCAGCGGTAGGTGAGGGCAGGCTGGGTACAAGCGAAAATTCATTGGTAGGGGATCGCGGTCGATCTAGGAGGGTGATTAGAAGAAAAACAGAACGATCAACGCGGAATGGAGCTTACATGGCGTTCCAGTAATGGCGGCATCAATTCGACTGCGAGTGGGACTTGGAGGGGCAGATGCAGCTCGTGACTGAGAATCTCCTTCATCCTGTTCTGGTAGACGTGTATTCAAATGCTTTATGATACCGAGATCATCGCTTGCTTTAGCTTTCGATGTACGTGGGTGGTACGGAGACATGTCGGCGTCAGGGGAGAACATGAGAGAATTACGGGCCTGGTATTCAGCACCTCAGCCATGAAATGACAATCTCGTCTGAGCCCAACACACCTTGAAATTCCAGCCATCAACGCCAGCTGGACGAGTATCTTTCCTTGGAGCCATAACGTCCATAGGCTCGCCCTCCTCAACTGCTTCATGAAGGATAGCCACCTCCTTTCCTTTATCGTTGTCCTTCGCATCTTGACCTTGACCTTCTGATTCCGTCGATGACTCTCCACTTTGCGTGATGAGTCCTGCGATAGTAGGGGCTTCGATCACAAACTTCTCTCTCACACCTGGTGCTTGGGCAGGCTCTATCATCATCTTCTCCCTCGCCTCGAGCATCCTATCCCTCTGATCCTCGACTCTCTTCTGTGCCTCCCATGCCCAGCCCCACCTCTCTTTCCTCTTCCGGTTCTCCTCATCCATAATCTGCGTAAAGCTAGCGTTGTCTTCCGAGGTGTACCGTGCCTGGAAGTTGTCTAGACTTATGTCTGTACTATACCGCTGACGTTTCGCAACTGGCTCCCCGTATGGAGTACGTAGCGGTGTCTCCGATGGACCAGCACCGTAAGGCGTCGCGGATGGCGTCTGCCACGGTCCTCTGCGGTAGGTGGCGGGGGTATTGTTAACTTCTTGTAGTTTACGCACAGATGCATTGATTAAGTGGGGGTCTCTCGATGATACAGCATCAAGGTATTCGTTGGTCGCGTCAAGATGTACGAGAGAAGGGAAAAAGTCTCTTGCTATGATGTGAGACAAGGCTGCTGTGTACTCATCTTCTTCGAGGACTTGTTGGGAATTTAGCGAGCGAGATGGACCGGGGGTAGACATTGTGCAGGGGAAGAGTGTGGCAGTACCCAGGCGAATGAACTTTACTAGATTGTCCACGGCGCTTCGTCACACTATTATGTCACACGTCTCCCAGTGAGGAACACGAGGTTATCGTGAAAATGTTTCAACATCATGGCCAGGATCAAGGCATCAGTGAGTATCTATTCAAGGGAACTGTACTCCATGCTGAAATAAATTCATAGCGGCCCATGTTCTGTATCCTCCAATGAAGATATGCGCAAACTCTCATTCATGTTTCTAACCTGTTTCATAGTGTCTCCGCTACCAACTGTGTTCATCTGTACAACGAGGCACAAGCCCTGACGACATGAAAATGTCACCCGTGAATGGCAGTTTAACACGACTGTCACGACCGAGAAAGTAGTATGGGATGCGTTCACCGAGTACGAGTCGCCGCTGGCTGTTGTAGCTCCTCCACTCGCTTATTACCTTCAAACCAAGTCGCATAACGTTGATGGGCAGTGATGTTCATAGTGCTGAAAATGGCGAGACACCAAGGCTCCAATCGATGGGAATTGCGATGTTGGCGCCTTCTAGCTCAGAGCAATTCGCATCGCTCACGAGCTCGCGCGTCAACTTAACCATTGAGTCTCTCATCCTCCTCAACCCTCGTTCCAGCATAGTGGTGACGGCGGCCATGTTTGGGGGGGTGGGCACTAAAGTCTGTAGAATGAACTGAGATGAATTTGAGTTTGGGACAGTGTTCTATTCTCACTTAACGTGCACTCTCCAAACGATGAAAACACGTGGTGTTTTCATCATTTGGAGAGTGCGCGTTAAGGTGATCGTCATATCCGGAGTCACTGATCTTCCTGGGATGTGCAGGTTGTAGTTATGGGTGCTGGGATAGATGATCGTACAATCATAAGGAAGGCTGGCGATGGCTAAGGTAAGGCATTTTTTTGAGATGGTTAAATGGCTCTTTGTGGGTATGTCGACAGTGAGAAGGAGATCGTTGTAGTCGTAAGTAAGCCTGATGGGTTGGATGGATTGGAACTTGCTTAAAGCAGCTCAGATGATTCGGACTCACCTCAGCTTAGTCGGTAATTGGTCCGCTTCTTGTATTACATAGAGTTCGCGCATTTTCGCACTGCCACCAGGCCTTTTCATACTCCACACCTTGAAAGTCGTGCACCCGGGCAATCTGTTTGAAGCAATCACATACAGGCAAAATTGCCGCACCGTCAATTTTTCTCTGCTGTACAGTGGGCGTTCTGAAAGGGCATATGGAGAGTTTAGATTGTGGTTACGTAAATGATCATTAGGAATAATTCACACGATTCCGCTGAGAAAAATAAAATGACAGATGGAAAGAAAGAAAATACGAGCACAGATCGGCTGCAGAAATAAACAAGTAATGTATCATGGTACCAGCGGAAGTGAAGACAAAAGCACGAAGTGTCGCTGGTAAATGGGTATTCGTTCGCTGTGTTCTGTCATGAATGTCATATGAGGCATGGATCAGCAGGTATACCCTGCAGAATAGTTCGTAAAAACGAGTGGGCATGGAGTGATGGTCCTCGAGACCTAAAATGCGAAATGCGTAGTCTAAACGATGCGCCACTCCAAAGTCAGCATAGCATGTCACAGACGAAGATTGAGATATTCAAAAGAAAAGTCAAGAAGCACCGCCACGTCCAAAATTGAGCACGTTGCTCCCAGACCTGCCCCGAGGTTTCTTGTCAGGTTCCAGTAAAATACCAGAGTCCTGACCAGGAAGCTCTAATCCGCCACTCTTCCGCGCACCAGTGATAACCGCAGGTCGACCAATCCTGCTCTGTGATAATATAGAGGCACTACTAGCAGAGGATGGAATTCTAGAGGATGCCCGAACTGTCACATTGGAATGCGACAAAGGGAGTTGTGATGGCGATTTTAAGTCCTTCTGGACTTTCCCGTTGTATGAAAACGGTCGTTCACGAGGACGGAATTCTGAATCTGATGAAGGGGTAGGTGACCCAGCATTGCTGGAACCTATGGAGGAACGTTTCGGTTGACCATATGGACCGCCGTGCAGACCAGTCCCTGGCCCGGTGGATTTCTTGTAACCAGTGACTCCTGGGCGAGAGATCGGAATGGGAAGGAAAGTAGGGGTTGCGGGACGAGATGAAGGAGTAGGGATGGAACTCATAGTTGCAGTCGTGCTGAGGCTTGCTCCGGAGAGGCGTGATTGAGGTCGACGACTATGAGTCATTGTGCTTTGGGCAAATTGATTGGGCTTCGAAAAAATAGGAGATGATGCTGACGAAGGGACTCCACCACGAAAAGCGCTGGGGGGTGAGGGACTGGATGAGCGTCTGTGTTCCTTCTCGGCATCCTTATTTGGAGAGGGAGTAGTATCGTCCATAATGAGAACCCATCCTGAATTATCATGGTTGGGAGTGGTCGCACCGCTCGCCAAAACAGTATCTACGCCAAGCCGCTGTGGAGTCGGTTTGCCAAGTTTGTTGTCTGGTATTACAGAACGTATAAAGGTACTCTTGGATGACAATGTAGAGGATATAGTGGATGTGGAGGGCATCGTGGATATTGTCACTCCCTGCCGCCCAGCATTACTGCCCATCCGCAGGCGAGGAACACGTGTATGAATCTTCTGTTCTAGATTCCTGACACGAGCACGCATTTCGGAAACCATTTGAACACCCTTGCTTCTGGATGCCATCATGGGTATGGCGGTGATGTTGGATATGCTAGAACTGGCAGTAGCAGCGGCAGGTCGTGGGACGAGGGCAGGAGCCCGAGGGGAATTGCGTGAAGTAGCAAGGGTTGGAAGGGTGGTCGAACGGGTCATTGATGAAGGCGAGGAAGTATTAGGGTTATGTTTGCTCAGCTGGAAACCTGCGCGCTGAAGTAGGACGGACTGTCCATAATTTGAGCTGGCAGCGGTAGAAGGGGGGCGAGTAGGGGTAGGAATAGAGGATTTCTCGTTGGAAGAAAGATCGGAGAGTTCAAGATCTGGCGGCGGCGGAGTACTAAGCAGATTATCATCCGATGAAGCCGTCGAAAGAGGAGGGAACAGTGATGAAGCGGTAGTGGAACTAGAGGTTTCGGTCAAAATGCTCGGTGCCCTAGAACGAGCAGCTGTTAGCTGATTCTTGAGGATAGAAATTTCTACAGATGAGTCTAGCAGGAAAGTGTGAGTGTTCTAACCCCATGCAGTCCAAGACGACGCACCTCGTAGCTCGTCCTTGACACGTTGTAGTTCTTCTTCCAAATTAGCCTTGTCAAGGAGTTCGTGCTCGAGCAATATCTTTTCCTCCAGCGCCTTGGAATATCTTGCCTCTATATCCGCCAGACTTGACGCGACCACGCGCTCATTTCTCTCGAGGTCATCGTTGCCCAACTCCAGGTCGCGCAATCTGACCTTCAATTTCTGAGACTCCTGCCTGAGCGTATCTAACTCTCGTTGCAGGGAGGTAGTGGTTGTATTGTGTGTGGTCTGTAGCGATATAAATTTGGACTTTATGAAGGGTTGGTCAGCGAAACTGGTTTCAACAGAAGACGCGTGGAGAAATACCTTCCATTCGTCTCGATCTAATTCTGTCTTTGCGACCTTGACTTTGAGATCCTGTTGTGCCTTCTCTGTACGGTCTATTTCCTTGATCAACTCCTCCTCAAGCTCTTTACTAGAAGTGTGAAATTCGTCGAGTTCGGCGCGAGTCTCTGCTAGCATATCGGCGACCTCATTATACTTCGCTTTCCAGTCCGTGGAGGAGTAACTGTTTGAGAATATCGTTAGAAAACTAGATTGAGTGTGGCAAGAAGGGTATGAGTACTCTAACTGGTTGTCTTCTAAGGAGGCCATTATTGGATCTCTGCGTAGGGCATCTGTAGGAGACAGAACGGCCGTCATGAGCCCTGTAAAGAAATAAAGTACAACCTAGAAACACAACCACTAGGTATCAAAGGAGAAAGGAAAATTGGTGGAAACAGGAGAAATGCTTGCAATTTGGTTCTTGACTTGTGCACTTCTGCTATGTGACATTTGGTTGACTCGGTGCCACACTTTGATTACATAATTCAATGACCTAATTTACAAAGTCTCAGGTTTCGCGCACTTGCGCTTTTCTATTCGTCCTGTCTTAGGACACCTCATCTCTTGCCATGAAACAGGATCCATCGATGCCCCTAGATGATGATCGGTTAGATTTCGTACACCATGGAAGCGAGAACTCCTACCAGCTTCACTGGTAGCAAAAATGACACCGAGGTCGTTCCGTGCAGTAGTGATGTAGTAACTGCGAGCATCACCAAGAGAAATCTGTAATAATTGAGCAAATCATTAATCACCGTGTTGACTGTATCAACTCACCACTACACCCTTGACGACATCTCCCCCACGAAAACAGTCGCTGATCTTTACCTTGTCTTTTTCGGTAGCTCTAACATCTTGAGTGCGTATAACACCATTGAATTCTTCACCAGCCGGTAGAGGGACACCATCAACAACTGAAATGGATACCATCGCCTGCAAGGGCGACAGGCGGGTGACTGTCCCTAGTACGACTGAATTTTCTGCCGGTGGGTGTGATCGTACACGAGATATTGCCAGGGTCTACACACATTGAAAATCGAGTATGATTTGATCGTCAAGAGAATTGACCAACAGATCCTTCGTATTGTGCGACACCAACTAGGCTTGCTCTAACTTGTCCATCCTTTAAGTATAAACCTCCTCCAAGTTTTGGTACTGGGCCACGAGGGAGGGATACTGGTTGACCTGGGAGTAAAATATCGGATGCCATGGGAAAACAATTGATGAGACCGAAAGCGAGCAGCTGCCGTGGAACGATGTACAAGGGAAAAATCGGGAGACCAAGGATTAATTAAGTTAACTCGCGTCGTTCGATCGGATTTGTTGCTATTTGGCTGTGACAACATACTTCAAAAATCTCAGCCCACTCTAACTATACTTCCGCTCTCGAGGAATTGCGCTTTTGCCCCTTCAGCAACAATGGCCTCCTCTTCTATCGCTCGCGTCCTTTCACGGCGTATGATTCTTATTCTTCATGCTGCTCACAACTAACATCATTCATAGAGATGCACATGTCTGCACGGAGACATGCCCTCACCAAGTTCTCCATGCCTGCCATGAGTCCTACAATGACCGAGGGTGGTATCGCCTCCTGGAAAAAGGCGGAGGGTGAAACATTCACCGCTGGTGACGTGCTTCTCGAGATTGTGCGTTTACCTAACCCTTGTTCTTGCTTCTATTCCGTTCCTCATGTCAGTTTACAGGAAACGGACAAGGCTACCATCGACGTGGAGGCTCAGGACGACGGTATTCTTGCTAAGATTATCGTACGTCAGCTTAAAGCTCAAAGCTTTTATCCTCTCATTGCCTTGTGCACATTTAGGCTCCGGATGGTTCGAAAAACGTCGCTGTCGGCTCGCCTATCGCCATCATGGCTGAAGAAGGCGATGACCTGGCAGGTGCAGCTCAATTGGCTGCTGAGCCTTTGGCCGCGCCCCCTTCCGCGCCCAAGAAGGAAAGCACACCTGAGCCTGCAAAAGCCGAGGAGGCCCCCAAGCCTACTGCATCCCAGGCCAAGCCTGAGCTTGCCAAGGGCGAACGGATATTTGCATCCCCCATTGCGAAGAAGATCGCTTTGGAACGTGGCATACCATTGGCCCAAGTCAAAGGCACTGGTCCTGAGGGACGTATCATCCGAGAGGACATTGAGAAGTATCAACCACCCGCGGCAACAGCCTCAGCATCCGTTGCCACTTCTTCGGCACCTGCTGCTTCCCTTCCGGAATATACGGATACCCCAGTTACCAACATGCGTCGCGTCATTGGCTCACGTCTCACCCAATCCAAGCAAGAGCTGCCCCATTATTACCTTACCGTCCAGATTAACATGGACAAGACGATGAAGCTCCGGGAGGTCTTTAACAAGACGCTCGGCGAGAAAGACAAAGCCGCTAAGCTCAGCGTCAACGACTTCATTCTCAAGGCGGTTGCATGCGCATTAAATGACGTACCAGAGGCCAACTCGGCATGGCTTGGAGAGGTCATCCGACAGTATGTACTTCCGCGAATATAAATTTATCAGGTTTAACTTACCTTGCCTTTAGGTACAAGAAGGCCGATATCTCAGTTGCTGTTGCAACTCCAACTGGTCTGATTACACCCATTGTGAAAGATGTCGGTTCAAAAGGATTGGCAACTATCTCTAGTGAAGCGAAAGCTCTCGCCAAAAAGGCTCGGGATGGCAAACTCACTCCTCAAGAATATCAGGTGAGTGAGGTAATTTCATGCTGATTTGAATGCAATTCATTGTTTCGATAGGGTGGCACGTTCACAGTGTCTAACCTTGGCATGTACGATATCGAACACTTCACTGCCATCATCAACCCTCCCCAATCGTGCATTCTTGCCGTTGGTACCACGAAGCCAACAATCGTGCCAGCTCCTGAGGAGGAGCGTGGTTTCAAGACCGTGAACATGATGAAGGCAACACTGAGCTCGGACCACCGGACGGTGGATGGTGCCGTGGGCGCTCGCTGGATGACCGCGTTCAAAGGTTACCTTGAGAATCCCCTCACATTCATGCTCTAAAAGTATAGTGTTTTCGGTCTTTGAGGTCCACCCATTGTTTCTAGACTAGATTACATTTATCTCATGCACACGTTATTTTTTTGTTGATTTGCTTTCAACAAACATAAAGCCTTTTGGCAAGTGCGGAGTTTATATATCCCCTATGAGTGTTCCAGACCTATGTCCGACTCATTCTTTCGCGGAGCTGAAGTACTACAATCAGGATTCAGTACACCCCCTGAGGCCTGAACTCTTCGCGACGACTTGCTAACTCGCCGCATCATTTGTCCTCCCAACAACTGATCGCGAAGGATCATGGATGCTGGGATGGCGCACGATAGTAACTTGAAAAAGTTGAACGAATATCTCATCGAAACTCTGGGGCAACTGGTCGAGGCGAAAAAGGAAGCTGCCGCCCTGCGCGAGCAAGTCACAAATCTAGAAAAGAAACTGACCGAGCACGACCGGCTGAATGCATCGAGGAAATTTGAGAATGATGAAGTACGTAGACGCGATGTTTTTGACGTTCCCCTCGTCTAATCACCTACAGCTTCGTGGCAGAAACGCGAAATTCGAGCTTGAGATGAAAAACACAGTATGTCGAATGCATATTGATGTGATTGCTAGAATACTCTATGTACTGACGCGTTGTTAGAATGCAGCATTACAGCTTGCAACGAAAGATCGCGATGTGTTAAACAGATCATTAGATGCGTCCAAGATGGATGTTACTACGCAGCAGAAGAGGGTGATTTCGAAACTAACAGTCATTGACCTGACGTGGCCTGACATTTGTTTTTCAGGCTAATACACTGGAGCAACAGCTTCGGAAATTAGATGAAGAAAAAAAAGCTTTGGCGCGTGAGCTTCAAGCAGCTGCACAGATTGTACGCGTGGATGTAGGACCATTTTCATTTAATATATTATCATGCCACATCAACTAACACTCCATCCAGATTGGCGTAAACACAAATCCTCTCCCAACTCCCCGTAGCACGCCCAATGACACCAAATTACCAGTCGTACGGGGGCCTTCGACAGCTGGGCCATCTCGCAACCGAAACGTCAAAGAAGAACAGGATATGATGGCGGATATTATCGCAGTAAACCCTCCCTCTCAGTTACCGCTTCTTCGAAAACAAACTATCGAAAACGTGCCACAACTAATTCCTGACCTTCCGGATGGTGGAACTGTATGTTTCACAAGACCCTTCATAACATCCCACATCGGGGGAGGGTCGCAAGCTCTCATTTCAAAGTAGGCTGTCCACTTTTGTGTGTGATCAACTTTGATGCCGTCAGCTAATGAACTCTTCAGCATCGCAACGCCAAAGTCGCTAGCACTAAAATTTGGTATTACAAGCTATCTTTGCCCGAACTTGTGGGAAAATCCTTGGTGTCCAACAAGCCCTGGCATGGCTGGGTATATGTTTGTTGGCTTAGGGGAGGAGATTCATTACTTCGTTCAGCCGGAGGTGCATGAACTCTTCGTTGGAGTTGCGAAAACCAACTACAGACTTATGGGCCGGTATCAGGCCCATCGTGTTGAACCCTTGACTGTTGAAGAATGGTTGACGCTCCCGCAAAAAGTAAGTATAATTAACCTCGAAGACATCCGAGTCATCCCTTGATTTTGGCCCATCAGGTTCGATCCAAGTACTGTGAAACTACACAACGAAAAGCAAAAGACTCACGTTCCATCGAGGGCATAAGCGCTGCTTATGAGCGTGGTGAACTTCGTGCTCCTTGCGTCAAATTGACATGTCTTGACTTTAAGGAAGACCTCTACAATAAACTGAAGGCGCGAAAAATGAGACAGAACAACATGACCCCCTCGTCATCTCAATGTTCCATTCAACAGGAATATCCCGTCACGCGCTCATCACAAAAACGCCGCTGCATCGAGACCGTCAAGGTTGACGAGTCTTCCATGGACTCTGACAGCGACTCTTCTGAATACAAAATGATCAGGCCTGAGAAACGATTGAGAGGGTAGATACTTACATAATTCGCATCATGATGGATTCAATCGACGACTCCGACCACTACATACTCTAGTCCACAAGGCCTAATAACTTTGTATCATAGCTTCGATTTCATTTTCCTGTGACTGTGCTTTTACCAAACGTTGAAGTGCGAGAACTAGACAGACATCTTGAACAATGCCAGGCCGTCGTCGCGAGTCTCCGCTCAAGAATCCAAGTTGAGATTAAAGTATTTCGTAACGAACAACACTCACAGACTTCGCCAGGCAGGGCGTATATCGCACTAGGACTAGAGGGGTCAGCTAACAAACTCGGCGCAGGAGTCATCAAACATGCTGTCGATGGATCGACAGAAGTGCTCTCTAACATTAGGCACACTTACATCACACCTCCTGGGGAGGGATTTCTTCCTCGAGATACGGCTCAGCACCATCGAAAATGGGCATTAACAGTGATTAAAGAGGCAGTTTCAAAAGCAAATATTACGATGCACGACCTCGACTGTATATGTTATACCAAAGGTTAGCTAAATCCCTCATGAAGTCTCATGTTTAAATGTTCCTCCAGGCCCCGGTATGGGTGCACCTTTACAGTCTGTCGCTCTAGTCGCTCGCACCCTCTCATTGTTGTACGAGAAGCCCCTCGTTGGTGTCAATCATTGTGTTGGACGTATGTATATCCAATCACGGTGTGCAACTTCCACTGATTTTGTGAAATAGATATTGAAATGGGACGGCAAGTCACTGGAGCTCAGAATCCAGTGGTACTATATGTGTCTGGTGGCAACACACAAGTCATCGCATATTCACGACAATGCTACCGGATCTTTGGAGAAACACTCGATATAGCTGTTGGAAACTGCCTTGACAGATTTGCCAGAGTGATAAACCTAAGCAACGACCCAAGTCCAGGGTATAACATCGAACAAGAGGCGAAGAAGTATTTTACTTTATGTCTGTTCATGGTATTTCGATTGACCTGGCGTCCACTCAGGGGGAAACGACTCGTCCCATTACCTTACACAACCAAGGGGATGGACGTCAGCCTGTCTGGCATACTGACTTCGATCGAAGCCTACACATCTGACCGTCGGTATCGGGCTCAAGACGAACCTTGCGAAGAGTCAGAAGATATTATCAGACCCGCGGATCTCTGTTTCTCCCTTCAAGAAACGGTGTTTTCCATGCTTGTTGAAATTACGGAACGAGCGATGGCTCACATTGGGAGCAGAGAGGTGCTTATTGTTGGAGGAGTTGGCTGTAAGATATTTGTTCTAACTCGTTATGGCCAACCTGATTGATCCATCTTAAGGTAATGAACGACTGCAAGAAATGATGGGCATCATGGCACAAGAGCGAGGTGGATCGGTGTTTGCGACCGATGAGCGGTTAGTTTTTGAAGCACTGATGATATAGTTTTCTTATTCACGAACTCGCAGTTTCTGCATTGATAACGGCATCATGATCGCTCAGGCTGGTCTACTGAGCTATCGCATGGGATTTCAGACACCTCTTGCAAAGAGCACCTGTACGCAAAGGTTAGTGCCTCAACACTATGGAGTGGTCTTGCAAAAAAATAATATTTTGTATTCAAGATTCCGGACTGACGAAGTGCATGTTGCATGGCGACCTTGAACGCTTGGATGCCTACCTATTCTATACCTATTCTACAATTAAAATATCGTCAGGACCTGTCTGTATTATTATTGTGCAATGTTCGCCAGCACAAGCTTCCAGTCCTCAGGTTCTCCTTTCATGTCTTGACTGAGCTGCTCTAGTCTCTGCCACCACCACCTGTGACTCTTTGCGTACTCTCCTGTATCATCTTCAGATACCCTGGCCTGCCAAGGCTTGTCAGCCAAAATGTAGTGAAGACATCTGATCTCTTCGTCTCTCCACAGCGGTTTGTGAATTAACATCAATGTCTTGAGCGCATTGTAACACCATGGCAAAGGTTTCCACTTTCCCCTAAATAAATCTGACAAGAGATCTTGGTCTGGGAATGACCAAGTTGACACCAGAGGTGAAGTATAAAGGTGATTGCGGACAGTTTCTGCAAGAGCCAGAGAAGGGTTGAGAACCACGATGCCGGAGTTCAGCTGAGTGTGCGGACGTGGGCTTGCTTCCGTAATGATCACTGAAGCAGTCAAACCAGAGGGGTGAGCCAATGGAGTATATGCGCAGTTCTCAGGGACCCTGGAAGACTAGATATGAGCTATTATAATGGTAAAATATCAAATGGCATACCAATCAGCAGGATAGTGGGGCAGCTTGCGTGGATTACATGCACACACATGCGCAGCAGCTATCCAGTCGTTTGGGAGATCAATGTCAAATAACTCGTCCATATTGCGCATCACGATCATATCGGCATCCATAAGGACGATACGCTATTCTCAAAGTACATGTAAGTCATGAGCGCTGCAAAATCTGAACCAAATACTTCATATTCTTTCAATTCAAATGCCCTTTATATCGCAATAAGTAGTCCGTCAGCTTCATAGCTGATTTGCACGCACCTCAGCTTCGTCCATGTATCAGCGAACCTTGCGTCATGGGTTGAAAGTGAATGTTTTCCCTCTGGAGGGCGCAGCGATTCGACGGGCCTCACGGAAATGCCCCTTCGCTCTAGGACACTCCGGGCATCCTGGGGTAGTGTAGGAGTGACCATGACAACAAGAGGGAATGCAGATGCCACAGATCTAAGGGTCGATTCGAGCACCAGAACGCCAGGTAAATAACTGGTTGCTGTGAGTAGAGTCACATAAGCTGCCCTTCTAGCCATCACGATCGATGTTACTGGGGTAAGGGATGGAAGCGAGCGACAAAGACAGGATAAAGCGGCAGTCTGAGTACTTCAATCGATTGATCAAAGCTCAAAAATACTACTGAAAGATCGGACAATCGGAGGTTACGGCCCTACTTAATTACAATCTTCTGATAATCCATTCTATATCGATCTGCACCAGGCGAAAAGGAGTTTTCGCACAAATATCCAACATATGTTTCGTGTACATGGGCAACGATAAAGTAAGACTGTCGCAAGGATAATATCTAAATGTAGTGCAAGAAGCTATCATAGAAAGCACTCAGTTGAGTGCACGACACGCCAAAATTGAAACCTACCGAGTGTCATGCTCGCTGTCCAGAAGTGCAATGATATCTTCCTCCCGTACAGGATCCTTGACGTTGCAGATAATCGTTCGCGTAGTGTCATCCATGAACTTCATAGCGTGCGTCCGAGAACGTGATGTCAGAAGTCGAAATTTCCGGATGAGTTTATTTGCGAGGGGTCAGCATGCATATTAACCTTGATAACCTCAGCGAGTTCGATTGACAGAAGCTTTTGATGAATCCCGCAGAAAACGAGGCAAGAATGGCTCGTGAACTACATGGGCTCGCTTACTATGTTGATTGGGGCTGTCGATAGCGGTGGACGAACCTCTAGTTGTTTAGAGTTTGACATTTAAATTAGGAAATTACCGAGCTCCTTTTTGTACCTTATTTACTCCTTTTCCCCTCGGCGTGTAGGATTTAGTACATAATCGTACGCCTCAAATACATTTCTGTAGATTTCTTAGCATGACCGCAGTGCACGTTTGACCACGTAGGATTCCAGATAAGAGATAGTGACTATCCTTATATCTTATTCGGTATTCTTCTCACTTGGACATAAAACATGCCGGATAATCCTCAAGCTTAGGTGTTTATATATATACTGACAACGGTCGGATCACATCATTCAGGAAATGGCAGTAAACGGGATCCGCTCGTGGATTAGATAGAGTAAATAATAAGACAATATTATACGTTTATGTTGTCTGGGTATGACTTGTCGACGACGCTTCTTGCGTAACGATATTCTTCACCCTGTTCTCTGTGGCCTTTCCTTTCAACATATTCTCTATAAAGTATTCGCCAGCCTAGCAACCATGTGTAAGAAGAATCGTCCGCAACGAAAAATAATTAATAAATGGCTGACCTTGTAACTACTGCGGACAAGAGGACCACTAGCCACATAGGCGAAGCCCATGTCATCAGCAATTTGCTTCCATCGGTCAAACTCGGAAGGTTCTACGTATCGGTCAACCTTCATGTGTCGCTTCGTGGGCCTCATATATTGCCCAAAGGTCACAACATCAACATTAATTTTGCGAAGCTCTGAACGAGGACTCAGCAATTATAATCTTGACACGAACACGCTTCAGCTTACCTCGTAAAGCATCCATGACCTGCTCTTCTGTCTCGCCGACACCAAGCATGATACTTGTCTTGGTGACGCGGACACCTTCCTTCTTCGCGTGTTCAAGCACCTTCAGACTCTGCCGGAAAGTTGCACGGCGGTCGCGCACAAATGGAGTCAACTCTTCCACAGTCTCGATATTATGCGCGTAGACGTCTAGACCAGACTTTGCCACGAGAGAAACATGTTCCAAATTGCCCGCAAAATCTCCTGTTAATGCTTCCACAAGAATCTGAGGCGCCCTGTTTCAAGTATCCTGTTGGTGAGCAGCGCAAACGAAGTCACTATGTAGCGTACTTTTGCTTAATCTTCATGATAGTCTCTGCGAAGTGATGTGCACCACCATCTACAAGATCTGCAAGGATAATTATAGACCTGTGATGTGGTCATGTTTGTAGTCAACGCACCGTCTCTGTCAACACTTGTGAGAACGATGTATCCGAGCCCCCATCGACTAATGGCCTCTGCTGTATTCTCAGGCTCGTGAGGATCCAATGGAGGTGGGGTGCGGGAAGTCTTGACAGAGCAGAATCTACAGCCACGAGTACAGGTGTCTCCCATCAACTAAAAGGAGTGGAATTAGTCAATGGACAGTAATTCCAATATTATGTAGCACACCATGATCGTAGCCGTTGCTGCCCTCTTGCCCTCCTCGGCAGTCGCGCCTTCCTTTCCACCCCAGCAGTCACCAATATTAGGACACCGTGCTTCCTCACATACAGTATGAAGACCGAGCCCCCTTAAGTCCTTCTTGATCTTGTTAAAAGATGCTCCGGAGGGTATCTTAGTCTTTAGAAAGCTGGGTAGCCGCGGTCTGTAGTGGATGCATGAACATTATTCCCGAAAAATCATGAAAAATCATTCGCACCCTTGGGTATTCCCAAGTACTACATGCTCTATGGGTTCTCCTGAGATGAAGTCGTCTAGTGATGGTCCAGAGACCAGCGCTTCACGGAAGCCGGATTTTGACTTCGGCGTCGAGGCTGATGGTGTTGCCAGGTGCCGAACTTGAGATAAAAGTCGACAACTGGAACGGGGGCGTAGAAGTGAGTTTGTGAGGAGCGAATTGGCTGACATTGTGATGGAGGACAGTTAAGTATTGTGCACGCATGTCATGTAATGAATCGGAATGGGACGAGCCCACGTCGACAAAAAAGGCAATTTTGGCCGCTCGCCGTTCGGGATCAAAATCCAAAAGTTGTTAAGTCACCCAAGTATTGGGCTTTCATGAACACGCTTTCCAGAAGGGAGGAGGACACGCTCCTTAAAACCACGAAAGCGCGCGCTTTACAGGAATGTGATCCAATAGTGAAAGGTTTGACCATGCATTCTAGCATGATCAAGAACACTTATACCGGCTTCATGTCACTCAGAATTCGCCAATTGCGCAACAGGACGTACGCTGTCTATTGCATGGGCTTGCAGGGACAAGTACAAAGCCTTACAGGAGTGTATGCTGCAATAGTGAGTCCAACCGCACTCGCAATACAATGTCCAGTATATTGAGTGAATGTATTTTCCAGCACAAGTGAAACAGCCATGGACGATGTCCGAAGGGAATATCTTCGATTAAGAGACCAACAGAAAACGCCTCAAGCAACACTATGAAGATGACAGGATGTCTTGATAGTGTCTTTCGCCTTCAAAACCGCAAGGCGTGCCATCAGGTGTACACACCATGATCATACACTATCCAAAGTCATATCGCTACACCAGCGTCCCCTTAGGCAAGGAAACATTGAATACTAGCAGAAGTACCGACAATAGTATAGACCACGTTTCATTACAGGGAATCTCAGCTTTTCTTTCCATTGTTGATGGTAAGCCATTGAGCACGAAGACCCATGAGAGATGAAATGAAACTGAACAAAACAATCTATCAGCCGAGCATAGTAAAAGAAACCATTGCCAAACTGACCCAGCAAAGCCAACAATCCCGTCGTTGACATTGACAAGACCCAAGTTGGAAGCGGGTATCAAAATGTCGAAAAGGTCGATAATGAATTGGTGGCGCGTATCTGCACGCAGGCTATGGGAATATTAGAGTCATCAGTGATGTAGTACTGATGGATTCAACGTACTTTTCAAGCGCGAGTCGCCTGACTTCTCTTTGAGCTTCATCGCCGAGGTCCTTTTCTCCCCAAGTCTGGGAGTTACGTAACTTCTTTGCGTCGTGAGCTAGTCGTCCGGCCTAGAAAACGGAAATTGAAGTTCAAAGCCATTATCCCAGCTGAATGATAAGTCTCACCTTCAGCAATCCATGTGTAATGCTGAATAAGATCCCAGCCAGCCAGAATCTGTTGGATGTCTTTGTAACCTTCTCGGCAGTGCCAGGCTTGAGAACAATAAACTTTGCGGCGTTCGCCTGTCAAATTATTTGTGAAGTTATAAAACTATTCATGGATCACTTGTCTTACCCACAGAGCTGTGTCATATGTAAGATACCCAAAGTAGGCGAGCTGCCGACCGATGCTGGCCACTTGTTCGCCAACTTCACCTGATGATGAAGCAGCACGCAATGCGGCTTGGAGGTGCTCGACAGGTTTCCCAAGTCGCATGACTGCACAAATGTCAAGCACGATGATGTGGCACACAGACAAACCTTACCTTTACGGACAATCCCTAGGTGACTCTTGAGAGCTGTCCATCGAGCAGCTTCAACTTTGTTGCCTCGAGAGAGGAGGAACCAGGCGAGGAACCGAGAAAAATACTGAACTGTGCGGTAGAGCTAGCGGATGAAACGGTCCGATAAGTATTCCGCTCCTACAAACAATGAAATCATACCTTATCCCGGCCGACATTAAATGATCCAAATTTCAAGGACTGAGAAACATAAGGGTGGAGAATGACCTGTGATGCAATTGTAGCCATGTCTGAGAAAAATAAATGACAGATTCTTGCAAGAAGATGGAGGTGTGCGGTGAATGCTACTTGAAGACTTCAGAGATCTGAGAAGACGGTGACCTGGCATGCCATTATCACGTGGATTCAAGTTGGCTACTTTCGTATACCCGACGATCTCGCATACCGGTGACGACGTCCTTATGCATATGATTTCAGAATTAGACTTCACAAGAGCAAGACAAGACAAGACAAGGGGAGCCATGGAAGGTCTCCTTTCGAGGATGTCAAAGGTACGAACAAAGCGTTTATTGAGCGGCTATCAGACCAGACTCGGACGTAGCAGTGATGATATCCGATGCCGGCGTATAGGCACATGCTGAAGCAGAGAAATACGGACCGACGTTCACGCTGGAATAAGTGACTGACAGCGGCGTCACGATGTCTAACCGAAGGCCACTACTGGGACTCATTCCCAGGTGTTGAACTTCGGTGAGTTTCTTGCGGGTGATTTCGGACGGCAAAAGCCGCGCGTAATTGCGCTGAAGAACTTGCGGGTGACACAAGCTTCTGTCCTGCCCCTGCCCCTCACTTGCTGCGCTTTCATCATTACTAGAGACTGCCAGTCATGACCACAGGCCCTTGGCTTCCCCGCCGAGTGAGTTCTGCGTTCTAGTTCTCACGTGACATACCACTCATTTTGTCATACTTCAAGCTCATCCATGTGATTCCTCGTCGAAGACTGTTCTCATCATCCGTCATGGTAGGTTAGGTTAATGAGCTTGTTGTGACAGGAAATAATGGTTGTGTCAGTCAAATCAAGCATTTCGCAGCGAGCGTGACACCTTCGGTGAGCTCCAGGTCCCTGCCGATCGTTATTGGGGCGCACAAACACAACGGTATGTATCGAGTCTAAGATGAGTGCTACTGAACATTTTCTACAGGTCATTACAAAACTTCGATATTGGTGGCCCATCGCAACGACTACCGCATCCTCTGATCAAAGCTTTCGGTGTGCTGAAGAAGGCTGCAGCCATTGTCAATGTTAGTTATGGTATGGACGCGAAGGTCGGCGAAGCCATTCAAAAAGCTGCTGATGATGTGAGAAATGATTTCCTAGGCTTCACATGTGTTTTTTGAGTTGATTTTCACTCCAGGTCATTTCTGGGAAGCTCATGGATCATTTCCCCTTGGTTGTCTTCCAAACTGGAAGTGGGACACAGAGTAACATGAACGTAAACGAGGTGAGCATAACAAATGCTCGATTAATTAATGTTGTTACTTAGCGTGGTCAACAGGTAATATCGAATCGTGCAATAGAACTCCTTGGCGGTGAACTTGGGTCTAAGAAACCAGTACATCCGAATGACCACGTCAACATGAGCCAGAGTAGTAATGACACGTGAGTCACTGAGTAGCTTACGCTTGTTTGCATGGGTTTAACGGGCATGTAGCTTCCCAACAGCTATGCATGTCGCTGCTGTGACTGAAATTACCCATTCGTTGCTACCGGCGCTGACGCAACTCAGGGATGCACTTAACGAAAAGGCTGAGCTTTTTAGCGGGATTATCAAAATCGGACGCACACACTTACAGGTATGAATAGGACGGCCTTCCATGTGGATGTTGTCTGATCGCTATTAGGATGCCACACCTCTGACGCTTGGCCAAGAATTCAGCGGATATGTCCAGCAAATCGATAATGGTATTGCTCGTGTCCAAAATGTCATTCCTCGCTTGAGCCTTCTTGCTCAGGGTGGCACTGCGGTTGGCACAGTCAGTCCGTTGACATCCAGCGAAAAGTAGAGATGCTCACGTGCCGTGCAGGGTCTGAATACCAAGAAGGGGTTCGATGTCAAAATTGCTGCCGAGATCTCTACCATCACGGGCTTAAAGTTCCTGACCGCGCCGAACAAGGCAAGGCAATTTACAGCGATTGTTTCGTCTGACTACTGACGAAGATCCGCAGTTCGAAGCTCTAGCCAGTCACGATGCCCTGGTTGAGACTCATGGTGCTCTGAATGTCATCGCGTGTTCCCTCATGAAAATCGCCAACGACATTAGGTTCCTTGGCTCTGGTCCTCGGTGTGGCTTCGGTGAACTAAGCCTCCCTGAAAACGAGCCTGGCAGCAGTATCATGCCTGGCAAAGTGAACCCCACGCAGTGCGAGGCTGTAACAATGGTTGCCGCTCAAGTTATGGGTAACCAAACTGCTGTTAGCGTTGCTGGAGCCAGCGGGCAGTTTGAGGTATTTGTATTTCATATGCGGCACATTCGTCATTCAATGCATCTACTATTAGCTCAACGTCTTCAAACCGGTTATAATCATGAACGTGCTCCAGAGCATCCGCCTTCTTTCTGATGGTGAAGTTTCATAACTCGATAACTCGTTGACGACCTGCTGATCCTTGTATGATCAGCCTCGCGGTCTTTTACCAAGCATTGCATAGTCGGCATCGAGGCCAATGAGAAGCGTATAAACTACCTCTTGAACGAGAGTTTAATGCTTGCAACGATTTTGAACAGCCACCTGGGCTATGATAGTGCGTGCTAAATATAACTCCGCGCGATTCCGGCCGAAGTTCATTGTACTTTGCAGACGTGGCCAAGTGCGCAAAGAAAGCGCACAAAGAAGGAACGACACTGAAGGAAGCCACTGTTGCGCTCGGATACCTGACACCTGAAGCGTTTGATGAGAAAGTGCGACCAGAATTGATGTTATACCCAGATGACATATAGTCACAAGATGGCGTTGCTGCATGTTATCTATAAAATGGAGATCCTATGATAGCTATGAAACAATGTGGAACAGCTGGTAACCAGCTCATGTCCATTTAATCGATAAAAAGATGTGTAGCTTACTGCGGCTGGTGTGAAGATCTGATAGAGAGAAGCTCGTCCGCCAAGAACAGCAAGGAAGGAACAGGGAATACAAAAAAGGCAAGAATGCTATATCCAACCGCAAACGAAATATACCACGTCAAATCAGTACAACTTCCCGTCACAGCACTCCCTCGTCTCTACTCGTAATTTGCACAGCAACATTCTTCCTCGTCATCCACACCGAGCTCACTTTTGAACCCGAAAATTCTTAGTCTGTGCTCATCACCGTCAACGTCGACCACAACTCCACTTTATTTAGCTTCTGAAGAAATATTCGGGCATTAGGTTGACTGCCACAGCGTCCTTCTCTTTACATCTCCTGGTCCCACGAGGCGACCTGTCTTTACAACACTTAAGTCGGCTACTGCCTCGTCATATCTTCCTCTCTTTGCATCTTATTTGTCGCTACTTTGGTTTTCTATGTCACTCAGCCGAATTCTCAATGACGAACCACCCCCGGCGAGAAAATCCGCTTCCTCACGTGGTGGTGCCATCGATCCTTCGTTAGCAGACGTGTCGCCTCTCTCCCGAGCCACAGTCATATCTCCTCATCCCCAAACTCTTCGTCGGAGTCCAACTCCTCTCGGAGAGCAGCCACCACTTCCTCGTGGATATTCCTACCAGACACCCTCTTATCAGGGTGCCGGAGGCTGGGATCCATACTCGGGTGATTATGTTCAGGGAGAGATATTCCCTCTTGGCCCAGGAGGCAACTATTATTCTCAGCGTGAACGGGATGGACAGCACCAGCCTCCACCTCCAGAACCGCGCGCATCTTCCGTGGGCGCTTACTACAAGGAAGGTGAAAATGAATCCGCATCGCGAAAACGGAGAAAGGCTGTAGCTCCAGACGACGACCCCGATTACCAACCTCCGATTGTAAAGCGCGTAAGTTTTATCAGTTATACATAGCACTCGATTCGGCTTCACTCACCTTCCTATTCTTATCCCCTAGGCACCCCGTCGAAATCCTCCTCGTGCAAAGGCAAATCGCCCTGAGTCGCCTCTTATGGAGGGAGCGGATCTTCCACCAGCTGCACGGGAGTATCATCAAACTGAAGAGGAACGACGTCTGGCATCTTCTGACCTGTCGGACTGTGAAGAAGTATGGATTGGTGACCTCAGCGATTATATCATAGAGACACATTTACGCCAGCGCAAAGTAGAATCGTGGTTCAATGCCAGTGTTTTGGTCAGTTCTACATTTGTGACTTCCTGTCCGTCGATTCACATTTTATCATAGGAACGCAACTCCAGCACGGCGCTGACACTATCACGTCACTACGTGTCCCGCATTGCACGGATGCCCCTCCCGCCTCCAACACCCCCACCGATACCTCCTTCTGTTGAGGAAGAGCTTCTATCCACTATTCACGCTTCCCCACCTCCCGATGCATATGAGTATGGAGCTCCAGATAACTACGGATCTGATTCCGCTAGATTTGGGGCAGAAGATGCGGCTCGGTTATTCGAGGAGTCTTACCTAGGTCGCAATCAGAAACACAAGGACTCACTCAAGCGTGGTGCAGATGGTGCAGATTCAGACGAGAGCAGTGACCTTGAAGTTCCTGTTTCATCCCGAAACAAACCTGCAGCGAAGAAACGAAAGGTCGACAAAGACTCTGCTTCAATCGCTGACGAATTCGAACGGTCTATCGGCGGGATCAGCCCTTCCAAATTTGCTTCATCAAAGGCGAAAGGGAAGGTCAAACAGAGTCTGCTGCGGGAAGCGAGCACGGACAGTGTTATACCGATTGCGACACCTAAAGGTCGTAAGAGGGGTGGTGGTGGGAAGAAGCTTTTGCCACCTGATACTCTAGAGGGTCTTGGCATTGGCTCCGCTGGAGCATCCGTCGCTGGAGACATCACGCCTTCGGCATCCAGGCCTGTATCGCCCGCGCTCACTGCAACTTCTGTCGTGTACGAGTTAGATGAGATCATTCCTCCTCTCAAGCGCGCTAAAAAGATTGATGAGAATGCTATGGCCAAACGATTGAAGAATTTGGAGGAGGCTCAGAAGAAAGTTTGGACAAACATCGCTCGGAGAGACGTTGCTAAGGTATGTATGGATCTTACAATACGTGTTGTTTGCATTCCCATCTCGTTGCGTAGGTGTACAAGTATGCCGCGATGGGTTACCAGGCTCG